ATAAAAGACACCTGTCCACAGAAGCAATCAATCAATCAGATTCCAAACTCTCCACCATGGCCAAGACCTAAGAGCTCTCCAAGGATGTCAGGGTCAAGATTGTAGACCTACACAAGGCTGGAATGGGCTACAAGACCATCGCCAAGCAGCTTGGTGAGAAGGTGAGAGTACGACCCTGCCTTACACAGGAAGCGGCACAGGTCCTAATCCAGGCACTTGTCATCTCCCGTCTGGATTACTGCAACTCGCTGTTGGCTGGGCTCCCTGCCTGTGCCATTAAACCCCTACAACTCATCCAGAATGCCGCAGCCTGTCTGGTGTTCAACCTTCCCAAGTTCTCTCACGTCACCCCGCTCCTCCGCACACTCCACTGGCTTCCAGTTGAAGCTCGCATCTGCTACAAGACCATGGTGCTTGCCTACGGAGCTGTGAGGAGAACGGCTCCTCCGTACCTTCAGGCTCTGATCAGTCCCTACACCCAAACGAGGGCACTGCGTTCATCCACCTCTGGCCTGCTGGCTTCCCTACCTCTGCGGAAGCATAGTTCCCGCTCAGCCCAGTCAAAACACCCCAATGGTGGAACAAGCTCCCTCACAACGCCAGGACAGCGGAGTCACTCAACACCTTCCGGAGACATTTGAAACCCCACCTCTTTAAGGAATACCTGGGATAGGATAAAGTAATCCTGCTACCCCCCCCCCCTTTACTCCAACCCACCCAAAAAATGAATAAATAAATAAATAAAATTGTAAAGTGGTTATCCCACTGGCTATAAGGTGAATGAACCTATTTGTAAGTCGCTCTGGATAAGAGCGTCTGCTAAATGACGTAAATGTAAAATGTAAATGTGACAACAGTTGGTGCGATTATTCGCAAATGGAAGAAACACAAAATAACTGTCAATCTCCCTCAGCCTGGGGCTCCATGCAAGATCTCACCTCGTGGAGTTGCAATGATCATGAGAACGGTGAGGAATCAGCCCAGAACTACACGGGAGGATCTTGTCAATGATCTCAAGGCAGCTGGTACCATAGTCACCAAGAAAACAATTGGTAACACACTACGCCGTGAAGGACTGAAATCCTGCAGCGCCCGCAAGGTCCCCCTGCTCAAGAAAGCACATATACAGGCCCGTCTGAAGTTTGCCAATGAACATCTGAATGATTCAGAGGAGAACTGTGTGAAAGTGTTGTGGTCAGATGAGATCAAAATCGAGCTCTTTGGCATCAACTCAACTCGCCGTGTTTGGAGGAGGTGGAATGCTGCCTATGACCCCAAGAACACCATCCCCACCGTCAAATATGGAGGTGGAAACATTATGCTTTGGGGGTGTTTTTCTGCTAAGGGGACAGGACAACTTCACCGCATCAAAGGGACGATGGACGGGGCCATGTGCCGTCAAATCTTGGGTGAGAACCTCCTTCCCTCAGCCAGGGCATTGAAAATGGGTCGTGGATGGGTATTCCAGCATGACAATGACCCAAAACACACGGCCAAGGCAACAAAGGAGTGGCTCAAGAAGAAGCACATTAAGGTCCTGGAGTGGCCTAGCCAGTCTCCAGACCTTAATCCCATAGAAAATCTGTGGAGGGAGCTGAAGGTTTGAGTTGCCAAACGTCAGGCTCGAAACCTTAATGACTTGGAGAAGATCTGCAAGAGGAGTGGGACAAAATCCCTCCTGAGATGTGTGCAAACTTGGTGGCCAACTACAAGAAACATCTGACCTCTGTGATTGCCAACAAGGGTTTTGCCACTAAGTCATGTTTTGCAGAGGGGTCAAATACGTATTTCCCTCATTAAAATGCAAATCAATTTATAACATTTCTGACATGCGTTTTTCTGGATTTTTTGTTGTTGTTATTCTGTCTCTCACTGTTCAAATAAACCTACCATTAAAATCAGCAGGGGATCAAATACTTTTTTCCCTCACTGTAGCTCATTCTAATATCTCTACTACTGTAAATTGCAATTGTTACACTGAATCCAGCATATCAATATGCGGTTTGTATAAACAGTGTATCTACTGCTGTACATATTATTCTTAATATATATTTTCGGTGTATATACACATAGATTGCATTTTAATTACTGATACAGTGTTATTTGGGTTGTTAATTGGAATTGTTAATTGTTAATTAGTTTTTGTTATATCTGTGTACCTCTTTGATATTGTACTACACTGTTAGGAGCTAGTAACACAAACATTTCGCTGCACACACTATAATATCTGCTAAACAGTGTACGCGACCAATAAACGTTTATTTTATTTTGAATATGGAAGGGTAGGCCATTTTTGTTCATGCAAGCTTTTGTTCCAGCCCTAACACCTGCTTCATGATCATTGGATGTATTGAATACCTTGATTAGTTGCACCAGGTGTGTTCATTCTGGGCTACATTAAAAGCTTGCACACACTACGGGCCAATAATCAAGTTTAATAAAATGGCTCCCCCTCAACCTCAATCCCTATGCACTGATTTGCCAGGAAAAGTCAACGAGTAAGGAGAAGCAAGAAAGAGCCTTGGAAATGTAGAAAGAAAGAAAGAAAAGGGATAGAGCCACAGAGATGGAAAGAAAGAGCAAGTGAACAAAAAAGAAAGGGCGAGAAGAGGAAGCGCCGTAAATTCTTGAGTGACTCCCAGCTGTGCGTCGGTAAGGGACGTCTCTCCTCCCTCTCTCTCACTCAGAAGATTAAAGAGTCCACATAAAGGAGAGAGAAGAGTCCACCTCTAAGCCAGTGTGAAGGGGAAACTTCCCGCAATACTAAAGTTGCTCCAATTCAATGGTTGAAAGGAAGTGTGCCGGAGCTCAAATCGGCTTTGAGAAATTAATCCCTCTATTGTGGCTGGGCATAAACAGAGGACAGTGTGGGGACCTGGGAGTGAGTGAGTGTGTATGTATGTTGGTTGGTTGGTTGGATAGATGTGAAAAATTAAGGAAATTAGGCAGAGAAAAGACTGAACTATACTCCTGTGTACTCCTGGGAGAAAAGACTGAACTGTACTCCTGTGTACTCCTGGGAGAAAAGACTGAACTATACTCCTGGGAGAAAAGACTGAACTATACTCCAGTGTACTCCTGGGAGAAAATACTGAACCATACTCCAGTGTACTCCTGGGAGAAAAGACTGAACTATACTCCTGTGTACTCCTGGGAGAAAAGAGCAAGAACTTCACTTATTCCTAGAACATCTCTTTTACTTCTTTCTTGCTCTCTTTTGCACAGGTACAGTGTATAACAAACATGCACATAAACACACATTGAGTCATTATGGCCTGTAATGCTCTGATCTGGCCTTGATATGATCATAAAGCCCTCCTCATTCACTCACTCTTCCTAATGGAAGCGACACCATCAAATCCTCTCTCTCTCACACACACACCCCCTATGTAACACTCCTTGCCTCTATCCATCCCCTTAGAGGTGCTTATGCAGGGTTCAGTCCTGCTAAATCACAACTTTCCAGTGAGCTCAGATTAAACTCTGCGTGACCGCCATGTGGCTGGGAGCTCCCCTCTCGCTCATTGTATTACAGTTATCACTCACTCTCTGTCTGTGTCATTTGGTCAGTCAGTCAGTGTCTTTCTGTCTGTGTCTTCTCCTTGGATCTATGCTTGTGTAGTAGTTGCTTTATTTTCCTCCCTACAATCATCTGTCATTATCTCCATGTCTTTGGCACAATGCTTCATCTCTCCCTTCCTCATTCCATCCCTCTCCCAGTGCCAGGAAACAACCACAGACCCACCAATCCTTTCATTCTCTCTACTCTATTTTTACCATCAAATGTACTTCCTCGTCATTGGGTGATCTGTGTCTCATCCTGACAGATAGAGGATTTAAAGAAGGGCCATCCTACTGTGTTTTTGTGCTCAATCTCGCTCAGCGAAACAGCAGTGGAGAATTACATTACACTGACATGGGTCATTTGACCCTTTTGGTCAGAGAGGGTTTTTGTTTGATTGACAGGAGGGAGTTATGGCTGGGCTTGAAACACAAGAGATGATAGAACACGACGTTTTTAGAAGGGTGTCATATAGCAGTCTGACACTGCAGCTTAGTGGTGGAATTGGGTATTACTCACATTGAACACAGAATATATTTTCTGCATGCCATGTATGTTATGTATGCATGTAAAACTAAGAACATACAACAAATACCAAACAATTTAAACACTAACAAAGGGGTGGCGCAGTAGGTTTATTTGTTGTGCCAAATGCCACAGGGAAAGTGGTTTGAGTAGTTATTTAAGCATTAATTTAGCAATTGATCTATTCATTTAGACATTTTCATCATGAACCATCTTGGAACCGAGCCTAAAATATAGCTACTATGAAGTAATTTAGATTGCTATTGAGTGTGACGTTTTATCAGGCAAGCGGTAATGTCTAGTTGTCTCTGATTACAGCATATTAAAGCAATGATGGCAACAAGAGAACATGAAAAAGACTGTTGTATTTCTGTACTTTATTACCAGTACGACCCCAGAGCTTCATGTAGGCCTAGATCTGAAAGACTACAAAGTGCCACAACCCCCTCCCCCAAACAGCAAGCAGTGGTTTCCCAACTTCCATTACACAAATTAAGACATTCCCCCAGAGAGAGTTTACATTTAAGGAAAACTGAATGAAACGGCATAATTATATTAAAACAGAATTACTCAAATACCACAGAATAATCAAAAATGCATGGACCTTAGTTACATTACTTAATCCACACTGTACAGTACACGTTGAACTGGCACAACAACCACTAGAGGGCAGACAAAGTTGTATTGATTAGACAGGCCAATAGATAAAACATTGACAATAACAGGCACACAAGTGAGTTTCAAACATAGTATGCTAGACTATGAGGGGAAGTGTGGTTAGGGTTTATTCATTTCGGTCATATTTACAATCTTGACATCTATATAAATCGCTATCATGGAAGACTAGGACATTCCCTTACTGCATGCATTGAGCATCCCTGAAAAATATCCTCTCAAAACAAAGTTGGAGTCATGTCTGACAATAAAAAATAAAAAAAAGAATAAAAGATTTAAACGAAAATAATGCACAAAGATAACGCCATGATGCAGACTTGACAGCTATTAACATAACTATGTATTAAAATAGAAATATACAGACAGTAGTTTAAAAAAACATTAAAAATGCAAAGGTAAAAATGCTGGGACTTCACACCCACCCATGACCAGGCGGTGCACAATTGGCCCAGCGTTATCCCGTTTAGGGGAGGGTTTGGCCGGGGAGGGCTTTACTTGGCTCATCGCGCTCTAGCGACTCCTTGTGGCGGGCCGGGCACCTGCAGGCTGACTTCGGTCGTCAGTTGAACTGTGTATTCTCCGACACATTGGTGCAGCTGGCTTCCGGGTTAAGCAGGCGGGTGTTAAGAAGCGCGGTTTGGCGGGTCATGTTTCGGAGGACGCATGACTCGACCTTCGCCTCTCCCGAGCCCGTTGGGGAGTTGCAGCGATGAGACTAGATCGAAATAGGGGAGAAAAATGCTGGGACTGAAGGTGCAGAGGTCACTCGGATGTTCCACACAATGTTGTGAGACGGTTCTGTGGAGAGAAAAGTGAACATGAGTTTGATGATGCTACGGTTTTCAGTTTTTACAAAGAAAACCCACTTCAAAGCTGCTAAATACACATGGCTAATGTTAGGCAATCATATATAAAGTGCTTTGGAAAAAGTATTTGCCCCCTTTCTGATTCTCAATTTTTGACTATTTGATACTGAATGTTATCAGATCTTCATCCAAAACATAATATTAGATCAAGGGAACCTGAACTTACAAATAAATAAAAAAGTTCAGCTCAGACTGATGGCCTGATATTGTCCTGTAGAATTCTCTAATACAGAGCAGAATTCATGGTTCCTTCTATGAAGGCAAATTGTCCATGTCCCGAGGCAGCAAAGCATCCCCAAACCACCACCATTCTTGACCGTTGGTATGAGGTTCTTACTGTGGAATGCAGTGTTTGGTTTTCGCCAGACACAATGGGACACATCTCGTCCAAAAGGTTGACTCAAATTTGCCAAAACTCACCTGGATGATCATCAAGACTCTTGGAAGAATGTTCTATGGCCAGATGAGTCTAAAGTATAACTTTTTGGACGACATGGGTCGCATTATGTCTGGCAAAAACCAAACACAGCATTCAAAACATGTATGGGGTGCATGATGCGACTATAGGCTATTGATGATTTGAGAAAGTCTGGGGGGAAAAAATATAAATGGAGGCCGCGCGCTTTGCAGCGGGTCCATTTTTCAATGATGCCGGATAGGCAACTTCGGTTTTATAGGGGAGCTGTGCTTAATATGAGCCGCTGAGAAATAAATACACTGCTCAAAAAAAGAAAGGGAACACTTAAACAACATAATGTAACTCCAAGTCAATCACACTTCTGTGAAATCAAACTGTCCACTTAGGAAGCAACACTGATTGACAATACATTTCACATGCTGTTGTGCAAATGGAATAGACAACAAGTGGAAATTATAGGCAATTAACAAGACACCCCCAATAAAGGACTGGTTTTGCAGGTGGTGAGCACAGACCACTTCTCAGTTCCTATGCTTCCTGGCTGATGTTTTGGTCACTTTTGAATGCTGGCGGTGCCTTCACTCTAGTGGTAGCATGAGACGGAGTCTACAACCCACACAAGTGGCTCAGGTAGTGCAGCTCATCCAGGATGGCACATCAATGCGAGCTGTGGCAAGAAGGTTTGCTGTGTCTGTCAGCGTAGTGTCCAGAGCATGGAGGCGCTACCAGGAGACAGGCCAGTACATTAGGAGACGTGGAGGAGGCCGTAGGAGGGCAACAACCCAGCAGCAGGACTGCTACCTCCGCCTTTGTGCAAGGAGGAGCACTGCCAGAGCCCTGCAAAATGACCTCCAGCAGGCCACAAATGTGCATGTGTCTGCTCAAACGGTCAGAAACAGACTCCATGAGGGTGGTATGAGGGCCCGATGTCCACAGGTGGGGGTTGTGCTTACAGCCCAACACCGTGCAGGACGTTTGGCATTTGCCAGAGAACACCAAGACTGGCAAATTCGCCACTGGCGCCCTGTGCTATTCACAGATGAAAGCAGGTTCACATTGAGCACATGTGACAGACGTGACAGAGTCTGGAGATGCCGTGGAGAACGTTCTGCTGCCTGCAACATCCTCCAGCATGACCGGTTTGGCGGTGGGTCAGTCATGGTGTGGGGTGGCATTTCTTTGGGGGGGCCGCACAGCCCTCCATGTGCTCGCTTAGAGGTAGCAAGACTGCCATTAGGTACCGAGATGAGATCCTCAGACCCCTTGTGAGACCATATGCTGGTGCGGTTGGCCCTGGGTTCCTCCTAATGCAAGACAATGCTAGACCTCATGTGGCTGGAGTGTGTCAGCAGTTCCTGCAAGAGGAAGGCATTGATGCTATGTACTGGCCCGCCCGTTCCCCAGACCTGAATCCAATTGAGCACATCTGGGACATCATGTCTCGCTCCATCCACCAACGCCACGTTGCACCACAGACTGTACAGGAGTTGCCGGATTCTTTAGTCCAGGTCTGGGAGGAGATCCCTCAGGAGACCATCCACCACCTCATCAGGAGCATGCCCAGGCGTTGCAGGCACGTGGAGGCCACACACACACTACTGAGCCTCATTGACTTGTTTTAAGCACATTACATCAATGTTGGATCAGCCTGTAGTGTGGTTTTCCACTTTAATTTTGAGGGTGACTCCAAATCCAGACCTCCATGGGTTGATACATTTGATTTCCATTGATCATTTTTGTGTGATTTTGTTGTCAGCACATTCAACTATGTAAAGAAAAAAGTATTTAATAAGATTATTTCATTCATTCAGATCTAGGATGTGTTATTTTAACGTTCCCTTTATTTTTTTGAGCAGTGTATACGAATACTTATTTCACTCCACACATCAACCACTGTTTTAGGAGCATGATCTCGCTACTCGACAGGTGATATTCCGCCCAAACGCTGTATGCCATGGGCTCTCCAACCCTGTTCCTGCAGCTACACAGAGCTTAATTTGTGAAATCTGTTCGGGAACATCGATAGTAACATGTTTTCGCAACGACTCATATTTCACTAAACTGTTGACATGGCATCTGCACGCTTGAGAAAGGAGGCGGTGGAAACGCATGGTGGTGAGATATTCTTTAGTTAAAAGGTAATGTGTCAGCCTAAGCTAACTGTAATCCGTCCTGCACAATCAATGAACCAACAGCATCGCCTAGGGCTATACATTCTCTAGCAGACTAAGTGGATAGAAATGTTGGAGTTTAGCACAAGGTAACCCAGTCCATCCAGTATGCATAATAATACAGTCCACACACAAAGGTGATTACTCAAATTTGTTTAATTCTGGAGTAGGTCTGTAGGCTAGACCAATTATGTACCAAAGACATCTTAAAATCAGTTTTGTTTTATGTTTTTCTGCCATGCATAATATGCAGTAGGCCATGTATTGAGTTTTTTTTTTTCGGGCTTGGGCTCACAAGCCTATGCATAAGCTCTAATATGCATATGGTTGTTTTGAATTAATCATCACCTTAGAAAGCGTTGTCCATTTCCTTGTGTTAGGCTTTGAAACAACATCCACAATGACCATGTTTTCCACTCAGTTTCAACCTGCTTTTGAACTTCTTTCTTCAAATGTATCATCACAGTGAGGTGAGTTTTAAAAGCATGATACTGTTTTGATGATAAGCGTTTGATGTGATTTTTAATTGCATTTGCATTGATGTCAGAGTGCTTAGAGAGACAATAGAGCCCTGAGTACCAGGCCATTAGCGACCTAATGTTCGTTAGGGAACTACCAACACATGTCCTGAGTGCATAAGAGGATATTACGGAGCCTAGTTGATAGGTAATCGACTAGCTGGCCTCAAGCATTGTACAAGTCCCTACACACGGAGTCCGGGGAACAGCCCAGCTAGTCGATTACCTATCAACTAGGCTTTGAACTTGACTTTATTATTTTATCCTACATATCACACTGAAACAAGGTGTCAGAAGTGGCTCGAAAACCACACGTTTGTTATTTTTGTAGCTAAGTACAGTATAGGCGCAGTTACGTTCCATATGCGAACACATGCAGTTTCCTACTGCTTACGTTTGTCACAACATTGATCACAGATCACAGCCTAGCCCAGACCAGGCAACACACTGACAAGGACGAACACCTACAGTCACTGAAGTCCATGGTTCTCACAGGTTGGCCGTACCTGAAAGAGGAGACACCTTTCACAGTGAGAGAATACTGGACCTTTCCAGATGAGATCAGCGTGCAAAATGGCATCTTGTTCAGAGGTCAGAAGGTCATTATTCCCAAATCACTACGTCCAGAGATGCTTACTCGCATACACTCCAGTCACTTTGGAGGAGACGCATTCTACCGCCAGGCACGTGAAACATTATACTGGCCAAACATGCAATCAGAAATTAAAGACTTTGTCAGCAGCTGTACCACATGCAACGAGTACACTCATGAACAGCAAAAGGAAACCATGATGTTGCACGAACTGCCCACAAGGGCCTGGCAAATCGTCAGCATGGACTTAGTCATTTTGTCTGTGGCTGAATATCTTCTCATTGTTGATCACTACTTTGACTTTTGGGAAATTGAACTTCTCCCTGACTTGCCCTGCAAACTGCGCCTTATGACCGTGTCTGCAGACAAGGCCAGACAACAAACAAGGTCATCACGGACAATGGCCCACAGTTCAAGCGTTTCGCCTCAGAATGGGAGTTTGACCACGTGACCTCCTCTCCAAGACACCCAAAGGCAAATGGCAAGGCAGTGTCAGCTATCAAGATTGCAAAAAACCTGTTAAGCAGGGCCTTGCGCGACAGCAACGACCCCTGGAAAGCCATCTTAGTGGATGAACACACCCACCGAAAACATGGACAGCAGCCCAGCACAACGCCTTCTGTCCAGACGTCTGAAGACTACCATCCCCATAGCTAACAAGCCATGCGTCACGGTTGGCGTCACGGAGAAACTGCACCACAGAAAGCAGCTCGCTAAGTGTTTCTAAGACCGGACTGCTCGAGACCTACCAAAGCTGGAGGTGGGTGAAACGATAAGGATGAAACCACTGCCGGGAGACCACACAGGACTTTGGAGGCTGGGCACGTGTCTACAAAGAGTTGCACCATGTTCTTACCTGGTGGATGTTGGTGGCTCCCTCTATCATCGCAAATCGGGTGGATCTGCGTGTAGCAGAGCAGACAACAAACCAGAACACGCCATACACTCACCTAGATGAGCTGGATCACAGTCCAGGCCTAGCATCTCCTGGCTTCCACACATAGCCTACAAGCCACTGATGCAGACCTTAGGAACATCTACATTTCAAAAAGTCTAATAAATCCATGTAATATAGCCTACACCTTCACAATAAATCCATTATTTTAGACAGGTCTAAAGAAGCATGATATGAAGAAAATGTTGTCTATTTCAGAAGAACAGAACAGTATACTCTGAGTTGTCCTGATGTTAGGTCCTGATCTGGCTATGCCAAATGGCTGTGGGCTACACTAGTTCATTTAGCAGACAAGATTTGCTTAGAATTCCGTGGCATTATTTTATAGTATGAGTAATACAATTGACTAAGCTGAATAAAATAGAGGTATTTTCTCCAAACGATTTGAGGGAGTGTGCACATGCGGCTATTCTGTGTTGAGCGGTTAACAAATAAATAGGTATTCCTTAATGCTTAATTTAGAGTTATTAATGTAACTTTAGTTGTTCTACAAACGTTGGGTTATATGTTTAGATTTGTAATACATTGCAAGTCTGCATGATGCGACTAATGATGATTTGAAAAAAGTTGCTTAAAAAGATATGAGCTGCTTTGTTTTTGGCAGCTGTAACACTACATCAGTCACTCTTCCACAAATTTGACAAAGCACTGATAATGCTTAGAATTTCACGACAGCCTCCCCTTTTGTGTGGCCATAATGCACCATCAAAAAGCATTGCCATTTGCGGCCATGAGGCCGGTGTGCCCATCCCCGAGTGATGCACACTCCATCATGTGATCGGGTTCTTTCTCACAGGATACAAGTGAAGACAGGACACATCGGGGATGCCTTTTCCAATTCCAAGGTGCAATTGAAGATATGGAGAATGGCCACATTTACCTTGTCGTCAGCAACAAGATGAGTAGGCCTAAACGAACAGCAAAAAGCATAGCCTGGTCATCTACATCCCCCATAGTACAAAAAGTCAACCTAATATTCTGTGCGAGAAATACAGTATTCCAACATAGTCCTGGGACAGTTGTGGGATGGCAATAGATCCCACATTTATACAACCAATAGCATCAAAACAACTTTTTTACACAATGTGGCTGACGCAACAGATCAGAACATTTAGCTTAAAATGTTGATAAACTAGTCGGCTATTTCTTTACATTATAAGCTCGTAGGCTATAAGCACGAATGTTCCATTAGCGGGAAAATACCATTAACAAAAGTGACCGCAAATGCAATTATGCATGTAGTGCTTTTATTATAAAGGTGCATTTTTATGGTGAAAATTATTTTCCCCAAACTTGAAAATCACGCGCTGCTTATGTATGCCAGTTAGGCTCTAAACCCCTTGTAAAGCGGATTAATGTGCTTAATTTTAAGAAGTTATTTGGCCACTTTAGTTGTGATATAAACCTTATCAAATACATGAGGATACATGAGGTGTGCGACTATGTTTCCAAAATGTCTGCAAAAAAAAAAAGGCAGTTTCTTATACTGGGCATCATTCACAAGTGATAATATATAATTCACAAGTGACAGGCTAATATTGTCACCCATCAGACTATTCTTGATTTAATCATGTCTTTACATATACACACACACACACACACACACACACACATACATACATATATATATATATATATGTGTGTGTGTGAAATTTGTTTTGATTTAGAATGGACCATTATCATGCACCTGTCTCGAAACAGGGGCAGCAGAAAAAAAATCCATGTCATCTATGCACTTAAATAGCGAATAGAGGACACTTTTCCCGTGGTTGATTTTCATGCCAGCCAGGTAGGCTATACTCCTGTTGTAAAGATAAACAATGTGCTTAATATTAGGAAAGTTGAGAAATAAATATAGTAGGCATAGCCTATAGAAAGTTGATGGGATCCTCCTCTTTTTAATAGAGGCTATCAACATTCTGTTTTTTCACACAATTGCATAGCCTATAGAAATGTTGCGCAACATGAGCTCTAATGAAGTGTTTGATTAGATTGATGAGATTTGAATTGATGTCAGAGTGATTACTAATGACCATCAGCAGCATCAGAGCTTGGAAAAGCCTAATTACCATGACTAAACGGTCACGTGGAATTTGACTGCCTTCATGACTTGTGACCGCCGGTGTGGCAGTAATACGGTCACCGCAACAGCCCTAGCGAAGACCATACCTGTAGAAGACGAATGCTCCTTATGGCCGTCTCGTCCAGCTGGCCCAGGTCCACAGTGTCCATCTGACTGGCCAGCAGCTGAATGCACTGGAACCAAAAACACTCACTAGGTCAGCAGGGTAACCTTATCTCAACACACAGGAAATGTGTCAGTTTCACTGCACCTATCCGGTGTGTGACAATAAAACATAATAATAATCATCATGTTGACAAATCATGAAAATGATCGGAGGAAGTTCAGGAGTAAAAACAAACAAAATATAAATTTGACTGTGTCCATAAAATGTATATAGTATGTATGGGCTGGAAGTAGAGGCCTAAGCGTTGTTGTTCACTAGTTTACTCCAATTGGGGAAGGGGTGGTGGGGTTGGAAAGTAATGAAGGGAAATATAATTTAAAAAAGGATGTGTGTGTGTGTGTGTGTGTGGGTGGTGTGGATATATGAGAAAAACACATATGGGGGATTGGAAGTGATGCAGACAATTACATTGATGGAAGTTACAATCTATCTGAAATATTAAAGCTGATCTACCCCCTAAAATTTTTAATAATAATAATCATCATGTTGACACATTTACACAAGTAACATGAACATGCAAACAGTCAGATGGGTTAGTGAGGGTATTTATACAAGTCCAATGGTCGCACACTGTTCAGTAAGGATCAGTCTAAAACTGGAAGGCTGATTGCAGCCTGCTTACCTCTCCGTTCCCCACAGGGACATTGATGATGATATCATTACTGCCTTCTGAGATGGGGGAGCCGTTGACCGAGATGCTGTACACCCTCTCCTTGTGGCGGGGTATTCTCACAGCTGGGGTCTTGGGAAGCCTGGGATATATGACAACAAGTCAAGCAGTGTCTACTAGCACAGTGGTACCCAATGTTGCTTTGTGGGCCTTTGTGTCCCGTCTGGAAAATGTAACTAGGAGAAAGGCTGGATGGCCCGTTCTCTAAACACAACCCAGCTTTAGGTAACACTCATTATGGACAAGCCACAGCAAGCCTGACTCATCTTATTAAAAACCTCAGAACATTACGCACTGCCACTTTACCGGGAGTCGAAGCGAGGTGTGATGAGAGGGGTAGGGCCCATGAGGGAACTGTCCAGCATGTTCCTGGCAGGAGTGACCAGGGGCTTCCTACTGGTCCTGAACACAAATAGCAAATTAATATCAGAAAGTAACTTGCGTACATTCATAAAACACACACCAACACATACTAAAATATGAGCAGATTTCGGCTAAGGAAAGGGTCTTACTTTTTGATGGAGGTGTTCTGCTTGCTGACTGACAGTGCTTTGGCCCTCTTTGATGTTGGAGGTTTCCTAGTTGATTTACCCTGAGAAACAGAGAAGAAATAGACCATGAGGCAACAGTGCAAGTTTGAGCTAAACATTGCTTGGTACTAATAATGATTTGGGCTATTGCTATAACATGGACTAAGAAGCAAAAGCCTAAAGAAATGAGGCTATTGAGGACTACATTGAGTCTTCTGAAACTAAACAAATGATAAGTCTCCCTAAACTAGCCAATAAATACAGCACTAACCTTCTGCCCTCTGGCCATAATAGTGTTCTCATCCTCTGAACTTATCCTGGCTCCACCACTTTTCGACTTTGCTGCAGAGGGGAGCAGAGTAAGTTTAACATCCAGTGAGATTCATTCATATATACACTACCGGTCAAAAGTTTTAGAACACCTACTTATTCAAGGGCTTTTCTTTATTTTTTACATTGTAGAATAATAGTGAAAACATCAAAACTATGAAATAACAAAGTGTTAAACAAATAAATATATTTTATATTTGAGATTCTTCAAATAGCCACCCTTTGCCTTGATGACAGCTTTGCACACTCTTGGCATTCTCTCAACCAGCTTCACCTGGAATGCTTTTCCAACAGTCTTGAAGGAGTTCCCACATATGCTGAGCACTTGTTGGCTGCTTTTCCTTCACTCTGCCGTCCGACTCATCCCAAACCATCTCAATTTGGTTGAGGTTGGGGGATTGTGGAGGCCAGGTCATCTGACGCAGCACTCAATCACTCTCTTCTTGGTAAAATAGCCCTTACACAGCCTGGAGGTGTGTTGGGTCATTGTCCTGTTGAAAAACAAGTGATAGTCCCACTAAGCCCAAACCAGATGGGAAGGCGTATCACTGCAGAATGCTGTGGTAGCCATGCTGGTTAAGTGTGCCTTGAATTCTAAATAAAATCACAGTGTCACCAGCAAAGCACCCCCACAGCATAACACCTCCTCCTCCATGATTTACAGTGGGAAATACACATGCGGAGATCATCCGTTCACCCACACCGCGTCTCACAAAGACACGGCAGTTGGAACCAAAAATCTAAAATGTCCATTGCTCGTGTTTCTTGGCCCAAGCAAGTCTCTTCTTATTGGTGTCCTTTAGTGGTTTCTTTGCAGCAATTCGACCATGAAGGCCTGATTCACACAGTCTCCTCTGAACAGTTGATGTTGAGATGTGTCTGTTACTTGAACTATGTGAAGTATTTATTTGGGTTGCAATTTCTGAGGCTGGTAACTCTAATGAACTTATCCTCTGCAGCAGAGGTAACTCTGGGTCTTCCATTCCTATGGTGGTCCTCATGCGAGCCAGTTTCATTATAGCGCTTGATGGTTTTTGCGATTGCACTTGAAGAAGCTTTCAAAGTTCTTGAAATATTCCGTATTGTCTGACATTCATGTCTTAAAGTAATGATGGACTATCGTTTCTCTTTGCTTATTTGAGCTGTTCTTACCATAATATGGACTTTATCTTTCACCAAATAGGGCTATCTTCTGTATACCCCCACTACCTTGTCACAACACAACTGAATGGCTCAAACGCATTAAGGAAAGAAATTCCACAAATTAACTTAAGGCACACCTGTTAATTGAAATGCATTCCAGGTGACTACCTTATGAAGCTGGTTGACAGAATGCCAAGCATGCAAAGCTGTCATCAAGGCAAAGGGTGGCTATTTGAAGAATCTAAAATATATTTTCATTTGTTTAACACTTTTTTGGTTACTACATGATTCCATGTGTTATTTCATAGTTTTGATGTCTTCACTATTACTCAACAATGAAAAAAATAGTACAAATCAAGAAAAACCCATGAATGAGTAGGTGTTGTAAACCTTTTGACCGGTAGTGTACACACACACACATACAGTGGGGAGAACAATTATTTGATACACTGCCGATTTTGCAGGTTTTCCTACTTACAAAGCATGTAGAGGTCTGTAATTTTTATCATAGGTACACTTCAACTGTGAGACGGAATCTAAAACAAAAATCCAGAAAATCACATTGTATGATTTTTAAGTAATTAATTTGCATTTTATTGCATGACATAAGTATTTAATACATCAGAAAAGCAGAACTTAATATTTGGTGCAGAAACCTTTGTTTGCAATTACAGAGATCATACGTTTCCTGTAGGTCTTGAACAGGTTTGCACACACTGCAGCAGGGATTTTGGCCCACTCCTCCATACAGACCTTCTCCAGATCCTTCAGGTTTTGGGGCTGTCGCTGGGCAATACGGACTTTCAGCTCTCTCCAAAGATTTTCTATTGGGTTCAGGTCTGGAGACTGGCTAGGCCACTCCAGGACCTTGAGATGCTTCTTACGGAGCCACTCCTTAGTTGCCCTGGCTGTGTGTTTCGGGTCGTTGTCATGCTGGAAGACCCAGCCACGACCCATCTTCAATGCTCTTACTGAGGGAAGGAGGTTGTTGGCCAAGATCTCGCGATACATGGCCCCATCCATCCTCCCCTCAATACGGTGCAGTCGTCCTGTCCCTTTTGCAGAAAAGCATCCCCAAAGAATGATGTTTCCACCTCTATGCTTCACGGTTGGGATGGTGTTCTTGGGGTTGTACTCATCCTTCTTCTTCCTCCAAACACGGCGAGTGGAGTTTAGACCAAAAAGCTCTATTTGTGCCTCAACAGACCACAGGACCTTCTCCCATTCCTCCTCTGGATCATCCAGATGGTCATTGGCAAACTTCAGACGGGCCTGGACATGCGCTGGCTTGAGCAGGGGGACCTTGCGTGCGCTGCAGGATTTTAATCCATGACGGCGTAGTGTGTTACTAATGGTTTTCTTTGAGACTGTGGTCCCAGCTCTCTTCAGGTCATTGACCAGGTCCTGCCGTGTAATTCTGGGCTGATCCCTCAGCTTCCTCATGATCATTGATGCCCCACGAGGTGAGATCTTGCATGGAGCCTCAGACCGAGGGTGATTGACCGTCATCTTGAACTTCTTCCATTTTCTAATAATTGCGCCAACAGGTCTACAATTTTATCCTTGTTATCCCTGATGTCCTTACACAGCTCTCTGGTCTTGGCCATTGTGGAGAGGTTGGAGTCTGTTTGATTGAGCGTGTGGACAGGTGTCTTTTATACAGGTAACGAGTTCAAACAGGTGCAGTTAATACAGTTAATGAGTGGAGAACAGGAGGGCTTCTTAAAGAAAAACTAACAGGTCTGTGAGAGCCAGAATTCTTACGGGTTGGTAGGTGATCAAATACTTATGTCATGCAATAAAATGCAAATTAATTACTTAAAAATCATACAATGTGATTTTCTGGATTTTTGTTTTAGATTCAGTCTCTCACAGTTGAAGTGTACCTATGATAAAAAATTACAGACCTCTACATGCTTTGTAAGTAGGAAAACCTGAAAAATCGGCAGTGTATCAAATACTTGTTCTCCCCACTGTATATACACACACACACACACACACACATACATACACACACATATCCATTAAAATAACATCAAATTGATCAGAAATACAGTGTAGACATTTTTTATGTTGTAAATGGCTATTGTAGTTGGAAACGGCAGATTTTTTATGGAATATCTACGTAGGCGTACAGAGGCCCATTATCAGCAACCATCAGTCCTGTGTTCCAATGGCACAGTGTGTTTGCTTATCCAAGTTTATCATTTTAAAAGGCTAATTGATCATTAGAAAACTATTTTGCAATTATGTTAGCACAGCTGAAAACTGTTGTGCTGATTAAATCAGCAATACAACTGGCCTTCTTGAGAGTAGCTGAGTATCTGGAGCATCAGCAATTGTGGTTTCGATTACAGGCTCAAAATGGCCAGAAACAAATAACTTTCTTCTGAAACTCGTCAGTCTATTCTTGTTCTGAGAAATGAAGGCTATTCCATGCAAGAAATTGGCAATAAACGTTTTCTTTGCAACTCTGCCTAGAAGGTCAGCATCCCGGAGTCGCCTCTTCACTGTTGACGTTGAGACTGGTGTTTTGCAGGTACTATTTAATGATGCTGCCAATTGAGGACCTGTGAGGCGTCTGTTTCTCAAACTAGACACTAATGTATTTGTCCTCTTGCCCAGTTGTGCACCGGGGCCTCCCACTCCTCTTTCTATTCTGGTTAGAGCCAGTTTGCACTGTTCTGTGAAGGGAGTAGTACACTGTTGTACGAGATCTTCAGTTTCTTGGCAATCTCCACAATCACCTGTCCTCAACCAAATTGAGATGGTTTGGGATGAGTCGGACCACAGAGTGAAGGAAAGGCAGCCAACAAGTGCTCCGCATATGCAGGAACTCCTGCAAGACTGTCGGAAAAGCATTCCAGGTGAAGCTGGTTGAGAGAATGCCAAGAGTGTGCAAAGCTGTCATCAAGGCAAAGGGTGGCTATTTGAAGAATCTCAAATATAAAATACATTTTGATTTAACTAACACTTTTTTGGTTACTACATGATTCCATATGTGTTATTTCATAATTTTGATGTCTTCAATATTATTCTACAATGTAAAAAAATAGTAAAAATAAAGACAATCCCTGGAATGAGTAGGTGTGTCCAAACTTTTGACTGGTACTGTATCTTTTTTGTATTTCACCCCCTTTTTCTCCCCAATTTCGTGATATCCAATTACGATCTTGTCTCATCGCTGCAACTCCCCAACGGGCTCGGGGGAGGCGAAGGTTGAGTCCTGTGTCCTCCGAAACATGACCCGGCAAACCACGCTTCTAACACCCGTCCGTTTAACCCAGAAGCCAGCCGCACCAATGTGTCGGAGGAAACACAGTTTTGACGACCGAACCCGGACGACGCTGGTCCAATTGTGCACCGCCCTATGGGACTCCCAGTCACGGCCGTTTGTGATACAGCCTGAGATCGAAGCCGGGTCTGTATTGACACCTAAAGCACTGCGATGCAGTGCCTTAGACCGCTGCGCCACTCGGGAGGCCATCCAGTCGGATTCTAAGGAGTCACAGACACATAATAACCCATAACAACTGGTATACAGTATAGCAAAGAGACTTACCTTTTTTTGCGGTCTTGGGGGCAAAAGTATGGACTTCAGCCATGATGCTCTCTACTTGGGCAGCCTCCTCTACTTTCTGGAAGTAGACAAATAAGAAAGTCAAACAGACTGTCAAACAGCTGTGGTGTCAAAACCATGGCCAGACTTAAAAACGGACAGTTGATGAAATATTATATTTTAATTTATACTTTACAGAAATATGAAACGCAACATGTAAAGTTTTGGTCGCATGTTTCATGAGCACAAAAGGCATATTTCTCTCAAATATTGTGCACAAATTTGTTTACATCCCTGTTAGTGAGCATTTCTCCTTGCCAAGATAATCCATCCACCTGACAGGTGTGGCATATCAAGAAGCTGATTAAACAGCATGATCATTACACAGGTCCACCTTGTGCAGGGGACAATAAAAAGCCACTAAAACGTGCAGTTGTGTACACAACACAATGCAACAGATGTCTCAAGTTGAGGAAGCGTGCAATCGGCATGCTGACTGCAGGAATGTCCACCAGAGCTGTTGACAGTTAATTTAATGTTCATTTCTCTACTATAAGCCACCTCCAACATCATTTTAGAGAATTTGGCAGTACATCCAACCGGCCTCACAACCGCAGACCATGAGTAACCAGGCCAGCCCCTCCACATCCGGCTTCTTCACCTGCGGATTAAACTGTGGGTTTGCACAACCAAAGAATTTCTGCACAAACTGTCAGAAACAGTCTCAGGGAAGCTAATTTGCGTGCTCGTCGTCCTCACCAGGGTCTGAACGACTTCAGTGGGCAAATGATCACCTTCGATGGCCACTGGCACGCTGGAGAAGTGTGCTCTTAACGGATGAATCCCGGTTTCAACTGTACCGGGAAAATGGCAGACGTGGTTCGAGCGGTTTGCTGATGTCAACATTGTGAACAGAGTGCCCCACGGTGGCGGTCAGGTTATGGTATGGACAGGCATAAGCTACGGACAATGAACACAATTGCATTTTATCGATGGCAATTTGAATGCAGAGATAGTGTGACGAGATCCTGTGGCCCATTGTCGATCCATTCATTCGGCGCCATCACCTCATGTTTCAGCATGATAATGCACAACCCCATGTCGCAAGGATCTTTATAAACTGGGTGGTTCGAGCCCTGAATGCAGATTGGCTGACAGTCGTGGTATATCAGACAGTATACCACGGGTATGACAAAATGTTTATTTTTACTGCTCTAATTACGTTGGTGGTAACCAGTTCATAATTAAGCAATAAGGCACGTGCCTTGTTGCTTAAGTATACAATTCCGGGAAGCTGAAAATGTCCCAATTCTTCCATGGCCTGCATACGCACCAGAAATGTCATGCATTGAGCCTGTTTGGGATGCTCTGGATCGACAGTGTGTTCCAGTTCCCGCCAATATTCATTAACTTCGAACAGCCATTAAAGAGGAGTGTGACAACATTCCACAATCAACAGCCTGATTAACTCTTTGCAAAGGAGATGTGTCATGCTGCATGAGGCAAATGGTGGTCACACTAGATACTGACTGGTTTTCTGATCCATGCCCCTACCTTTTTTAAGGTATCTGTGACCAACAGATGCATATCTGTATTCCCAGTCATGTGAAATCCATTGATTAGGGCCTAATGAATTTATTTAATTTGACTGATTTCCTTATGACTGGGAATTGTTGCATTTATATTTTTGTTCAGTGTAGAAAACCCACCTTGGCATCCTCCACTGGTGACACGGGTGACTTTGGTTTCTCTGACCCTGAGGGGATAAAGGAGAAGTGTCCGTTTGTTAGATAAAACAACATACACTACATGATCAAAAGTATGTGGACACCTGCTTGTCGAACATCTCATTCCAAAATCATGGGCATCAATATAGAGTTGGTCTCCCCTTTGCTGCTACAACAGCCTCCACTCTTCTGGGAAGGCTTTCCACTAGATGTTGGAACATTGCTACGGGGACTTGCTTCCATTCAGCCACAAGAGCATTAGTGAGGTCGGGCACTGATGTTGAGCGATTAGGCCCAACATTTCACCCCAAAGGTGTTCGATGGGGTTGAGGTCAGGGCTCTGTGCAGGCCAGTCAAGTTCTTCTACACCGATCTCGACAAACCATTTCTGTATGGACCTCGCTTTGTGCACGGGGGCATTGTCATGCTGAAACAGGAAAGGGCCTTCCCCAAACTGTTGCAAGAAAGTTGGAAGCACAGAATCGTCTAGAATGTCATTGTATGCTGTAGTGTTAAGATTTCCCTTCACTGGAACTAAGCAGCCTGAACCATGAAAAGTAGCCCCATACCAATATTCCTCCTCCACCAAATATTACAGTTGGCAATATGCATTCAGGCAGGTAGCGTTCTCCTGGCATCCGCCAAACCTAGATTCGTCCATCGGACTGCCAGATGGTGAAGCGTGATTCATCACTCCAGAGAACGCATTTCCACTGCTCCAGAGTCCAATGGTGACGAGCTTTACACCACTCCAGCCGACGCTTGGCATTGCGCATGGTGATCTTAGGCTTATGTGCGGCTCCTCAGCCATGGAAACCCATTTCATGAAGTTCCCAACGAACAGTTTTTGTGCAGACGTGGCTTCCAGAGGCAGTTTGGAACTCAGTAGCTACGCGCTTCAGCACTCGCATGCTGTTCTGTGAGCTTGTGTGGCCTACCACTTCGCGGCTGAGACATTGTTGCTCCTAGACGTTTCCACTTCACAATAACAGCACTAACAGTTGACCGGGGCAGCTTTACCAGGGCAGAAATTTGACTTACTGACTTGTTGGAAAGGTGGCATCCTATGACGGTGCCACATTGAAAGCCACTGAGTTCTTCATTAAGGCCATTCTACTGCCAATGTTTGTCAATGGCGATTGCATGGCGGTGTGCTCGATTTTATACACCTGTCAGCAACGGGTGTGGCTGAAATAGCCAAATCCACTCATTTGAAGGCCACTTTTGTATATATAGTGTATCTCTAACCAACCTTTCCCTTGCGGTTGTCATCAGGTGCTTGCATCTTCACCTGACTTACCACAATGCTCAAGCCAGTCCATCTGTCTCACTGCCTTTGGCAGCTTGATCACAGCCATGTTGTAGAAGTTGTCTGCATCTTTCAGGAGGCTGTTTGTCCTCTCCTTCAGCCTTTGAACTACGGTTTTCACTGCAAAGAAAAGTTTGACAAAAGTTAACATTCACATAATGGCTAACAGCCAACTTGCATCTGCATGCTCTTTGTCATTGCATTGGTCCATACCCTCACTGTCGAAATCTTCGAGAAAAGCCTCCAATTTGTCCAACTTGGGGTTTTTACGTTGTTTGGTCGTCCTCTTTGGTCGTCCCATTGTGACTCTGTACATTGGTACCAACAACAAATTAGTGCTTGGGCTAGCCAAGCAGCAAAAATGTTGCTAGTAGTAGGTAATGTTAGCTAGCCCTTTTCGGGAAATATTGTTAGCTAACGTTAGCTAGGTACTGTAGTTAGCTAGGTACATCATTAACGTTACATTATTTAGCCAGATTGAAGCTGCTCCGTTTCAAAAGTTACTGTTTCACTTCAGATTTGAAATACATAAAATGCAATAGTATTCTAAACTTTGAGGTTAGCTGTTTGACATTATATTTAATTTCATTATGATTTACCTGGTGATGTTTTCTTTCTTTCCTAGTTAGCGAGCTAATCCAGCAGCTCCCTCTCTATCCAGTTTGTGAATATTTCAAATGTACACGCAGACGCAGAAAGTGCCGGAGATCAGCCAATAAGGATACGCTTTTGCTTAACGTCATTTTGGAACCATTTTTAACCTATCATTTCGAAAAACGTCAACGTTTTGTCCGGTGCAAGAGAGACAGGTTGAGGTTTCCAGGGTAAGAGTAGTGCAGAAGTTATCATGTGCTGAGGCATTGAAGAAAGTAGAGGAAGATGGAAGATGGGTCAAGGGGGGGGGGGGGAATTTAGCGCATTTACGTATGGGTGGTCCCGGGGATCGAACCCACTACCCTGGTGTTACAAGCGCCATGCTCTACCAATTGAGCTACAGAGGATAGCCAACAAGTGATATATGTTTCAGTAAGATTGGATTTTTAGCATTTATATTGATTGTACTGCAGGGATGGAACGTAAGTCGAAGAAAATTGAGGTTGTGGTGGCAGCTACAGAGAGGTATTTGGGTGTGCGAGACTTCACATCAGAAGAGTTACAGGGTGTGTTAAGTGGTGATGTAGGAATAAATAGATTTAAATAGTGGAGTAGTGTGTTGTTAATTTAATTTAATACTTTTTTTTTGAATTTGTGAGTGTAGTGTTAGATGGTAGGGTATTTCTTTATTTTAATTTAATTTTTCATGCAAAATATAAGGGAGTTGTACTCCAGTCTAGTAGGTGGCGGTAATGCAACATATTGGATGCCAACCGCCGTTAAACCTCATCGAAGAAGAACGTCCATGTTTACATCACTTGACCGGAAATTTAATAAGATAACGTTAGGTGAAATTTTGACTGGAAAATTTAAGTGACTGTAATTTTGGTCATTTTTCAAGGGTATCGTCTGTTTTTAGATTGAGTTGAATGTTTTATTTATTTCGCCTTACAGATCGCTTTGTATCATATTTATTCCAAATAATTTAGTTATTGCTTTCTTTTTTCATCAGCCACATGGGTTTCGCTGTTCTGAGTTGTAAGTTGTGTTAGCTAAGCTAGCTAGCCAAATGTCGAAGCCTGTGTTATTGTCGGTTTACCAAATATTTAAAAAATGTTTTCAAAGCTTGGAGAACAATCAGAAAGTATGGAATTCAGTTTTGGCTGAGTGCAAGCCTTTAATGGTTACACTTGGAAACCTCGAAGAGCAGTTGAGGGCGTTTCAAAAGGTCAAAATCGCCAACACCCCGCTTCACACCTTTCCTGATCTGCACAAGCGTCTTCACTTCAAGCTCCTACAGGCAGTGGACATAGTTTTGGGTAAACTCACGGACAAAATGTAAGATAAATGGTAGCTGACTCCATAAACTCATGAAAATAGTGCAGAGAGAGCTTGAACACATTTTGAAACCACAAAGGACCCTCTTATTTCTTACAGGTGTTCTCTTCAGTCTGTGCGAGATGCTATCAGTAATCAGGTGTCTGGTGCGTTCCAGTTGTATGAGCAGAATATAGACACCCTTGACCTAGCTACCTGCACCCAGAGATCTGCAGTCGCTCCATCCATCGCTGACATGTTGGAGTGGCTTCAGGATGCGGAGCGTTACTATCGTCGACAGTATCCTTTCTGTGTCACTGCGTTACTGTACCATTACTAGGGGTGCGTAATACATTCTCATTGTGAGTGGGCATGCCTCTCGACTGCATACTACTGAGGAAGGCTTGATGCTGAAACACATCAATTCAGAGTGTGGCATTATACATCTTGAAATCTACCATTTGGTAAAGGTTGTCCTATTGTTGATTTGTGTGAGAAAGATAGTTTTCCTCATCTACATGCACAGGTTTCTGAGAAGAAAGAACTTGCTGCTGACACTGAGGGCTGATGACCTCTCCCTTCTGGAAACTGCTCCCAAGAGATGGGAGTCCCTGGAAACACCCAGTGGAGAGGAGAGCATATCAGGTAAACCTATCAATGGTACTCTATTTTCTGTATATACTGTGCTTTCAGAAAGTATTCACATCCCTTAACTTTTTCTACATTTTGTTGTGTTACAAAGTGGGATAAAAATTGATGTAATTGTCATTTTTTGTCAACGGTCTACACAAAATACTCTGTCAAAGACAGAAACAAAAATGTACTTTATGGAAAATGAAACACTAATATATCTTGATTAGATAAGTATTCAACCCCCTGAGTCAATACATGTTAGAATCATGTTAGAATCATCTTTGGCAGAGATTACAGATGAGTCTTTCTGGGTAAGTCACACCTGGATTGTTAACATTTTGCCCATTATTCTTAAAAAAATGTCAAGGTCTGTCATGTTGGTTGTTGATCAAGCCATTTACAAGTCTTGCAATAGATTTTCAAGCCAATTTAAGTCAAATCTGTACCTAGGCCACTCAGGAACATTCAATGTCGTCTTGGTAAGCAACTCCAGTGTATATTTGGCCTTGTATTTTAAGTAATTGTCCTGCTGAAAGGGGAATTTGTCTCCCAGTGTCTGTTGGAAAACAGACTGAACCAAATTTTCCTCTAGGATTTTGCCTGTGCTTAGCTCTATTTCGTTTTATCCTAAAAAACTCCCTAGTCCTTGCTGATGACAAGCATATCATAACATGATGCAGCCACCATCATGCCTGAAAATATGGAGAGTGGTACTCAGTGATGTTGTGTTGGATTTGCCCCAAACATAACGCTTTGTCCCAAACATAACGCTTTTTGTCTTTAGTGCCTTATTGCAAACAGGATGCATGTTTTGGGATATTTTTATTCTGTACAGGCTTCCTTCTTTTCACTCTGTCATTTATTTTAGTATTGTGGAGTAACTACAATGTTGTTGATCCATCCTCAGTTATCCCCTATCACAGCCATTCAATTCTGTAACTGTTTTAAAATCACCATTGGCCTCATAGTGAAATCCCTGAGTGGTTTCCTTCCTCTCCGGCAACTGAGTTAGGAAGGACGCCTGTATCTTTGTAGAGACTGGGTGTATTGATGCACCATCCAAAGTGTAGTTAATAACTGCACCATGCTCAAAGGGATATTCAGTGTCTGTTTGCCCTTTGCGAGGCATTGGAAAAGCTCCCTGGTCTTTGTAGTTGAATCTGTGTTTGAAATTCACTTCTCGACTGAGGGACCTTACATATGTGTGGGGTACAGAGATGGTGTAGTCATCTAAAAATCAGATTAAACACTATTATTGCACACAGTCCATGCAACTTATTATGGGACTTGTTAAGCACATTTTTACCCTGAAGTTATTTAGGCGTGCCATCACCAAAGGGTTGAATACTTATTGACGCAAGACATTTCAGGTTTTCATTTTTCATTAATTTGTAAACATTTCTAAAATCATAATTCCACTTTGTCATTATTGGGTATTGTGTGACACAACATCTCAGTTTAATCCATTTTAAATTCACACTGTAACACAACAAAATGTGGAAAAAGTCAAAGGGTGTAAATACTTTCTGAAGGCACTGTTATTACCCTCACCGAATGTAATGAACTAATGTAGTTATTCTGCATCCTCTTTCAGATACACTGTTTAAAGTGTCCTTTTTCATTGAGTCCCAGTGAAAGAGAACTACAAGATGTTTGCAAGAGGACTACCCGGTGGATGTGATTATCTACTTTCAGATGGTCTACAATAACAAGACTCAGTAAAGGGTTGAAGAGTAAAGGAACAGACTGGGTTCAGGTTGACCTTGACTTGGATGTGTCAGCCCTGATAGGTGCAGAGCACCTGACTGGACTGGATGTGAACAAAGGAGAGGAATGAACAAGGCAGAGGACCATGAGGTGGACATAGCATGTCAGAATTGTCACAGAGCTCAGTTACAACAGCAAAGACCTGAGCTAGAATACTATCACTGTTGACTTCTAAGCTAAAAATGTATTGTGAAAAAACAGTTAAAATGTCATGGAGTATAATATGAAAAATAATAAATAGAAAACTTTGTTACACCTCTCTTGCTCCAACTATCTGGTTTATTCAGGATGGCTGCCTTCTCCCCTTTCCTCAGCTCGAACGGTTGGCCCTTGCTAACCTGAAAGATCAAATTAATTTGACAGGAACTCCAATAGCCTATAGGGGGGCTAGATTGAGCCATCACTGCAACAGGAACACGTTTTCTGTATGGAGTTGTGCACAGCTGAACATTTAGCACAGATATGAGGCCCTCAATATGAGGCCCTCAACACATCAGTTTGTCATGAACTAAACATATGTATTAAAATACCCTTGGAAAAATCTGTTTATTCTTTTACAATTTTGACTTATTCAAACTCAATTAAATAGTTCTGAGACAAAATATGTGAAATAATTAAATAGTTATCTGAGAAGAATTGTGAAAGAAAGTAATCACCCCAATCTTCACAACACATGTCACACAAAACTGTAATATCTTAAAGATGTTTATGGTGATTGATGTTGTGTCTTCCAGGCATTCACTGGAGTATTGTGAGCTGTCCATGCACTAATACTATATCACAGTGTAATAAATGTGTAATGAAGTCAAATAAATTAGAATACATGAGGCAGATAATGTTAGGCATAATGGAAAGTCTCAAACAATATGAAGAGATAATTATGCAAATACATTTAGTCGATAAAATACATTTGAAATAAATACACAGTTACAATAAATCAAAATGAATCAGGTTCACAGTAAAAGAGTGAGGGATAACTGTAGAGTTTCAAATCCAATGCTTCCCATCTTCAAAACCTTCCAAGTCACAACTCCTCACCCCCACCCACAGTCACATTGTTTTTCCTTCGCCAGCCTTCTACTTCCTCTTCTCAACCTTGCTCCTTCCCATACTCCAATTCATACATTCATATTCACATATTGTCTCTGACTACACATATTCTTTTAAGGGCACGCTGTTGGAGGTGATAGGTTTCGGAGGATCAGGTGCGAGGGGGGAGGGGCGCAAGTTAGGAAAGCTCCGGCCCATGTATCCCCGGCGGTACTCCCCTCCTCCCCTCTCGATATGGGGGCAGGTGCTGCTCAGCACGGCCCCGCTGATCATCAGAATAACTGCAGATGCCCAACCCAGGTAGATAGCCTGGCCCAGCTCTCGCTTGTACATAACAGGCACGTTGGGGTTGTAGAAGTCCTGGACCACCGTGTTTGCGGTCCAGGAGACGGGCACCAGCACGCACAGGCCCGTCAGGATGAATAGCACGCCGCCGGAGAGGGCGATGCCCGCCTTGGCACGGCGGTCGTCGCCAGCGCAGGTGGTGCACTTCATGCCACAGCAGGACACGGTGCAGGACAGCCAGCCCAGGAAGATGGCCACACACATGAGGGCACGAGCTGCCTGGAGGTCCGGGGGCAGAGCCAGCATGGAGTCGTAGGTCTTGCACTGCATGTGGCCTGTGGTCTGGTAGATGCAGTTCATCCAGATGCCCTCCCACTTAATCTCGGAGGTGAGGATGTTGCTGCCGATGAAGGCTGACACTTTCCACTGAGGCAAGGCTGTCACAGCGATGGCCATGACCCAACCTGTCACTGCGCAGGTGAAGCTGATCAGCTGCATGCCTGTGTTGACCATGATGGCTGCTCTCGATGTCTTCTGACCTCCACCTGAAACTGACCTTTAATACACTTGTCTATGTCCTCTTTCTCACTTCAAGGCCCACTCCTTTGCTACACCTGCCCTCTCTGTCTGGGCCTTTCACAATCCTGAATTTGAGTCACTCACTGTCCTGTCTTAAACTGCTTTCCGTTCTCAAGCTTCTTATTTCTCTGTGTTTCTTTTCAACATCTAGTCCGATGTCTTCAACTCTGCGTTTTTCAACTTTTACAGTTTTTTTTGCCCGGTGACCGTCTTCTCTTCCTCCACCACCATCCGTCACTCCTAGCTCACTTTCCCCCTCTTTCGAACCGATGAATTATTGAAGAGTCAATAGCTGTGCAGCCACTTATGGAAGCTCACCTGTTTTCAATTGATCAAGCTTCAGAAACGGCACGATCAGGCCCAGTGGGGTTCTGGGTAGGGTACAATTGATGTCATCCACTTCTGTCAGCAGCTCTGGCCCTGTAACCTCACACTAACCCAAGCACTGAGCTGATCAAGGTGTAGCCTTACCTAGATGGGTCAGGCTGATAAAACCTGATACTCGATTCAGGGACGTCGCTGAAGATGTATGCTATCGCTGGAAGTAAAAAACGACTGATACAGACCTCTATGAGAAAAAAGTTCCACAGAAGATAAACAAAACATTAACAGATTTCTTGATAAAACACAAATAGGGCTTTGTCCAATTCTGGCCTTTGTCCAAGTGCATCCTAAATTAGCCTCCAAATGAACCAAAGCTTGATGGTTGATGCCAAAGCTGTTTCACCGTTACAGCTTAAATGGTGTTATGATGGTGTCTTAGAGAACACAGCCTTGGAGAGTGAAGAGGCATCTGCCGCTGGCGCCTGTTGAAGTGTCTTCGTCACAATGCTCACAAAGGGCTCAGAGCCTGCTGAGGCCACTTCAGACTTGACGCAGGTTCAGCTTTCTGCCCTTCCCCCCCAATGCACACAAACCCAAATGGGTCAGTCCAGTCCGGGTGTTAGGGTATAGATAGCAGGCAAGACCACTTAGTCAAACTGCCAGATAAGTGGAATAGTAGGTCCGTCCCTCCCATCTTCAGAACAACCTCAGTTTACCGTCAACCTGTGAGAGCAACACCGTGCCTGGAAAGAGAGAGAGAGCGAGAGGGAACGAGACAGTACAGGGGGAGGGAGAGAGGGGGAGAGTGGTGCCTGTAGGTGGATCAATCAACACAAAGACAATCCAGGGAGCTTCTACAATGGGGCTTAAATGCTCTGCTTTGCGCTACATGGCTCTAAATGAGCTTTTACAACTCTGCTTTTTGTCTGGGGGGTTGCAGTGAAAGGGAGAAATGGCTAAAAAGGGGGCTGATATCCCACCTTATGGATTATATCAATGGATTTACATTGTTAACTGCTGACTTCAGTTAACTGTGTGACTAACTGTGTGATTGTGATGGAGAACAAATTCTTTATTTTGCTTATCAGTTTGTTTCTGATCTCGCGCTCACTACATCTCATTGAACCTTGGTGTGCCTATGTTGATTAATAAAATAGTATGGTAACAAGATCTGCGGTTCGAGTTTCCTTTCTCGTGTGAGTGTGACCTCCTTTCCTAGGCAACGGTGGTCATGACAACAGCACGGGACACAGGAAATGGAAGAGGAGGGGTAATGATACAACGAGAGAGGGGGAAAGAGGAGAGAGGATAGGGGAGCACAGGCTAACGATAGCTGTCCATTGTGAATGAGACATTTGCCCGTGGTACTGCATATGATGACTACCACAGCACAAGAGCAGCCTATAGCGGAAATCCACTGGAATCATTAGCACACGCACAAAAGAATACATGAAAGTCAAAATAAATGTTTCACATCTAAATATATTGCCAGGTTAGAATTTTTTGTCTAGTCGGTGCTTCACAGGCTGTACACACACAGCACATGTTTGACGGAACAGGCTGTGCCCACCCTAATACACAATAGCAGTAAATTATTCAAGATAGACATCCCTGATTTAATGTAATAATCTCCAGATAGTTGTATCAGCTGTCAAGTCCCCTTTAGACTCCAGATTTACAATTTATCTTTGGTACGTGATAGTGGCATTGTCATAAAATGATAGTCTGACAGCTTATTTTGTTAACCTAAACTGAGTAAGGAGGGGTTTTTCAGGAGTCCCATCTCCTCAGACTGCTATTACTCAGCCAATGAGCTGATAACTGACCTGTTCTGCCCATTGAGAGAATCATGCCATCTACTGACACATGAATGTAGTACATCTAGTGGTGATTGTAGATTAGTTCTATTATACTGTGCATTCAATTATCTAGAGTGGCAGCCCTGTAATCACACAACTCATTTATTAGTAAGAATACATTGTAAATGGAGTAGAAGACTAGCATTTGCCCTTTGTGTCATGTGTGGTGTTGGGGTAAAAAGAAGGAATAAAGAGAGGAAACAGCAGCGTATGATATAGGCATAAAATACCAATTTATTACTTTGCACAATAACACAAATATTCCCTGCAGGCAAAAAAAAAATGTTTTTTAAACATGTCACATAGCAATACAGCGAGTGATTAGGCACCCTTGTGGGAGGGGCCTGAGGAAGCCCCACCCCCTCCCCAGCAGGTCAGACAGGGTACCTTTCTATTGCTATTGGACAGTCACACAGCTCAGACCACCAGCAGAGAAAACAGCAGAGCTACACACCAGAATAAAGAACAAAATTAAATTACACTTACACAATGTCAAATAACAAACCTGTAGTCATTATATCAAAGAGGAATTAAAAAATAAATCATGCTCTCTTTCAAACGGGGCACAAAAAGTATGGATCGTTAAAAAGGTTAAAAAGAGGTATTCCTGTGGCCGTGGACGCCTTGGGCCGAGGCCCCCCACAGAGAGGAAGTGCGCTTGTGTGGGTGGCCAGCAGGGTGGCGCCACGGGACAGGAGAGCCCCAAGAGGCGTGGCAGGGGCACAAACCAGGAAGTGGAGGCCTAAATGGACGCTACACTGGGGCCTGTGCGGGGGCGAGGGTTCAAGTCTTTACCGGGCCCACGTTTGAAGAAAGTACCTCGTTTGTCTTCGGGTCACGACGCAAAGGCTCGAACGCTCCGCCTCCAGCGGCCTGTGCCTCCGTTTTTGTACTCACATTTGTGTAGGAATCTTTAAAATACGTCTTGAGGAGACTGGACAATATTGCTAGCCTATAACAGTCTCACTAAATTAATAAACATTTACCATAATTTTTTTCTCCTTCTGTCTCTTAATAAATATGATTCTAGAGATTTTTTAGGGACAATACTCTGGCATGCAGGCGAGCAAAGTCTAAAATGTTTTTACCTTTTTTTTTTTATTCTCAGAGCCTAAAGAGCTAGTCCACCGAATGCACATTCCCACTGATTGATACAGGCTAAAAACAAGTTACAGAAACACAAACTGCGATAGAGAGCAGACCAACAGCCATGTCGACAAGAAGAATTATAGCTTTTTCCTCATTCGAAACTGTATTTAGGGTTAATATTGCTTTGCAATGATAATATGTTCAAAACTGGGGAGTCATCACCGCCTTTGGATCCCTGCTAGGAGACCACACCCACATCCTGGACACTCCTCCAGTCTGGTCACACCCACAGGGACACACTGCAGACTACAACACCAGGCTGAATCACCGCAGCACCCTTGCCGTGTGGGAAAACGAGTGCATGTCTTCTCAATAGCTTAGCCACGCCCCTCAAACTTATTGCATGCAACGCCTGGACCGCCACCATGCTCCTCTCCCATAGGCCAGCGCCCACACCCTCAACAGGTAGGCGCTCAAACTCATTCATAGCAAACCTGCTGCTTTACGGATGGTTTATTACAAAAGGGTTTTTTTTTTTTTTTTACGCTGAGCCGACCCCCCCGACGAGGCATTCACGCCGCCGTCGACCCCCCCGCCCCATCCTCACCGCGAGGGGGAGCGGTCTTGCACGACCATAACCACGACTGTGGTTAAATAGGATCTTTAACCACGGTCGTGACTGGTCAGGTGTCATTAGATCCAAGGGCAGTGCTTATGCTTTATGTCAATTAATATCTGGTGTTAAAAACCTTATTTAATACAAATAAAATTAAAAAAACACCATAAGTTTAGACTTGGATAGATATACTTGTTCAAATACACACAAACCGTAATAGAAACACTATGAAGTTCTAAAGATGTAACTCATTGCCTATTGCATACCTCTTTTTACCACTCCATCTGTCCCAGTTTCTTCCTAATGCCAGCTCTGATTGTCACCTTTCATCCATTCGAACCGAAACCCCCTGCTGCCAACAGTACTCACCAGATGAGCACTGACGGCAGCCTCCTGTTTTACCAGTCAGGGGTAACGGTGATAGCTCAACACAGAATTTTCCCTACTGGAGAACACAGCCAAACCCTTCCCTACTACCATAAACTACTACATAACTGAGGAGCAGAAGGGTGCATAAACTACACCTTGGGCCTCCCTCCACCGCAGGCCACACCTTGGGCCTCCCTCCACCGCAGGCCCCACCTTGGGCCTCCCTCCACCGCAGGCCACACCTTGGGCCTCCCTCCACCGCAGGCCACACCTTGGGCCTCCCTCCACCGCAGGCCACACCTTGGGCCTCCCTCCACCGCAGGCCACACCTTGGGCCTCCCTCCACCGCAGGCCACACCTTGGGCCTCCCTCCACCGCAGGCCAGAATGCTACAAAGTGTCCAACTCTAAACCCAGCTACTGATCTCCTAACTACACATCTGGTTGCTGCCGGTCTGATAATTATCATAATCGTAGATAAGAACATTAACAACAACAATAAGAACAACATCAAATATACCAACTATGTCTGAACAATAGTTAAGATTAGCCACAAAAACGGTTTTATATTAAACTCTTACAAATTCTGCTTTTTGATTCTTATGTATAAATGCATAAAAGTAAGAGAGAGTGCCCTCTGTTGCTTGCCTAGCGTCCCGGGTCAGTGCAATGAATTGGCCGGTAGCAAAAGGAGACCCCAAAAGTTAAGTGAATGCGCTTTCCGGCTCCAAAAAATTCAGACGACTAGCGCCTTGCTAGAAAACATGCTCCACCCCAACAATGTCATAACCATTGAGACAAACAAGTTTAAGGGATGGATCCCCTTCCTCACAGGGGGCACCAACTAAGGCGGCTTAGCCCAATGCCGTAACCCCTCACGAAGCTCTCAACCATTCAATAGGTCCCAATGCCCAGTCAGTCACACCGGCTAAACCACGGTTGCTACTGCTACTCATATACCCACCAGCCTCTGTGAAGCCTGTATAGTTCAATCTGTTCTATAGATGTAAATATTTAGATATATGTAATGTGTGAATATAAAAACATCAAATCTGAGGCATTTACAGCAGTTATTCGTCTTGATTTTCCCTTTACAATTCAGTGGCCTGCCATGAAAACACACGCACGCAAAGACACACACTCACATGTATATACACAAACACACATACTTATTCTTCGCTAACTGGGAGAAGAAAGAGTCATGGGTATGGATACCCAGGTGACCTCGCTTGTAAAAGACTGAAGAAAAGGAGAAAGGAAAAACATGATCATAAAAAGGAAAAAAATATATATTCTCAAAAGGTCCACCCCACCCATGTTTCCATGCAAACTTCCCATGACCCCCCCCCCCCCCCCCCCCACCCACCCCAAGACCTTGTGACAGATTTTTGCCCAAAGGGGCTTTGAGGTAAAAAGTAGACAGAGTCCTGCTTAGCTAAGAGAGCTAAGAGCTGCCACTGACGATTGCCGTCTGTCCGCTCCGTTGCTCAGTGTTACAAACAACAACAAAAAACACATTCAAAACCGAACCCCCCCCCCCCCCCCAAAATGGCTCAACTTGTGTATGCGTGTATTTTGCTTTCTCTGTACATCGGAAACCCCAACGGTCTCTCAGTGCCAGATTGCTGGTAGAGGGCGGCTCGATCGGGAATGCCGGATGTCGTTTTTCCGAAAAGGAAAATACTCCATTGGCACACTTCACTGGCTTCGAACCGCTTTGGTGCAGATCAAGACGCAAGAGAGAGAAAGATAGAGACTGGCAAAAAGAGAGAGAGAGAGAGAAAAGACAGAATTGCGCCCATTGCTGGTGTGGCTCAGGCAAAGTACATGGTGTGCTGGGTATCATAGTGGATCTGGACTGCCTTGGCCAGGGCCAGGGGGTCCCGACCGTTACTCTGGCCCGACACATGGCTGCCCTCCGCACTGCAGGACAGGACGAGAGAGAGGGGTCAGATACATGATAAAGTAACAGAAACAAGAGCACAAAACCCCTCCTGTTTGGTTCCACCATTACAACTATGGTCATTTTGAACAAAATCTACCATAATGTATTTGCATCAACATGACAAAACAAAAATGGTATATTCAGGAAAGCTACACGCATAATATGTTGCAAATATAAATCTAACGTATAGGGAAGCTAATACAGCTCATCAGTGTCTGTTCAGGCCAAAATAACATTTTATGTACAGTGCCCTCTGTAATTATTGGGACAGTGAAGCATTTATTCTTATTTTGGCTCTATGCTCCAAAAGTTTGGATTTGAAATCAAACAATGACCATGGGGTTAAAGTGCAGACGGTCAGCTTTAATTTGAGGGTATTTTCATCCATATCGAGTGAACCATTTAGAAATTACAGCACTTTCTGTACATAGTCCCCCCTATTTTAGGGGACCAAAAGTATTGGGACAAACTCTACAAATTTGTTGGATGCACTTTCTGTTTGTTTCAGATTTTTGTGCCCAATAGAAATGAATGGTAAATAATGTATTGTGTCATTTTGGAGTCACTTGTATTGTTAATAAGAATAGAACGTTTCTAAACACTTCTACATTCATGTGGATGCTACCATGGTTACGGATAATCCTGAATGAATCGTGAGTAATGATGATTGAGAAAGATGCACAAATATCATACCCCTCCCCCAAAAAAATGCTAACCTCCCCTGTTATTGTAATGTTGAGAGGTTAGCATGTCTTGGGGGTATGATATTTGTGCGTCTAACTTTCTCACTCATCATTATTCACGATTTATTCAGGTAGCCTCCACATTAATGTTAAAGTGTTCAGAAACATATTCTATTGTTATTTACAATAAAAGTGACTAATAAAAGCCCTCAGTTTTCAGAACTTGTATCTTGCCACTTTCATCATTACCTGTCATGGTCTTTGTCCACCAGGTGGTAGCGGGCGCGGAAGGCCACTAGCCTGGCGTAGTAGGCTGGCGCGGGGATGGAGACTGAGCGGGTGCAGCGGACGTAGGTGTGGCACAGCTGGTAGGTGAGCAGCTGGAGCTCGTCGGCCGTGAAGCAGTTGTCGTCCCACAGGACGTGGTAATGAGAGGGCCGGCTGGTGCCCTGGATCCCAGCATGGCTGCACAGGTAGAAGTCAAACTCGGAGGGGTGGGTGATTGTGCTGTCCACCGTGGTTCCGGCTGGGACGTTGCCACTCTTTCCAACCTGTAGGGGGAGATAGTTGCGATTACAGACACTGGACATGCTGGAGTGCTAGCTGAAAAGGGGCTACCTCTCTTTGCAACCCCTCTATAACTTCGGCTGTGTCTAAATCATGAATGTAGTGAAATGTCAGCTCAGATACTACTCCAAAGATGGGAGTTTTGAGAGATGCATTAAAAAAGTATTGGAACACTGCCAAAGCCCTCGATACCCGCCCTCATGTAGTAACGTATGTAGACGTTGCCCCTAACCACAGGTACAGGGTCAGATGTCGTTTCATCCCCTAATGGCTTACAGTTGGGTAATCAGATCCTAGACCTGCGGTTAATTGCACCCTCTACATCAGGGGTGTCAAACTCAATTCCTGGAGGGTTGCGTGTCTGCGGGTTTTCGCTCCTCCCTGTACTTGATCGTTCATTTAAGGTAATTGCTTAGGAAGTCCCCTCAAAAACCAGCAGACACACAGTCCCTCCAGGAATTGAGTTTGACACCTCTGCTCTACATGGATCTCCACTCACCCTCTCGGCCTTGTCGGAACAGAAGAGGCGGGTGTGGTGGCGTTTCTGAACCACAATGTAAGTGATGCCCGGACGGTAGTCCTCCTCCAGGCTGATACAGGCCTTCCTGATGGCTATCAGCTCCGGCCACGCCACCTACACAGTCACCCACACACACAGGGGGAAGAGATAGAAACAGTGAGCTTCACATTGCATGGAAACATTTATTGATATGATTCTCTGGTTGAGGCAAAGTTGGCTGCGTTTACACAGGCAGCCTAATTCTGACCTTTTGCCCAATTATTGGGCAAAGATCTGATCCGATTGGTCAAAATACCAAAAATTGGGCAAAAGATCAGAATTGGGCTGCCTGTGTAAACGCAGTGAGATGCTATATCCAGGGCACTGTGACACAAATCACTAGGGACCAAACTTTTTTAAATAGTTGTAGAGACAGGCTCCAATTGGAGAGGGAGGTCCGTCTGGATATACTTTGAGCCACTATTGAACCGTCAATGCCCATGTCCAACACTGACAGGAGACCATGGTTTTGCTGGGGTGCAAGGGGCTGCACCTTTTAACCCCCTTTGAGGAGTACTGATGGCATATGCTACCCTTTATAACACTTAAGGTAATGCAAAAGGGCTGCGAATTCAAACCTTAGACATTTCAACAAAGAACACTCACTGCTTAAAGGGATAAGCAGCCACCGACTCAATATGAGAAATCATATTGCAATGTAATTCAACGGTCAATTCAGAACAGAGAGTCAAAACTGAAAACGTCACCCTCCCAGTTACCCCCCCCATCACCTGTTTCATTTGGCCCTCAGACACGCCGCCACGGTAGTAGATGATGCGTGTGGGCTTGAAGCGCGTGGACTTGTAGAACTGGATGAGCAGCTCGCGCACCATGTTGGTCAGGTCCTGGATGACCTCCTGGCTGTACAGCTGCTCCTGGGACAGGTCCTGGCGCGACGTCTGCACGCGCACTGTTGCACAGTAGCGGCTGGGGTGGCCGTCCATGCTGCCCACCACCGCCGCGATGGAGGGCTTCTTGCCGTCTCCGGCTGGAGGGTGAGTGACGTCCGCCCCCAGGAAGATAACAGGTTGCTGGAACACAGAGGGTCTGGAGGTGGGGAGAGGAGGTTGTTGAAATTTATTAATTTAAAGGACAGAGATGGCAAATAAAATAAACGTACAGTTATGGTGTGTGTGTGTGTGTGTGTGTGTGTGTGTGTGTGTGTGTGTGTGTGTGTGTTGCTTTGCTCTCAGAGAGGAGGTATAGGTCTTTCGCACAATACAGAATACATTTGAGAATTGATTGACATGTTATGGACACCAGAATGTGCATAGGCAATTGTATGTTGTGTGGGTGTATTGCGCTTTCATTGATGACTAAGCAGTGGGCTGTTTTACTCCCAGTTTTACTGCATCAGTGTTGCCTTTAGGCAATTTCGTCAAAGCCATGAAGGCTTGGAAGACCATCGTGAGAACATCACTTGCAGCGAGACACAATCTTGAGTATACTACACTGAACAAAATATAAACGCAACATGTAAAGTGTTGGTTTCATGTGCTGAAATAAAAAAAATCCCTGACATTTTCCATACACACAAAAAGCTTATTTCTCTCAAATTTTGTGCACAGATTTGTTTACATCCCTGTTAGTGAGCATTTCTCCATTGCAAAGGTAATCCATCCACCTGACAGGTGTGGCATATCAAGAAGCTGATTAAACAGCATGATCATTACACAGGTGCACCGTGTGCTGGGGACAATAAAAGGCAACTCTAAAATGTGCAGTTTTGTCACACAACACAATGCCACAGATGTCTCAAGTTGAGGGAGCCTGCAATTGGCATGCTGACTGCAGGAATGTCCACCAGAGCTGTTGCCAGAGAATTGAATGTTAATTTCTCTAAAATAAGCTGCCCTCCAACATCATTTTAGAGAATTTGGCAGTACGTCCAACCAGTCTCACAATCGCAAACCACTTTTAAACACACCAGCCCAGGACCTCCACATACGGCTTCTTCAACTGTGGGATCGTCTGAGGGAGGGTGGGGGGTGCTGAGGAGTATTTATGTCTGTAATAAAGCCCTTTTGTGGAGAAAACCTCATTCTGATTGGCTGGGCCTGGCTCCCCAGTGGGTGTGCCTGGCTGCCCATGGCTGCACCCCTGCCAAGTCATGTGAAATCCATAGATTAGGGCCTAATTAAATTATTTCAATTGACTGATTTCCTTATATGAACTGTAACTCAGTAAAATCTTTGAAATTGTTGCATGTTGCGTTTATATTTTTGGTCAGTATATACAGTACCAGTTAAGTTTGGACACACCTACTCATTCAAGGGTTTTTCTTTATTTTTACTATTTTCTACATTGTAGAATAATAGTTTAGACATCGGAACTATGAAATAACAAGTGTTAAACAAATAAAAAAATATTTTATATTTGAGATTCTTCAAAGTAGCCACCCTTTGCCTTGATAACAGCTTTGCACACTCTTGGCATTCTCTCAACCAGCTTCCTGTTAAAAGTTCATTTGTGGAATTTCTTAATGCATTTGAGCCAATCAGTTGTGTAGTGACAAGGTAGGGGTGGTCTACAGAAGACAGCCCTATTTGGTAAAAGATCAAGTCCATATTATGGAAAGAACAGCTCAAATAAGCAAAGAGAAACGACAGTCCATCATTACTTTAAGACATGAAGGTCAGTCAATATTTACATTTACATCATTTAGCAGACGCTCTTATCCGGAGCGACTTACAAATTGGTGCATTCACCTTATAGCCAGTGGGAAAACCACTGTACAATTGGTACAGTGTTTTTTTTTTTTTTTGGGGGGGGGGGGGGGGTAAGGGGGGGGGTAGAAGGATTACTTTATCCTATCCCAGGTATTCCTTAAAGAGGTGGGGTTTCAAGTGTCTCCGGAAGGTGGTGAGTGACTCCGCTGTCCTGGCGTCGTGAGGGAGCTTGTTCCACCATTGGGGTGCCAGAGCAGCGAACAGTTTTGACTGGGCTGAGCGGGAACTGTGCTTCCGCAGAGGTAGGGGGGCCAGCAGGCCAGAGGTGGATGAACGCAATGCCCTCGTTTGGGTGTAGGGACTGATCAGAGCCTGAAGGTACGGAGGTGCCGTTCCCCTCACAGCTCCGTAGGCAAGCACCATGGTCTTGTAGCAGATGCAAGCTTCAACTGGAAGCCAGTGGAGTGTGCGGAGGAGCGGGGTGACGTGAGAGAACTTGGGAAGGTTGAACACCAGACGGGCTGCGGCATTCTGGATGAGTTGTAGGGGTTTAATGGCACAGGCAGGGAGCCCAGCCAACAGCGAGTTACAGTAATCCAGACGGGAGATGACAATGCCTGGATTAGGACCTGTGCCGCTTCCTGTGTAAGGCAGGGTCGTACTCTCCGAATGTTGTAGAGCATGAACCTACAGGATCGGGTCACCGCCTTGATGTTAGGACAATATAGAACATTTCAAGAACTTTGAAAGTTTCTTCAAGTGCAGTCGCAAAAACCATCAAGCACTATGATGAAACTGGCTCTCGTGAGGACCACCACAGGAAAATAAGACCCAGAGTTACCCCTGCTGCAGAGGATAGGTTCATTGAAGTTACCAGGCTCAGAAATTGCAGCCCAAATAAATGCTTCACAGAGTTCAAGTAACAGACATGAACTGTTCAGAGGAGAATGCGTGAATCAGGCCTTCATGGTCGAATTGCTGCAAAGAAACCACTACTAAAGGACACCAATAAGAAGAAGAGACTTGCTTGGGTCAAGAAACACGAGCAATGGACATTAGACCGGTGGAAATCTGTTCTTTGGTCTGATGAGTCCAAATTTTAGATTTTTGGTTCCAACCACCGTCTTTGTGAGACGCAGAGCAGGTGAACGGATGATCTCCGCATGTGTGGTTCCCACTGTGAAGCATGGAGGTGGTGTGATGGTATGGGGGTGCTTTGCTGGTAACACTGTCAGTGATTTATATAGAATTTAAGGCACACTTAACGAGCATGGCTACCACAGCATTCTGCAGCGATACGGGCTTAGTGGGACTATCATTTGATTTTCAAAAGGACAATGACCCAACACATCTCCAGGCTGTGTAAGGGCTATTTGACCAAGAAGGAGAGTGATGGAGTGCTGCATCAGATGACCTGGCCTCCACAATCACCTGACCTCAACCCAATTGAGCTGGTTTGAGAGGAGTTGGACCGCAGAGTGAAGGAAAAGCAGCCAACAAGTGCTCAGCATATGTGGGAACTCCTTCTAGACTGTTGGAAAAGCATTCCAAGTGAAGCTGGTTGAGAGAATGCCAAGAGTGTGCAAAGCTGTCATCAAGGCAAAGGGTGGCTACTTAGAAAAATCTAAAATATATTTTGATTTGTTTAACACTTCTTTGGTTACTACATGATTCCATGTGTTATTTCATAGTTTTGATGTCTTCGCTATTATTCTACAATGTAGAAAATAGTAAAAAAATCAAGAAAACCCTTGAATGAGTAGGTGTGTCCAAACCTTTGACTGGTACTGTATGTGTATGTGTGTATATACAAACACACACACACACACACATACAGTTGAAGTCGATTAGGACATCTACTTTGTGCATGACAAGTAATTTTTCCAACAATTGTTTACAGACAGATCATTTCACTTATAATTCACTGTATCACAATTCCAGTGGGTCAGAAGTTTACATACACTAAGTTGACCGTGCCTTTAAACAGCTTGGAAAATTCCAGAAAATTATGTCATGGCTTTAGAAGCTTCTGATAGGCTAATTGACATAATTTGAGTCAATTGGAGGTGTACCTGTGGATGCATTTCAAGCCCTACCTTCAAACTCAGTGCCTCTTTGCTTGACATCATGGGAAAGTCAAAATAAATTTTTTTGACCTCCACAGGTCTGTTTCATCCTTAGGAGCAATTTCCAAATGCCTGAAGGTACCACGTTCATTGTACAAACACCATGGGACCACGCAGCCGTCATACCGCTCAGGAAGGAGACGCGTTCTGTCTCCTAGAGATGAACGTACTTTGGTGCGGAAAGTGCAAATCAATCCCAGAACAACAGCAAAGGACCTTGTGAAGATGCTGGAGGAAACAGGTACAAAAGTATCTATATCCACACTAAAACAAGTCCTATATCGACAACCTGAAAGGCCGCTCAGCAAGGAAGAAGCAACTGCTCCAAAACCGCCATAAAAAAGCCAGACTATGGTTTGCAACTTCACATGGGGACAAAGATCGTACTTTTTGGAGAAATGTCCTCTGGTCTGATGAAACAAAAATAGAACTGTTTGGCCTTAATGACCATCGTTATGTTTGGAGGAAAAAGGGGAAGGCTTGCAAGCCGAAGAACATCATCCCAACCGTGAAGCACAGGGGTGGCAGCATCATGCTGTGGGGGTGCTTTGCTGCAGGAGGGACTGGTGCACTTCACAAAATAGATGGCATCATGAGGAAGGAAGATTATGTGGATATATTGAAGCAACATATCAAGACATCAGTCAGGAAGTTAAAGCTTGGTCGCAAATGGGGTCTTCCAAATGGACAATGACCCCAAGCATACTTCCAAAGTTGTGGCAAAATGGCTTAAGGACAACAAAGTCAAGGTATTGGAGTGGCCATCACAAAGCCCTGACCTCAATCCTATAGAACATTTGTGGGCAGAACTGAAAAAGCGTGTGCGAGCAAGGAGGCCTACAAACCTGACTCAATTACACCAGCTCTGTCAGGAGGAATGGGCCAAAATTCACCCAACTTATTGTGGGAAGCTTGTGGAAGGCTACCCAAAACGTTTGACCCAAGTTAAACAATTTAAAGGCAATGTTACCAAATACTAGTTGAGTGTATGTAAATTCTGACCCACTGGGAATGTGATGAAAGAAACAAAAACTGAAATAAATCATTCTCTCTACTATTATTCTGACATTTCACATTCTTAAAATAAAGTGGTGATCCTAACTGACCTAAGACAGGGAACTTTTACTAGGATTAAATGTCAGGAATTGTGAAAATCTGAGTTTAAATGTATTTGGCTAAGGTGTGTGTAAACCTCCGACTTCAACTGTGTGTGTGTGTGTGTGTGTGTGTGTGTGTGTGTGTGTGTGTGTATATATATATATATATATATATATGTGCAAGCGCGACAAAAATCAGGAATGCGTAATGCCACTTGTGTTACTACGCGCCTTTGCGTACTTGACCGATCTTCTCATCTAACCTTACACATGACATGTTGCTTGTCAACTACTGTCAGGGATGTCCAATAAAGCAACAGACATTAAGCAGCTTCTTTGGCGTTTCGCCACCTACAAAGAAACGCCAACTGGAGCCAGAGCCGAAGAAAATGCATTTTTCGGAAAAGTGGCTCCAAGATGTGCAGTGGCTTGAAGCTAACGATGAGCGCACTGAAATGTGGTGCAAGATTTGCCGCTCAAATCCACATCTAGCAGACAAATCAGGTGCATTTTATAAAAGGCTCAAAGAATTTCAACCATCCTTTATTTGACAAACATGAAAAGAGCAAGGAGCACACGAATGTGGCGCAAGCCATTGCTAATAAACAAGCTAGCCGAGAAGAAATGTCCAGTCGCCCACTTGCCAGATGGCGAGACAAGCTGAATGAAGAACAGCGGCAAGCTCTGTTTAATAATTTTCTCCTTCCATAAAGCTAAACACGCACGTCCCATGTCTTCCTATTCTGAGGATGTTCCTTTACTGAAGCGGCTAGGAGTAAATGTCGGAGGTGCATATCATTCACGTGAAGGGGGCACACGGCTCATGCAGAGCATCGCTCACACCATCAGCGGGGAGTTACGAGCCAAGTTGCAGTCTGCTGAATTTTGGGGGCTGCTTTTTGATGGATCTGAGGACAATACAAAAACTGAGCAGGAAATCGTTTACATTGTGTCTGTGTCCAGCAACGGAGAGTTTACTTCGGACTTTATTGGACTGATTGAATTGGGTGCTGACCGAACCGCGCAGGCCATAACAGACGGACTTGTGAGACTTTTCCAGGACACAGGCTTGGATGACTGGACAACAAAGTTGGTCGTTGTGTGCACAGACGGGGCTGCTGTCAACGTAGGCATCTACAACGGCGTTGTGCCAAAACTCCGCAACTTGCTGCGGTTGGAGACTCCCTTGTGCGCATTCTGTGCACCGCACACACTGGAGAATTGCGCGAAATCAGCTAATCGCAACGTTCCTTACTGTGAGACATTTAAATCGCTCTGTGGTCAAGCTGCTGCAGTTTTATTTACAAAAAGGTGGAGCAAAAAAAACTGCTGCACTGAATAAGCTATGTGAAGAAAATGGGATCTCCTTTGTGAAACTGGGTAAGTTTCATAATATCAGATGGTCTGCATGGAGGCATGAAACACTTAAAAATATCAAGCCTATTGCCAGCCATTAAAATTCAACTGGTTACGAGTGATAACAGTGACTTGCAGCATATCTGCACAGAGCGTTTTCAGTGCTTTCTGTCAAACATGCTTGACATTTGCAACATTTTGAAGACCACATCCATTAGGTTTCAGAAGGAAAAGCTGACCATTGGAGAATGTAAGGATGAACTCATGGTGGCCATTGGACAGTTCACACTTCTGCTTGATGGTGAAAGCCACCGGCACACACTGTTTCCAATCCTGATGCTGACAGAGACAAGACACACTTACTCAGGGGGTTAATTGAAGAGTTTGAAATCAGATTTGACTCCCTCAAGTCATGTGATCATTTCTTAGTATTTGATACTTCAACATGGCCTCAGGAAATGCAAGACCTCCACAGTTTTGGAAACACAACAGTTTGCAGCATTCTCAAGAAATATGAGGCCACCTTGCAACTTGACAAAGATACCACTGTGACAGAATGGATGCGCTTAAAGCAGGCAGGAAAACGCCTGGGAGTCTCTTCTGTGTATGACTTGGTCCAAATACTAAATACAAGTAACCCAGATGCTTACTCCAACATCAACAAGGTGGTTAAGCTGTCTCTTACACTGCCTTTAAGCAGTGCAGCTTGTGAGAGGGGATTCTCACATCTCAACATAATAAAAACCAAGTACAGATCTCGTCTGTCACATGCTCGTCTCTCAGCCCTGATGCACATTCACCTGTCAAAGCAGACCACAGAGACATTTGACCCAAAGCCTGCTGTTGACCTGTGGATGGAGACAGCTAATCAGGGAGGACAGGGAGGTGCAGGGAGGTGCATCTGCAGCATCTTCACCATCTACCATGCAGGAAGCTGAAGCAGAGGACAGTGGGGGCGACACTGAAGAGGACAGTGGTGGCGGCAGGCGGCACTGAGGAGGACAGTGAGGAAGACTGCACTTATTAAGACCACGCTACAAATGGAGTGAGTACCAGACACCATCTGCTGGTACTCGCACACACACATATATGTAGTGAGGTTCAACCTGAGCTGTAATGAGTGTGTGTGTGTGTGGTTGCCACCTCTGATGGGGCACCAGGACGTTGTTGATGCCACCCAGTTTGGCGTTGATCTTGAGGCAGAGGTTGGAGAGGGTCTGGGGGGACGTCTTCACCACATTCTTCACCTGGACACACTGAGTGGCCATGCCCAGGAGAGTGTCTCCTACTCGCTTCACCTCCGCTGTGGCACCAGGACCATAGGGACACAGAAAAATTATTGAGCTCTAATATTCTCAAATGTAAGGTAAAAAGAGTATCTAGCAGATTGATTCTCTTAACATTTTAAGCATGATGAGTGAACTGGTGTTCCTCAAGTCACTAGTGGAAATTAAGGGGGTTCACTCCCCTAATGCCATTTTCAATCCTTCCAATTATATTGATCAAATATCTTATGCAAATCACGCAAAACCATAAGAGGAAATGCATTAAAAAGACACTAGGAAGAGACAGACAGACTAGTTGAAGTTAGTTTGCCCTTTCTTTCAACATTAGAATAGATTTCCCAACTAAAGAACTATCAAAATGATTCTTACCGTAGACAGGGGTTTTGCCGGGAAGGATGACCACGATGAGCTGCAGTCCCACATAGGATATCTTGAGGTGTTTGAACATGGGCTCCACGCTGTCCGCTCCCTGGGCGTATTTACAGAAACACGGCTGGCCCTGGATGGGCATCCCCGCGTCCTTGGAGATCTTCCTCAGCTGGTCTGTGAAGCTCCTAGAAAAGCATGAACAAACCTTTAGGGAATGTAGTCTTGACTAGAATACTGCATTCAAACTGTTGAACAATAAGTTGCAGTTTTGTGATCAAAATCCTAACTTAAGATATATTTGCGCAACTAGTTTGAATACATCATTGGGAGATTTACATCATATTTTTGATAAGCCCACATATCTCAAGTTTGGATTTTGCCCTGAATGAGTAACGATCACCACCCAGACTAAGGAGGACTATGGGGATTTGTGGGAATAGGAAAAGAGAAGGGGTGGTGGTGTGTCTACCATGTTGACGGGCAGATAACTCACTTGAGCAGGTCCTCTCTGCACTGTTTCTGTGGGGCGAAGCAGGCCACAGCCCACACCTTGATCTCTATCCCGGCGTAGAACTGCTTCCCCCGCATGTCCCACACGCCCTGGTTGGGCGTGGCCACAGTCTTATTCTGCGGAGAGAGTCCCTACGCTCTTAGTGAACCCCCCGGTTTAACCAGCCGACACAGCAGATACAACTCCCCAGCTCCCTGCCTGCACCACACACATGGTGCGGGTAGAATTTGCCCCTTACCACTGATACAGGTCCAGATCCTTTTACATATGATTAGGACTGGGGGGGGGGGGGGGGGGGTAGGAGAATCTGACCCTAGATCGGTGGTTCGAGGCAACTTCTACCGTAAGTTCCTATTACACACACACACACAATCCATCCCATAGCAAGTAGCCTGCAGGCAAAACCCCCACGTACTAAACAGCACCAGAAGCTTATTCAACAGGGCAGAACGTTCATGTATAGAATAGACATGACCATCATGGTTACTACTGTACAATATAAGATATGCCCAGAATTGTCTATTCTACAAATGAGCAAATACTTTACACTGTGATAAGACTGCAGGTTACCATCCTTCCAGTTATCTCAACAATAGATTTTGCTGATACACACTTACAGTGGGGAGAACAAGTATTTGATACACTGCCGATTTTGCAGGTTTTCCTACTTACAAAGCATGTAGAGGTCTGTAATTTTTATCATAGGTACACTTCAACTGTGAGAGACGGAATCTAAAACAAAAATCCAGAAAATCACATTGTATGATTTTTAAGTAATTAATTTGCATTTTATTGCATGACATAAGTATTTGATCACCTACCAACCAGTAAGAATTCCGGCTCTCACAGACCTGTTCGTTTTTCTTTAAGAAGCCCTCCTGTTCTCCACTCATTACCTGTAGTAACTGCACCTGTTTGAACTCGTTACCTGTATAAAAGACACCTGTCCACACACTCAATCAAACAGACTCCAACCTCTCCACAATGGCCAAGACCAGAGAGCTGTGTAAGGACATCAGGGATAAAATTGTAGACCTGCACAAGGCTGGGATGGGCTACAGGACAATAGGCAAGCAGCTTGGTGAGAAGGCAACAACTGTTGGCGCAATTATTAGAAAATGGAAGAAGTTCAAGATGACGGTCAATCACCCTCGGTCTGGGGCTCCATGCAAGATCTCACCTCGTGGGGCATCAATGATCATGAGGAAGGTGAGGGATCAGCCCAGAACTACACGGCAGGACCAGGTCAATGACCTGAAGAGAGCTGGGACCACAGTCTCAAAGAAAAACATTAGTAATACACTACGCCGTCATGGATTAAAATCCTGCAGCGCACGCTAGGTCCCCCTGCTCAAGCCAGCACATGTCCAGGCCCATCTGAAGTTTGCCAATGACCATCTGGATGATCCACAGGAGGAATGGGAGAAGGTCATGTGGTCTGATGAGACAAAAATAGAGCTTTTTGGTCTAAACTCCACTCGCCGTGTTTGGAGGAAGAAGAAGGATGAGTACAACCCCAAGAACACCATCCCAACCGTGAAGCATGGAGGTGGAAACATCATTCTTTGGGGATGCTTTTCTGTAAAGGGGACAGGACGACTGCACCGTATTGAGGGGAGGATGGATGGGGCCATGTATCGCGAGATCTTGGCCAACAACCTCCTTCCCTCAGTAATAGCATTGAAGATGGGTCGTGGCTGGGTCTTCCAGCATGACAACGACCCGAAACACACAGCCAGGGCAACTAAGGAGTGGCTCCGTAAGAAGCATCTCAAGGTCCTGGAGTGGCCTAGCCAGTCTCCAGACCTGAACCCAATAGAAAATCTTTGGAGGGAGCTGAAAGTCTGTATTGCCCAGCGACAGCCCCGAAACCTGAAGGTCTGTATGGAGGAGTGGGCCAAAATCCCTGCTGCAGTGTGTGCAAACCTGGTCAAGACCTACAGGAAACGTATGATCTCTGTAATTGCAAACAAAGGTTTCTGTACCAAATATTAAGTTCTGCTTTTCTGATGTATCAAATACTTATGTCATGCAATAACATGCAAATTAATTACTTAAAAATCATACAATGTGATTTTCTGGATTTTTGTTTTAGATTCCGTCTCTCACAGTTGAAGTGTACCTATGATAAAAATTACAGACCTCTACATGCTTTGTAAGTAGGAAAACCTGCAAAATCGGCAGTGTATCAAATACTTGTTCTCCCCACTGTAGGTGCCATGTGTTATTCAATCATCACTACTAAAGCATACATGTCAGGGTCCGTATCCACAACGCGGATACTCAGAGTAGGAGTGCCACTGCTGATCTAGGATAAATTCTGCTTTTTGGTTCATAATGAATAATAAGATTGTATGGACAGATCCTAGATCAGCACTCCTACTCCGAGACGCTTTGTGGATACGGGCCCAAATGTTATCAGATCATTCCAGCTATGAATAGAAGTTCCTCCAGTGTTCAGTGCCCATTGCATCGCTGCTTTATTTTGCATTATGTCGAGTTAGGCTACTCTCTCGTAACTATTGGGCAACCATATGGTATTCTCCAGCAAGCTATACATCTACAGTTCAAGAATGAAAAAGCCCTGAAAACTGAGGTGCTGATCCAGCATTGAATCACATATATTAGATTGTGATTACACTGAATATTAATACAGTCGTGTATATCACATCATATTAACAGCATGTTAGAGAAAAGTGACGATTATCAAAGCGTTCCACTGTAACTACAGCAATATACTGTATATTATAAACATCAGCATGATAAAACAGTGGAATGACAAAAGAACAAACCCATTACAGCTACAACAATAACAGTTAAAATGGCTGAAAGATGTGCCAGTCATACAAATGAGGTTGAGAAAAACAATCAGTCCACACTTTAGAGGATGACGATAAGACTCCATTACCCAGCAGTCCTAAACACTCAAGAAGAGACTGTAAATGGGCCCAATAAAATGCATAGAACCCAGCAATACTGTGCCAAAACTTTTAGTACATCCCTGTGACCAAATGTTTTGCTAACGTGCAATTTCAAGCCAAGTTCAGCTCAATTACCCATATGGAACATGAGGTTTTACAGTCCACATGGGACCTACGAGAAGGTCTGTGGAAGAGGTCTACCCTTACCAAACATTATTACGTTATATAAAGACTGGACGGAACTCATTATGTAGAAACCATGGATATAGCCTACATATGACTATCCATACACTACCGGTCAAAAGTTTTAGAACACCTACTCATTCAAGGGTTTTTCTTTATTTTTACTATTTTCTCCATAGTAGAATAATAGTGAAGACATCAAAACTATGAAATAACACATATGGAATCATGTAGTAACCAAAAAAGTGCTGAACAAATCAAAATATATTTTATATTTGAGATTCTTCAAATAGCCACCCTTTGCCTTGATGACAGCTTTGCACACTCTTGGCATTCTCTCAACCAGCTTCATAAGGTAGTCACCTGGAACGCGTTTCAATTAACAGGTGTGCCTTCTTAAAAGTTAAGTTGTGGAATTGATTTCCTTCTTAATGCGTTTGAGCCAATCAGTTGTGTTGTGACAAGGTAGGGGGGGTATACAGAAGATAGCCCTATTTGGTAAAAGACCAAGTCCAAATTTGGCAAGAACAGCTCAAATAAGCAAAGAGAAACAACAGTCCATCATTACTTTAAGAAATGAAGGTCAGTCAATACGGAACATTTCAAGAACTTTGAAAGTTTCTTCAAGTGCAGTCGCAAAAACCATCGAGCGCTATGATGAAACTGGCTCTCATGAGGACCGCCACAGGAATGGAAGACCCAGAGTTACCTCTGCTGCAGGGATAAGTTCAGCCTCAGAAATTGCAGCCCAAATATATCCTTCACAGAATTCAAGTAACAGACACATCTCAACATAAACTGTTTAGAAGAGACTGTGTGAATCAGGCCTTCATGGTCAAATTGCTGCAAAGAAACCACTACTAAAGGACACCAATAAGAAGAAGAGACTTGCTTGGGCCAAGAACCACGAGCAATGGACATTAGACCGGTGGAAATGTGTCCTTTGGTCTGGAGTCAAAATTGGAGATTTTTGGATCCAACCGCTGTGTCTTTGTGAGACGGGGTGTGGGTGAACGGATGATCTCCGCATGTGTATTTCCCACTGTAAAGCATGGAGGAGGTGGTTTTATGGTGTGGGGGTGCTTTGCTGGTGACATTATCTGTGATTTATTTAGAATTCAAGGCACACTTAACCAGCATGGCTACCACAGCATTCTGCAGCGATATGCCATCCCATTTGGTTTGCGCTTAGTAGGACTATCATTTGTTTTTCAACAGAACAATGACCCAACACACCTCCAGGCTGTGTAAGGGCTATTTGACCAAGAAGGAGAGTGATTGAGTGCTGCATCAGGTGACCTGGCCTCCACAATACCCCGACCTCAACCAAATTGCGATGGTTTGGGATGAGTCTGACCGCAGAGTGAAGGAAAAGCAGCCAACAAGTGCTCAACATATGTGGGAACTCCTTCAAGACTGTTGGAAAAGTATTACAGGTGAAGCTGGTTGAGAGAATGCCAAGAGTGTGCAAAGCTGTCATCAAGGCAAAGGGTGGCTATTTAACACTTTTTTGTTTACTCCATTTGTGTTATTTCATAGGTTTTGATGTCTTCACTATTATTCTACAATGTAGAAAAAGTAAAGAAAAACCCTTGAATGAGTAGGTGTTCTAAAACTTTTGACCGGTAGAGTGTGTAATATATATATATATATATACATATATACACACACACACACACACACACAGTTGAAGTCGGAAGTTTATCTACACCTTAGCCAAATACATTTAAACTCAGTTTCACAATTCCTGACATTTAATCCTAGTAAAAAGTCCCTGTCTTAGGTCAGTTAGGATCACCACTTTATTTTAAGAATGTGAAATGTCAGAATAATAGTAGAGAGAATGATTTATTTCAGCTTTTATTTCATTCATCACATTCCCAGTGGGTCAGAAGTTTACATACTCTCAATTAGTATTTGGTAGCATTTCCTATAAATTGTTTAACTTTGGTCAAACGTTTTGGGTAGCCTTCCACAAGCTTCCCACAATAAGTTGGGTGAATTTTGGCCCATTCCTCCTGACAGAGCTGGTGTAACAGTCAGGTTTGTAGGCCTCCTTGCTCGCACACACTTTTTCAGTTCTGCCCACACATTTTCTATAGGATTGAGGTCAGGGCTTTGTGATGGCCACTCCAATACCTTGACATTGTTGTCCTTAAGCCATTTTGCCACAACTTTGGAAGTATGCTTGGGGTCATTGTCCATTTGGAAGACCCATTTGCGACCAAGCTTTAACTTCCTGACTGATGTCTTGAGATGTTGCGTCAATATATCCACATAATTTTCCTTCCTCATGATGCCATCTATTTTGTAAAGTGCACCAGTCCCTGTTGGAAAATGTAAACCAAGCTATCTAGCTTGCTAGCTACCTACCAAAGTTGTCTGGTAAGAGACCAACTTATTAAACTTCCTAATAAACTTAAATTGTGTTAGCTAATTGATGCCTAGTTAGAAGTGTCATGTTTTACGGGATAAAGTGAAACATTTTGTTGATACCAGTTTTAATCTGTCAGTGCCACTAACTGGCTAGCACTTAGCTAGCTGGCTAGCGCTTAGATATCATATTTTTGCACAATTTTTAGGTGAATACATTGCTGTCTTTTAATACCAATATGCTAGTGTCACTGTTTCCAGATGGATACCCTACCTGTGGTGTTGGAAGAGGCTGTATTGGGAGGAGGATGCATCAACACCCTGGAAAGATGTTTGTGGTGCACTCACTCATAACACTTTTTGAGTGATAAATGAGTATTGTCTTCAAGCTTGATGAGGTAAGCAAATGCATGTATTATTTTCAAATGTAGCCCATACATTCATTCTTTGTAGCAATTAGATATTTCATTGGTTTAAACAAGTAGCTAGCACATCTTGATCATGTGTTGTTCCATCTCTTCCTAGAAGCAATCATTTAGTAGCCAAAAAGACATTGAGTCCTTCAATCAAACTGAGGACAGAAATACACAGAATCTACAAAACATTAAGAACACCTGTTTTTTCCATGACAGACTGACCAGGTGAAAGCTATTGATGTCACTTGTTAAATCCATTTCAAATCAGTGTAGATGAAGGGGAGGAGGCAGGTTAAAGAATGATTTTTAAGCCACAAGACAATTGAGACTTTGACTGTGTGCGTGTGCCATTCAGAGAGTGAATGGCTAAGACAAAATATTGAAGTGCCTTTGAACAGGGTATGGTAGTAGGTGCCTGGCACACTGGTTTGTGTCAAGAACTGCAACGCTGCTGGGTTTTTCACCTCAACAGTTTCCCGTATGTATCAAGAATAGTCCACCACCCAAAGGACATCCAGCCAACTTGCTGGCCCATGTTGGAGTCAATCTGGGCCAGCATCCCTGTGGAATGCTTTCGATACCTTGTGGAGTCAACGCCCCGACGAATATTAGGAATGTTCTTAATGTTCTGTCGACCTAATGAACTTCTTGCATGTATGGCTTTGAGATGTTAATTAACAATAATTCATTTTGGACAAATAATATGAACTGCTTTTGTTGCTTTTCTTCCACACACCTGCGTCAGGAAGAAGACCCAAGCCTTACACACACCTGAGTCAGGAAGAATAGACAACTAGTAGACAACTGTCTCTTAATGATGAAGTCCCCAGTCTAGATTGAATATCATAATTAGTTGATTCGTTTTAATCAATTGTGTTGAGGCTTGGCTGGAGAGAAATTGTGTATACTTTGGCTCTCGAGGAACAGTTGGTCACACATTTAAAAGGTAGATTTAGTAGGCCTAAGTTCCAGTTTATGCCAGCTACAACGTTTCTTTTTATAGCATTTATACAAGGCAGAAACATTGTTTCCTTGCTGAAAAATATATAGAATGCCAGTTTCAGTGAGAAGCATAGCAACATCAAGGCAATTTTGTAACAGCTGACCCCGTTTTTCCAAAGCCAAACCCGACCATTAGCTGCCGAGTCTACCTTAAGATGCCAAAATAGAAAATGTTTTCAGATTTTTTTATCCTAATTTCTGATTGTTTCAGTGCATGCATTCAACAAGCTTTGGACGAAGGACTTCCACAGAGCCTCCATCTCCAAAGTTCACTCAAAAAGGCAATAGTTCTGAACTGGGTTTGATTTAGTTGTTTTAATTATTTAAATGTTGTTAATTATCTTTTAAACTTGCATTGGTTGAAAGATATTGCTCAGTTACCACTTGGCTCATGTAAATTCTGTAGTTGCCCCTTTAAACATCCTAAGGTCAACATCCCCATAGTGTTCACATTTCTCTCATGTAAATTGAGCTACATAACAATATTAAATAAACAATTTATTTGGGAAATATCTAGTCTTTGCTCTTTTCTTCATTAGCATGCTGATGATTTCAAGTTGTATTAATTATTTTTTTATCTCTTAAGACATTGAATACATGTCTAGTATATTTAGTATGTTTAGTTTAGTTCTCTGTGAGAAGCAAGTTCATTTAAAGTTAGACCTATATGTGACTTGGTTTATGTAGATACATTTCAATGTTAACACACAGTAACCAAAAACCTGATCTAATTTGCATATACATACTGAGTTTGCAGCAAAAAGTAGAACGTTCGCCACAAGTTTCCTAGAATTGTTTGCCAGAAATTCACAAGTTGCAACAGTTTGCCACAAAACTAATTTGCTTGTGAAAATACAAGCTTGGTGCATATTTTGCAACAAATTAGCCAAAGGTTTCACAACTGTTTGCCAGAAGACCGTTTTTTCACTAAGGGTTATTGAATTTCATTAAATGTGCTGTGTGGCATGAAGTCTCATCCTCCTCCCCTTGGTTAGTCCACTCACCCTTTTCATTCACACACACACACACACACACACACACACACACACACACACACACACACGGCCCGTCCCTCCCGTGAAACATTGGCCCAGCCCGGTGCCCCAGTACTCACCCTGCCACAGTCCCGCCCAGTGTCGGTACTCACCCGGCCCCCATACTGCAGCATGGGCGCTGGGAGGACTCGGCCCGTCACCTCGGTCATGTCGTTGTGCACCACAATGCCAAACTCCTTCAGGTATGGGTCGGGACCACCCACCATGCTGTTGCTTTTGACCTGGGGGGACGAAGTGAGAGAAAGTGGTGTGAAAGGAGGAAAGGGGTTAGGCAGGCAGAGAAGACTTTGCTTTCCTGCTAGTGTCAAGAGTATTTTTAGTTGTGAACCTTGCATTTAGATTTCTTCCGCAATCGACCATCACCAACACCAGATCATCAAATTAATTCATAAAGCCCTTTTCACACAAACAGTCCTTTACAGTAACCTGGCCTAGATGATATTTGGGGGGGTGGAGATGGAATATTCAGAGTAAGGAAGCCATATGAGGCAAGAGATATGCGCATTGAGGTTGGGGTTTCAAGACTGCATACCGTTTCTGGACAACCACACTTCTTTAGAAAACAGTAACACTGATATGGCAAACACTCAAAAGACCTAACAGTGTATTTTCCTTGCAAAAAAACTCATGGCTGCCTCAGACTACAGCACAAAGTTTCTAAATGCAGAGGTGCAACATCGCGAGACATCCGGGAACGCTTGCGAAACAGACCAGGCCAGGGTTTGGGAAGTCAATGAGAGAAGTGAAAATTAACAACTTAGATTCGAGCCAATGTCTCATGTCGGGCCAATGTCTCAAGTAGTTGAACATGTTATTACTCCAACCTCGTGAAAGTGACAACCTGACACGTTTTCATTTGAGCCAAAAACAACTTTATATCGAAGGAGTGGCTTTGATTTAGACGGCCTGCACATGCGCAGTTCGGCGCGAGACAACCGTTAGACCCCGATGACGCGTTTCTGGGCATGAGCCTAACTAGACAACTTCGCCATGACATCGCCTACAAGTGTGATCGGGGATTTCTACTAGAGATGCAGTTTCTGCCCATCCTCATACTGTACTCTCTTTGACTACGGCGCGCCACTTCTTGTGTTGCAGTTCACACTCCAACCACAGAGGGGGCAAGTAATCACTCACCAGTCGGCTGATCTCTTCCTGCCTGTCAGGTGCAGAACGTGCTGTAGCTTTGATCATGGTGGAGGTCTGGTTATCTGTCAGCTTCTTGATGCAACGCTGCCCGGCCACAATGTTACAAACCTGTATGCAGACATAGAATAGTTAGTTACTGACTATCACAGTAGTCCAGTAATGGAGAAACATGAAAAGGATTGTTTCTTATTGGACAAGTCCAGGTATTCGCTCCCGTTTCAGTCCCTTTTCTTCCATTTTGTGCCTCATGAACTGCAGTAAGCTGGAAACTAAAGTCTGACCACGCCCAGGTCCGAAACCCTTCCCCCCCCCCCCTACCCATCAGGTCAACAATGCATAGGTGCAATGAGTGTTGCCTTCATGCAATTCCGTCAAAGCCACGAAGGCTTGGAGGACCACCCTGAGTGAAACATCTCGAGGTGTGTGTGTGTGTCTGCGTGTTTTAGAGCCACCCTCTCACCTCCAGGGGTAGGTAGGTGTGCTTCTGTTCCTGCCCCACTTGTAGGCAGGGTAGGTGGGGGTATTTGAGCTGTAGGCTGTACTTCTGCTTGAAGTACTGAGCCACTGTACACTCCATGGCCTGGCCATTCTCCAGCTGCAAGGGGAACCTGAGCAATGGGCAGACAAGGACATAATACATATTAATACACCGTATTAATAAAACAAAAGAGCAAAACAAAAGGAAAGAGCAATGCATCTCGTCTTGGGTATTGCATCAACATGATCTTGTATCAAGAGATAGAGACGGTTTGTATTTTTGGATAGGTTGATTAAAAATACATAAGAGAAACTTCGCGTAGGTCGGCTAGGGCCACAGGGACATGTGGAAGATGCTAACTGGAAAGTGTAGCGACTAGTGCAGCACTTACGTTTGGTGGCTGGCGGGGCGGCGAGTCACATTGCACACGCGATACTTCCTCTTCATCTGACCACAGTGAGTGACCTCGACTTTCAGACCTGAGAGCGAAAAACATATGCATAGAAACACCCAGAAGAGCACATCACAAATAGGGCCAGACACAGAGAAAAAGAGGGGGGAGATATAACGAGTGGAGTTTGAAACTGACATTTCAGGGCATCATTGAAAAATCTTTGCAATTCAAGACATTTTAGCAGATCATTTTAGACAGTTCCATCTTTGACTGTTAAGCAAGACTGTGGTTTTGCTCTTATGAAGTGACGGCTTGCCTTCTCACATGGCCTAACTCGAACTTGAGATGGCTGTGCTTAACTCAAAACCCATAAACAGCAATGCATGATTTACACCAGGGATGGGCAACTGGCAGCCCGCCCCCCTTTTTTTAGGCCAGTGGACCAATTTCATAGTAAAAAAAAAAAAAAAAAAAGAAATTGGGGGGGGTCAGGGTCTCAACTTAGTGATCACAGCTAGAATAATATAATACAAAAGGTGCAATTTAGAAATGTGGTTGTGCATCAGCAGTCACTCAATTAAGCCCATGTCAGCAAACATTTTATTTATCTATAGACTGATTTATCAGTTATCATATTAAACAAGGAGAAACATTTGCCTCCACCCTATGGCAGAATGTGTAGAAATGCAGGAAATGAGTTATAAAATTGCAATATCTTCTCCACCCCATGGCAAAATGTGTAGAATTTAGGGCAGGGCGATATGGCCAAAATATAATATCACAGTATTTTAAAATAAATTGGACGGTATTTTATGTTTTTGAATAATACAAGTTCTTTATGAGTAGTGTGTGACCCTAGGGTGGCAACACACACATTCTAAGTGATTTCAATGGGTCTTTCTCCATTCTGTTTGTTTTATACTGTTTATTTCAACCAAAAACAATTTTCTGCATTTCCTGCACTCATTTGATATAATTTCCACACTGCCACGTAGGGCTGCACGATATGGCCAAACAATCTAGGTCTTATTTTTAACCAAATGTTGCAATTGTGAACTTACTTGCGATTTCGAGCAAAACACTTGGGTGAACTGTTGGAATCATGGAAATATAATTATTATTCTAATTCTATATAGTTATAATATAATAGTGGGCACTTTGAATACAGTGTTGTTTGACATCACAACTAATTAAAATGCCAGGGAGGAGTTATTGTGACAGGAGTTATGGTGACAGGGTAAGAACCAAAGTGTTGACAAGTGATTCCTAGGGGACCCTATAATCTTTGGCTACATTGAAATGTTCTCTCTTAGCTACTTCATGTAGCTAGCATATTAATTATTTGTGTATTCTTCTTTGATTAAGAACATACTGTTGCACAAACATGCTGATTTAGGTCTACACCATCACTGGTATTATCAGGCTTTATAGCTAATTACGTTTGCTCTGACTCAGCCAGCTAACTAACGATTAGCATTAGCGGCTAACACGTTTTAGGCCCAACTTGCTAAGAAAAAACAAACTCGCAGTTTGCAGATGTAAGAAACACAAACTAATAATGTAATTATAGAACGCTAGTGGATTTATATTATGAAGCAAAGTGAAAACAGCATCGTTGTCATCAACATCGTTGCATGTGCTTCACTGACCATGCAGACTGAATGCAAGTGTCTCGTGGTCGAGGAACAACAAATGTGCTCCTTAAGTGACAGGTTTTTTTTTTTTTTTCACCTTTATTTAACCAGGTAAACCAGTTGAGAACAAGTTCTCATTTACAACTGCGACATGGCCAAGATAAAGCAAAGCAGTGCGATAAAAACAACAACACAGAGTTACATATGGGGTTAAACAAAACAAAGTCAAAAATACAACAGAAATACATATAATATACAGTGTGTGCAAATTTAGCAAGTTATGGAGGTAAGGCAATAAAATAGGCTATAGTGCAAAATAATTACAATTAGTATTAACACTGGAATGATAGATGTGCAAGAGATGATGTGCAAATAGAGATACTGGGGTACAAATGAGCAAAATAAATAACATAGGGATGAGGTAGTTTCAGATGGGCTGTGTACAGGTGCAGTGATCGGTAAGGTGCTCTGACAACTGATGCTTAAAGTTAGTGAGGGAGATAAGTGTCTCCAGCTTCAGAGATTTTTGCAATTTGTTCCAGTCATTGGCAGCAGAGAACTGGAAGGAATTGCGGCCAAAGGAGGTGTTGGCTTTGGGGATGACCAGTGAGATATACCCGCTGGAGCGCAGACTACGGGTGGGTGTTGCTATGGTGACCAATGAGCTAAGATAAGGCGGGGATTTGCCTAGCAGTGATTTATAGATGGCCTGGAGCCAGTGGGTTTGGCGACGAATATGTAGTGAGGACCAGCCAACAAGAGCGTACAGGTCACAGTGGTGGGTATTATATGGGGCTTTGGAGACAAAACGGATGGCACTGTGATAGACTACATCCAATTTGCTGAGTAGAGTGTTGGAGGCTATTTTGTAAATGACATCGCCGAAGTCAAGGATCGGTAGGATAGTCAGTTTTACGAGGGCATGTTTGGCAGCATGAGTGAAGGAGGCTTTGTTGCGAAATAGGAAACCGATTCTAGATTTAACTTTGGATTGGAGATTCTTAATGTGAGTCTGGAAGGAGAGTTTACAGTCTAACCAGACACCTAGATATTTGTAGTTGTCCACATACTCTAGGTCAGACCCGTCGAGAGTAGTGATTCTAGTCGGGTGGGCGGGTGCAAGCAGCGTTCGGTTGAAGAGCATACATTTAGTTTTACTAGTGTTTAAGAGCAGTTGGAGGCTACTGAAGGAGTGTTGTATGGAATTGAAGCTCGTTTGGAGGTTTGTTAACACAGTGTCCAATGAAGGGCCAGATGTATACAAAATGGTGTCGTCTGCGTAGAGGTGGATCTGAGAGTCACCAGCAGCAAGAGCGACGTCATTGATATACACAGAGAAAAGAGTCGGCCCAAGAATTGAACCCTGTGGCACCCCCATAGAGACTGCCATAGGTCCAGACAACAGGCCCTCCGATTTGACACATTGAACTCTATCTGAGAAGTAGTTGGTGAACCAGGCGAGGCAGTCATTTGAGAAACCAAGGCTATTTAGTCTGCCAATAAGAATGCGGTGGTTGACAGAGTCGAAAGCCTTGGCCAGGTCAATGAAAACGGCTGCACAGTACTGTCTATTATCGATCGCGGTTATAATATCGTTTAGGACCTTGAGCGTGGCTGAAGTGCACCCATGACCAGCTCGGAAACCGGATTGCATAGCGGAGAAGGTACGGTGGGATTCGAAATGGTCGGTGATCTGTTTGTTGACTTGGCTTTCAAAAACTTTTGAAAGGCAGGGCAGGATGGATATGGGTCTGTAACAGTTTGGATCTAGAGTGTCACCCCCTTTGAAGAGGGGGATGACCGCAGCAGCTTTCCAATCTCTGGGGATCTCAGACGTTACGAAAGAGAGGTTGAACAGGCTAGTAATAGGGGTTGCGACAATTTCGGCGGCTAGTTTTATAAAGAAAGGGTCCAGATTGTCTAGCCCAGATGATTTCTAGGGGTCCAGATTTTGCAGCTCTTTTAGAACATCAGCTGTCTGGATTTGTGTGAAGGAGAAGCGGGGGGGGGCATGGGCAAGTTGCAGCGGAGGGTGCAGAGCTGGTGGCCGGGGTAGTGGTAGCCAGGTGGAAAGCATGGCCAGCCGTAGCAAAATGCTTGTTGAAATTCTCGATTATTGTAGATTTATCGGTGGTGATAGTGTTTCCTAGCCTCAGTGCAGTGGGCAGCTGGGAGGAAGTGCTCTTATTTTCCATGGACTTTACAGTGTCCCAAAACTTTTTGGAGTTAGTGCTACAGGATGCAAATTTCTGTTTGAAAAAGTTAGCCTTTGCTTTCCTAACTGCTTGTGTATATTGGTTCCTAACTTCCCTGAAAAGTTGCATATCGCGGGGGCTATTTGATGCTAATGCAGTACGCCACAGGATGTTTTTGTGCTGGTCAAGGGCAGTCAAGTCTGAGGAGAACCAGGGGCTATATCTGTTCTTAGTTCTGTATTATTTGAATGGGGCATGTCTATTTAAGATTGAGAGGAAATTACTTTTAAAGAACAACCAGGCATCCTCTACTGACGGAATGAGATCTATATCCATCCAGGATACCTGGGCCAGGTCAATTAGGAAGGCCTGCTCGCTGAAGTGTTTTTGGGAGCGTTTGACAGTGATGAGGGGTGGTCGTTTGACCGCGGACCCGTTACGGACGCAGGCAATAAGGCAGTGATCGCTGAGATCCTGGTTGAAGACAGCGGAGGTGTATTTGGAGGGTAAGTTAGTCAGGATGATTTCTATGAGGGTACCCATGTTTACGGATTTAGGGTTGTACCTGGTAGGTTCGTTGATAATTTGTGTGAGATTGAGGGCATTTAGTTTAGATTGTAGGATGGCCGGGGTGTTAAGCATATCCCAATTTAGGTCACCAAGCAGTACGAACTCTGAGGATAGATGGGGGGCAATCAATTCACATATGGTGTCCAGGGCACAGCTGGGGGCTGAGGGGGGTCTGTAGCAAGCGGCAACAGTGAGAGATTTCTTTCTGGAAAGGTGGATTTTTAGAAGTAGAAGCTCAAACTGTTTGGGCACAGACCTGGATAGTATGATGGAGCTCTGCAGGCTCTCTCTACAGTAGATTGCAACTCCACCCCCTTTGGCAGTTCTATCTAGACGGAAAATGTTATAGCTAGAACATCAGGGTTGGCGGAGTGTGCTAACGCAGTGAATAACTCAAACTTAGGAAGGAGGCTTCTGATATTTATGTGCAGAAAACCTAGACTTTTACGGTTACAGAAGTCAACAAATGATAGCTCCTGGGGAGTAGGAGTGATACTGGAGGCTGCAGGGCCTGGGTTAGCATCTACATCACCAGAGGAACAGAGGAGGACTAGAATAAGGATACGACTAAAGGCTTTAAGAACTGGTATTCTAGTGCGTTGGGTACATAGAATAAAGGGGGCAGTTCTCCGGGCGTTGTAGAAAAGATTCAGGGCATTATGTACAGAAAAGGATATGGAAGGATATGAGTACAGTTCAGGTAACCCTAAGCGTTGGGTAACAATGAAAGAGATAGCGTCATTGGAGGCACCGATTGAGCCGGTCTCGGCGTGTATGGGGGGTGGAACAAAGGAACTATATGAGGCAGTTTGAGAGGGACTAGGGGTTCTACAGTGAAATTGTATAATAAGAACTAACCCAAACAGCAATAGGCAAGGCATAATTGACATGGGAGAGAGGCATAAAGCAGTCACAGGTGTTATTAGAGAGAGCTAAGACACAACTGGATGGGTGTGGGTCTAGGTCTGTGTGGAAAGTGGCATGGAATGAGAGAGCGGAGATAGATGACCCAAATAGCGAAGTAAACTATAAAAATGGACGTTATACACAGCGTATCACCTTTAACAAACCAACCATTCAAATACCGTCATAGAAGGTAAAGTAAAAACTCCAACCGGTGCATCAATACCACTATATCGGAAAATATGGCATACTGTCCAGCCCTAGTAGAATTGCAGCAAACTTGCTTTAAAAACTGCAACATTTTCTCTGCGCCCCATGGCAAAATGTGCAGAATTGCAGGAAATGAACTTTAAAACATTTTTTTTTTCTCTTCGCTGTCACGAGGGGGGCCGCTAGAATGTTTTGCTCGCAAGGTGTGTGTGTGTGTGGGGGGGGGGGGGGGGGTGGATACGCAGACCCACGAGCCACTGCGGCCCCTCATGATGAGTTTAGTTTTTTTGTGGCACCCACCCTCATCAAAGTTGCCCATCCCTGATTTACAAAAAAGTTACACTAAGTTCAAGTCAAGCACGCATATCTCACGTTAGGATTCAGCCCATAGTGCAGATTATGGGTGTACAGCACGGATGGGTGTCAATTCCATCTCAATTCATATACATTGAAATTCAAATTAAGAGATACGAGTTAAAGGGTCATTTATTTTCAGTAAAGATTTTTCACAATTCTCTAACTGGATTCCCAATTCACTTCATGCATTGGAATGGACTTGACACGAGACCCTGAGGTACACTACAGTGTAGTACAGTACAGTTGTCTGGGTGGGTGGATGCCATCTAATAAGGCTTGGGGCACCTCGAAATGTCACCTTATTCCCTATGTAGTGCACTACTTTTGACCAGGGCCCAAAAGTAGTGCATTATATAGTGAATAGAAGGGTTGGTTGTTTAGCAACAAAACCGACGCGTGCGCAACTATGGGGCAAAACAGAAGGGGTTGGCTTAGATTGTTGACAACATGTAAACTATATTTATATTTATTTTGAAAACATAAATACATTTGCACAATGAGCACTTGTCTCTCAAATACATCATTACAGTTGTTGGTTACCTAGCCAACTAATTTTTGCCATTTTAGCATAGACTTGACATCAGTCAAAACACTTCAAAACAAGACATGGTATCAAGAACAAGATAAAACTAGCTGAAACGAGCCACCTACGATTCCTCACATGGCAGCTTCTTGTCATTGTTGCTAGCTATCTGGCCATCCAGAATCACAACACAGACTTCTGCCCCATTTAAGCGTGCGCATTGGTTTCGTGACAATGTCAGCTAACCCCGTCTATAGGGTGCCATTTCAGATGCAGCATTGGTGTGTAGAAACATGGTAAAAACATTGGTCTGACCTGCAGGTCCCCACCCACCTCGGATCTCCTTGGTGAACTTGACGCGTTGGGAGTCGGTGAGTGGCTTGGTCTGCTCGTTGATGTTCTGAATGTCGAGCACCTCGCACATGAACTCGATCACGGGCTGGGCACGGTAGAAAGCGGTGGCGGAGACTGTGGGGAGACGAAGGGAGACAGATGTAAGGTTCATGACCAAAGGAAACATCAATACACTTTATATTACTCCAACACAAATACACAAGCACACAAATAGCATGGGATTTTTACATTATTGAGTCATTGTACTGACTACAGTCAGAAGATAATTAAGGCTAACCTATAGACACACAAAGGGCTCTTACCATCGATGTTGAGCATCATGTTCCACATAGCAGGACGGACCGACTGATGGAAGCCGAACCATACCTCCCTCCCTCCGCCCAGGGGGTGGTAGTAGCCCTCCGGAGGGGAGAAGAAGGAGCGCCCCACTGGAGTGTACCTGGAAACATCCACATTGAGAGTCAGTTAGAGAACTTGTTCAGTTAGAGGGATCACAACGGAGCAAAGAATGACAGACAAGACTATTCTGTAAGAGATCACTCTTTACACCTCAGAATGACACAACAGAAATTCCCTTATACTATTCTAAACCTCTAAAAGGGTCTCCTTTATGTTCTGATGAAATTAGGTCATAGGCATAGAGTTATTTATTTGGAACTTTGTGTGGAAACTGGCCATAAAGTTATTCACTGTTTATAGTGCCTTGCAAAAGTATTCATCCCCCTTGACGTTTTTCCTATTTTGTTGCATTACAACCTGTAATTTAAATGGATTTTTATTTGGATTTCATGTAATGGACATACACAAAATAGTCCAAATTGGTGAAGTGAAATGAAAAAATAACTTCTTTCAAAACATTCTAAAAAATTAACGGAAAAGTGGTGCGTGCATATGTATTCACCCCCTTCGCTATGAAGCCCCTAAATAAGATCTGGTGCAACCAATTACCTTCAGAAGTCACATAATTAGTTAAATAAAGTCCACCTGTGTGCAATCTAAGTGTCACATGATCTCAGTATATATATATACACCTGTTCTGAAAGGCCCCAGAGTCGGCAACACCACTAAGCAAGGGGCACCACCAAGCAAGCGGCACCATGAAGACCAAGGAGCTCTCCAAACAGGTCAGGGACAAAGTTGTGGAGAAGTACAGATCAGGGTTGGGTTAAAAATGTTTTATCCTAAACTTTTAACATCCCACGGAGCACCATTAAATCCATTATTAAAAAATAGAAAGAATATGGCACCACAACAAACCTGCCAAGAGAGGGCCGCCCACCAAAACTCCCGGACAAGGCAAGGAGGGCATTCATCAGAGAGGCAACAAAGAGACCAAAGATAACCCTGAAGGAGCTGCAAAGCTCTACAGCGGAGATTGGAGTATCTGTCCATAGGACCACTTTAAGCCGTACACTCCACAGAGCTGGGCTTTACGGAAGAGTGGCCAGAAAAAAGCCATTGCTTAAAGCAAATATGTTTGGTGTTTGCCAAAAGCCTTGTGGGAGACTCCCCAAACATATGGAAGAAGGTACTCTGGTCAGATGAGACTAAAATTGAGCTTTTTGGCAATCAAGGAAAACGCTATGTCTGACGCAAACCCAACACCTCTCATCACCCTGATATTTTTCCATCGGCAGGGACTGGGAAACTGGTCAGAATTGAAGGAATGATGGATGGCGCTAAATACAGGGAAATTCTTGTGGGAAACCTGTTTCAGTCTTCCAGAGATTTGAGACTGGGATGGAGGTTCACCTTCCAGCAGGACAATGACCCTAAGCATACTGCTAAAGCAACACTTGAGTGGTTTAAGGGGAAACATTTAAATGTCTTGGAATGGCCTAGTCAAAGCCCAGACCTCAATCCAATTGAAGATTGGTGCACACCAGCGGAACCCATCCAACTTGAAGGAGCTGGAGCAGTTTTGCCTTGAAGAATGGGCAAAAATCCCAGTGGCTAGATGTGCCAAGCTTATAGAGACATACCCCAAGAGACTTTGCAGTTGTAATTGCTGCAAATGCAAAAGGTGGCTCTACAAAGTATTGACTTTGGGGGGGGTGAATAGTTATGCGCGCTCAAGTTCAGTTTTTTTGTTTTATTTCTTGTTTGTTTCACAAGAGAAAATATTTTGCATCTTCAAAGTGGTAGGCATGTTGTGTAAATCAAATGATACAAACCCCCCCAAAAATCCATTTTAATTCCAGGTTGTAAGGCAACAAAATAGGAAAAATGTCAAGGGAGGTGAATACTTTTCACAAGCCACTGTATATGGGCAAGACTATTTGATATAGGATACCAAGCTATATCAATGCAATGAAACCATGAACAACAACTGGTATTTTGCCACAGGAAGAGAGAGATGTGTTTTTGGCGCCAAGTTATAGACGCCATGTACCTCATGCCTAACCCTAAACTTACATTTAGACCAACAAGCAAATGTGTGTTCATAAATGTTCACATTATAGCCAATTTCGACTTTGCAAGTTGGCCATATAGTGGGAACATGTACCTCATGGAAGGCAGGTGGCGGGTGATGACGTCCAAGGCCTGAACAGAGTCCTCGGGGACCTCATTGTGGCCTGACAGGGCCTCCAGGAGCATCTGCAGGCTCACCACCGACACCCACTGCAGCGACACCTTGAAGGTCTGGTCCTTCCCCTCCCCCGGTAGAGTCACCTCCAGATCCACCTAGAGGAGAGAGAAAGTGAGAGCGGGGTGTTAGGGAATGGTTGAAAGGCAAGGAAAGCCACAAATAAAGATATTGGTGATATGCTCTGAACTATACAGTCAGGTCCAAAATGATTGGCAACCTTGATAAAGTGGAGCAAAAAAAAGACTACATAAAATAAATACAAATAGTGAGCTTTTTTATTTTAAAAAATATATAAAAAAGATTTCTCAGATAAACACATTTTATTTAAGTAGTACATTTTTTTCTCTAAAAGATAGGGTTCAAAACGATTGGCAACCCTAATAATAATAGGCCACTTAGCAGACGCTTTTATCCAAAGCGACTTACAGTCATTCGTGCATACATTTTTGTGTATGGGTGGTCCCGGGGATCGAACCCACTACCCTGGCGTTACAAGCGCCGTGCTCTACCAGCTGAGCTACAGAGGACCACTGTTTTCAACCCTGTTTTCAATACCTCACCTTTTTCATTTTTATTGAGACGAGCCCTGAATTACACAAGTTACAGAAAATACACAAATAAAAATTGAAATAAAAAATGCAAGCAGAAAGAAAAACACGGTCATAAAAAACAAACACATTCATCAGTAATAAGGTCCTCAGCTTTCTGAATAACCCTAGAGGCACCAGAACATAAAATGTAAGAACATTTTGAAGATTGTACCACAAAAACAAAGAGTAAGAAAACTCAGCAGAGACCAAAGGAATTTCCAGAGTTAGCTATCCCTGAGACCGGATGAGGTAACTCGTATGCCTAAAGTTTAGTAATGATGTTAGTTACAGTGTGACTTTTGTAAAAGGGCTTTATAAATGAAAACATAGCAATGTACCAACCTACGTGATATCAAAGTGGGCCAACCAACTTTCTGGTAGAGAACGCAGTGATGAGTACTAAAATTGTCACCCGTAATAAATAATAATAATAATAATAATATGCCATTTAGCAGACGCTTTTATCCAAAGCGACTTACAGTCATGCGTGCATACATTTTATTGTGTATGGGTGGTCCCGGGGATCGAACCCACTACCTTGGCGTTACAAGCGCCGTGCTCTACCAGCTGAGCTACAGAGGACCACATAATAATAGTAATAAAGCGCAGTGCGCTATGATAAAATGCATCTAACGGCTTTAATGAAGTGGCAGCTGCGTTCATATACTGTAGATGTCGCCGCCATAGCCTAGGACCGATAGGAACATCGACTGAATAATCTGCTTTCTACTATTTAGCGAGAAGCAGGACCTACAGTCATGCCCATAAATATTTGGACATTGACCAAGTTATTGTTATTTTAGCTGCCTACCACAGTATATTGGAGTTTAAATTAAATAATGAATATGAGCTGAAAGTGCAGGAGGTAGGCGTATGTGTCAAAGTCAACAATCAAGAGAAGACTTCACCAGAGTAAATACAGAGGGTTTACAACAAGATGTAAACCATTGGTAAACCTTATAAAACAGGAAGACCAGATTAGAGTTTGCCAAAAAAAAGCCTGTACAGTTCTGGAACAACAGCCTATGGACAGATAAGACAAAGTTAACATGTACCAGAATGATGGGAAGAGTATGGAGAAGGGAAGGAACTGCTCATGATCCGAAGCATACCACCTCATCTGTGAAGCATGGTGGAGGTAGTGTTTTGGCGTGGGCATGTATGGCTGCCAATGGAACGGGTTCCCTTGTAGTTATTGATGATGTGACTGCTGACAAAATCAGCGGGATGAATTCTGAAGTGTTTAGGGCTATATTATCTGCTCAGATTCAGCCAAATGCTTCAAAGCTCATTGGATGGCGCTTCACAGTGCAGATAGACAATGACCCGAAGCATACTGCAAAAGCAACCCAAGACTTTAAGGCAAAGAAGTGGAATGCTCCGCAATGGCCAAGTCAATCACTTAGCCTGATTCCAATTGAGCATGCATTTCACTTGCTGAAGGCAAAACGCCCCAAGAACAAGCAGGAACTGAAGACAGCTGCAGTAAAGGCAGAGCATCACCAAGGAAGAAACCCAGCATCTGGTGATGTCTATGGGTTCCAGACTTAAGGCAGTCATTGACTGCAAAGGATTTGCAACCAAGTATTAAAACTCAATTTAATTTATGATTATGTTAGTTTGTTCAATTACTTTTGAGCCCCTAAAATTGGGGGGCTATGTATAAAAATGGTTGTAATTCCTACACGGTTCATACAATAATTGAGACAATTAAAATTAAATTAAAGATGAAAGTCTACGCTTAAAGCACATCTTGATTGTTTCCTTTCAAATCCATTGTGGTGTCACTGTCCAAATACTTATGGACCTGACTGTATTTCTACAGAAGAATCCCATTTTTATTCTTAGTTTCTTAACTAACTCATCAATATGCTTTTTAAAAGACAGCTTTCATCTATCCAGAAGCCCAGATATTTGTAAGCAGGGACACGATCAATATGGACACCATCCAAAAACTAAAGCAGGAAGCACCAGTGACTCAATCAATAAAACGGGGCTGTAGTGGAACAGGTTGAGAGCTTCAAATTCCTTGGTGTCCACATCACCAACAAACTATCATGGTCCAAACACACCAAGACAGTCGTGAAGAGGGCACGACAAAGCCCATTCCCTTCCAGGATACTTTTTGTTGTTGTTATTCTGTCTCTCACTGTTCAAATAAACCTACCATTCAAATTATAGACTGATAATTTCTTTGTCAGTGGGCAAACGTACAAAATCAGCAGGGGATCAAATACTTTTTTTCCCCTCACTGTACATACTACCTTGTTAAACAATTTTTGGGGCACACAATATATTATTAATTTTATACAGTCTTTTTTTTGCTGATCTTTAATAACTGTGGACCTGACGTATATCTAAAGAAGCTGGTCAAGGCCTAGAATAAACAGATGATGCACATCGAGTTTTGGGAAAACCGATCCAGTGGTTCTGGATGCGGCAGGAAAATCTCAACTGACAGAGGTGCTGGGAAGGAGATACAGCCCATTACATCGTCACTAAAACCAGAGGTACAATGGTGGTTAAGATGATTGCTTACCCTGTCTCTTCCGATTGGTAGTGGATGGGCCGTGTACATGTTCCTCTTCCCGTCGTAGCCCGGTTGTCGATCACCAAAGATCTGCATCTTGAAGTGGCGAACCATGGTGTCCACCACCTCCCTGTGAGACAGGAGAATCATGAGATGGCCACATAATGCATTCACACAGACTGCTTACGAAACTATCCTAGTCTTCACTGTCCCTACCTATACACAAAATGTTTCAAATAAACAACTTCCCACCCGCCCCTCCGTTAAAAACCTATTTTTATTTTCCTCACATGTACAACTCTCACTTGAGTTTGACCTGTTTCGCTAACAAGTACACATTTCCATTCCCTCAACTCCCCTAACAACCTCTACCAAACACCTAAACCTTCCAATTATCAACTTAAGACCTTACTCTCTCTTCCTTCCAGTGAAAATCAATTTCTACCTTCCAGCTCCCCTCAAGAAAGAAATGTCTCTCCTTCCCTCCCTATGCCCAGTTGTATTTACCTGTTGACCCTCCGAGGCCGTTTCTCAGGCTTGATGTCAATATCGTAATGATAGACATCAATCTTGGGAATCTGCACCTGGAAGTGGTTTGCCAGCAGGCGGATGGGCTTCCCCACGGTGCCCATGCCAGGCCTCCGCGGGGGCTGGAAGAGGGAGGTGGGGGCCGGCGGGCCTATAGGGGGGTCCAAACACAGAAACACACACATTTGTTAGTTGATACATTCATTTCAGCTAGGAGTATTCACTACGTACCAAATGGAAAAAACAGACAAACAGTGAGGGGCTACCTGAACTTGTCCAATAAGAAATGCTCGTTTTTGTTTGTGGTGCAAAATGTTTTGCTACGGTGTGCTCTAATGAATAAGATCCTGTTAAAATGACACTAAGAGGAAAGGAAAAGTAAGTAGTTAAGAGGCCTTTTGGTCTCAGATTAATTTGTTTTGCCAATGAGGCTAAGCAGCACGTTGACCACTGTGGGTGCAATTATTGGTTGGTAGCTAAGCTATTTGGACAGGACGCTCAGAAATTAATAAAAGCTGAACAAACAAAAATTGTTGCATGTGTTTGCAGTTTCTTTTTTGCCGTTACTGTAGAATTGTTGGTCAATTTCCACAATCAATTTCTGAAATCAGTCCAATCGCCTCCTTGCCACGGTTTCCCGCGTGAACTCCCACCAACAGGTCACGACTACCCACCCACAACCACACCATGATTGATCCATCACTCTGGCCTCCGACACAGATAGGTCAACAGAGGAGGACAAAACAATGACCCCCAATTACGCGCTGGCCCTCCCCAGCCCCCACCCCACTACAGCCAGACCATAGACTGACGCACAGGGCCCGCCCCAGACAAAGAGCAGCACGTTTGAGACAGACGGCAGCAGGGCCAGATGGGGGTCCGCAGAGACCGCCGGGATTACAGTTAAACACACACACAACACAAACACTGCCTCGCCACCCCTGTCTTATACAAGCTCATACATTTTGTCTATATCCTAAAATTAAATGTGTAGGCCTAATGTACCAAGCCCCAATACTGACTGACAGGCATGTGTCCTTAGCAATTTATCCAACCAATGAAAACACAACAATTATTTGAGTGGATGTTGGGAAGTTGGATGCACCACTGTATTGTATACTTGTGTCTTACATTTAATTTGACTTTGTGTTAAGATAATAGATTATAAAACAGGGGGATCAAGCCAATTTAAACTAACTACTCTGTACGTATAACAAAATGTTTTTTTATTAGGCCTACACATTCAAGATTCAGTGCATGTAAAGAGGGAATGGGGAGAGTACCGAGTTTCTCATGATCGAAGGCTGGGTGTAAGAGAGGGAATGGGATGCTTACTGCTTTTGTCAACTGACAAGGGGGCAGCGGGGGTCCTGAACCTGATGCACCACCACGCTCCAGTTAGCAAGTGAAGCCTGAGGGGGAGTAATCAGGAACCTCCCTGTGCTTCCTAAAAACATGCTCCTTGCATGCCCTCATCCCCCCCTAAACACCACCCTCCCTAATCCTCCTTCTACACACCCTCAATATCCCAATTACTGCGATGGGAGCAACAACAGCCCCGGGGCGGCATGGTGTGTGTATATAAGTGTGTTCTGTAGGTAAGGTTCAGAAAGAGGGATCCCAGTGGGTGTAACAGTCAGGTTGGGTCACCCTGACTCACCCACTTTCACCAAAAACAGCACCTGCACTATATATAGACCCCTCAGCTGCTGCCTCAGGGTGGTTGAGAGGGGTTGTCAGTGTGTGGAATGCCTGGACCCCTCCCTTCTCCCCAAACCTACACCATGTACCTCCCTGTCCCCCCCGTCCCCCCCCCCACCCCTACTGGGGGTGTCTCACCAGTACCTCAACTTTGGGTTCAAGTCTGCAGCAGTAACCTGCAGGGCCTGGCTTACTGTCACATGCATTACACAAATTACTTCAGGCAAATTTCACCTTATCAAGCGCACTGTCGATGTGAGCATGCGGCTTCACTGTGATTCTCAGGTGATTAAAGCCAATCAGAGCCAATCTCAAAGCAAAGCCAATTGGTTACCGTGGCTGCACTGCACCAAAGGAGAAAGCTATCAGATAAAGCAGATCACCACAATTACATTTGTGGGGAAATAAGGCATTTTCCGCAAAAAAATGCTTTGACTGGTTATTTGATAAATGTGATTAAATTACTGAGCATAACCGACTTCAAATGAGGAGCACTGGTTGTTGGTCTATTAACTGTATCATTTACATTTTAAGGTGATTTATGTAGTAATATGTAATATGTAGTAGTAATGTAATATGTAGTAGTATGTGGTAAGGGTAGGTAACAACACATCTGCCACACTGATCCTCAACACGGGGGCCCCTCAGGGGTGCGTGCTCAGTCCCCTCCTGTACTCCCTGTTCACCCATGACTGCATGGCCAGGCACGACTCCAACACCATCATTAAGTTTGCCGACGACACAACAGTGGTAGGCCTGATCACCGACAACGATGAGACAGCCTATAGGGAGGAGGTCAGAGACCTGGCCGTGTGGTGCCAGGATAACAACCTCTCCCTCAACATAACCAAGACAAAGGAGGTGATTGTGGACTACAGGAGAAAAAAAAAGAGGACTGAGCACACCCCCATTCTCATCGACGGGGCTGTAGTGGAACAGGTTGAGAGCTTCAAGTACCTTAGTGTCCACATCACCAACGAACTATCATGGTCCAAACACACCAAGACAGTCGTGAAGAGGGCACGACAAAGCCTATTCCCCCTCAGGAGACTGAAAAGATTTGGCATGGGTCCTCAGATCCTCAAAAAGCTCTACAGCTGCACCATCGAGAGCATCCTGACTGGTTGCATCACCACCTGGTATGGCAACTGCTCGGCCTCCGACCGCAAGGCACTACAGAAGGTAGTGCGTACGGCCCAGTACATCACTGGGGCCAAGCTTCCTGCCATCTAGGACCTCTATACCAGGCGGTGTCAGAGGAAGGCCCTCAAAATTGTCAAAGACTCCAGCCACCCTAGTCATAGACTGTTCTCTCTGCTACCGCACGGCAAGCGGTACCGGAGTGCCAAGTCTAGGTCCAAAAGACTTCTCAACAGCTTCTACCCCTAAGCCATAAGACTCCTGAACAGCTAATCATGGCTACCCGGACTATTTGCACTGGCCCCCCACCCCATCTTTTTACGCTGCTGCTACTCTGTTAATTATTTATGCATAGTCACTTTAACTCTACCCACATGTATATATTACCTCAACTAGCCGGTGCCCCCGCACATTGACTTTGCACCGGTACCCCCCTGTATATATAGCCTCCCTACTTATTTTATTTTACTTCTGCTCTTTTTTTCTCAAAACTTTTTTGTTGTTGTTTTATTTTACTTTTTTATAAAAAAATAAATGCATTGTTGTTTAAGGGCTGTAAGTAAGCATTTCACTGTAATGTCTACACCTGTTGTATTCGGAGCATGTGGCCAATAAAATTTGATTTGATGGAAAGGTATAGTATGTAAAATTCCGAAGAGTCTGACAGTCTGGCCAATAGTGTTAGGCCTAGCGGTTGGGAGACCCAGGAAAAGGCACTAGGCTTGGGTTCATGGTCGTAACAGATACAAAACCTTCTTCAGTCATGGTTTATATTTACTGGCTAGGCAAAGCTGCTACAGGCCACAGGTCAACATTTAGGCCTACTACTACTGATGTTGAGGGGAGATCATTGTGTGTTTACTTAGGCCTCTAGCTTGTGTAGCTTGTGACGTGAGAGTGGGGCTTAACCTGCGAACAGGATGCACTGTGCTGAGTCAGTAATGACATTGACTGTGAGGGACATGCAGTCACCTGTAAATCACCTGGATTATTTCGGCGGCTAGTTTTAGAAAGAAAGGGTCCAGATTGTCTAGCCCAGCTGATTTGTAGGGGTCCAGATTTTGCAGCGCTTTCAAAACATCAGCTGTCTGAATTTGTGTGAAGGAGAAGCGGGGGGGGCATGGGCAAGTTGCAGCGGAGGGTGCAGAGTTGGTGGCCGGGGTAGTGGTAGCCAGATGGAAAGCATGGCCAGCTGTAGAAAAATGCTTGTTGAAATTCTCGATTATTGTAGATTTATCGGTGGTGATAGTGTTTCCTAGCCTCAGTGCAGTGGGCAACTGGGAGGAAGTGCTCTTATTCTCCATGGACTTTACAGTGTCCCAAAACTTTTTGGAGTTAGTGCTACAGGATGCACATTTCTGTTTGAAAAAGTTAGCCTTTGCTTTCCTGACTGCTTGTGTATATTGGTTCCTAACTTCCCTGAAAAGTTGCATATCGCGGGGGCTATTTGATGCTAATGCAGTACGCCACAGGATGTTTTTGTGCTGGTCAAGGGCAGTCAAGTCTGAGGAGAACCAGGGGCTATATCGGTTCTTAGTTCTGTATTTTTTGAATGGGGCATGTTTATTTAAGATTGAGAGGAAATTACTTTTAAGGAACAACCAGGCATCCTCTACTGACGTAATGAGATCTATATCCATCCAGGATACCTGGGCCAGGTCAATTAGGAAGGCCTGCTCGCTAAAGTGTTTTAGGGAGCGTTTGACAGTGATGAGGGGTGGTCGTTTGACCGCGGACCCGTTACGGACGCAGGCAATAAGGCAGTGATCGCTGAGATCCTGGTTGAAGACAGCTGAGGTGTATTTAGAGGGTATGTTAGTCAGGATGATATCTATGAGGGTACCCATGTTTACGGATTTAGGGTTGTACCTGGTAGGTTCGTTGATAATTTGCGTGAGGTTGAGGGCATCTAGTTTGGATTGTAGGATGGCCGGGGTATTAAGCATATCCCAATTTAGGTCACCAAGCAGTATGAACTCTGAGGATAAATGGGGGGCAATCAATTCACATATAATAATAATAATAATAATATGCCATTTAGCAGACGCTTTTATCCAAAGCGACTTACAGTCATGCGTGCATACATTTTTGTGTATGGGTGGTCCCGGGGATCGAACCCACTACCTTGGCGTTACAAGCGCCGTGCTCTACCAGCTGAGCTACAGAGGACCACACGGTGTCCAGGGCACAGCTGGGGGCTGAGGGGGGTCTGTAGCAAGCGGCAACAGTGAGAGACTTATTTCTGGAAAGGTGGATTTTTAGAAGTAGAAGCTCAAACTGTTTTGGCACAGACCTGGATAGTATGATAGAGCTCTGCAGGCTATCTCTACAGTAGATTGCAACTCCACCCCCTTTGGCAGTTCTATCTAGACGGAAAATGTTATAGTTGGGGATGGAAATTTCAGAATTTTTGGTAGCCTTCCTGAGCCAGGATTCAGACACTGCTAGAACATCAGGGTTGGCGGAGTGTGCGAACGCAGTGAATAACTCAAACTTAGGAAGTAGACTTCTGATATTTACGTGCAAGAAACCAAGACTTTTGCGATTACAGAAGTCAGCAAATCAAATCAAATCAAATTGTATTGGTCACATGCGCCGAATACAACAGGTGCAGACATTACAGTGAAATGCTTACTTACAGCCCTTAACCAACAGTGCATTTATTTTAAACAAAAAAAGTAAGAATAAAACAACAACAAAAAAAGTGTTGAGAAAAAAAGAGCAGAAGTAAAATAAAGTGACAGTAGGGAGGCTATATATACAGTAAAATAAAGTGACAGTAGGGAGGCTATATATACAGGGGGGTACCGTTGCAGAGTCAATGTGCGGGGGCACCGGCTAGTTGAGGTAGTTGAGGTAATATGTACATGTGGGTAGAGTTAAAGTGACTATGCATAAATACTTAACAGAGTAGCAGCAGCGTAAAAAGGATGGGGTGGGGGGGCAGTGCAAATAGTCCGGGTAGCCATGATTAGCTGTTCAGGAGTCTTATGGCTTGGGGGTAGAAGCTGTTGAGAAGTCTTTTGGACCTAGACTTGGCACTCCGGTACCGCTTGCCGTGCAGTAGCAGAGAGAACAGTCTATGACTAGGGTGGCTGGAGTCTTTGACAATTTTGAGGGCCTTCCTCTGACACCGCCTGGTATAGAGGTCCTGGATGGCAGGGAGCTTTGCCCCAGTGATGTACTGGGCCGTACGCACTACCCTCTGTAGTGCCTTGCGGTCAGAGGCCAAGCAGTTGCCATACCAGGCGGTGATGCAACCAGTCAGGATGAATGATAGCGCCTGGGGAGTAGGAGTGATACTGAGGGCTGCAGGGCCTGGGTTAGCCTCTACATCACCAGAGGAACAGAGGAGGACTAGAATAAGGATACGGCTAAAGGCTTTAAGAACTGGTCTTCTAGTGCGTTGGGTACATAGAATAAAGGGGGCAGATTTCCGGGTGTTGTAGAAAAGATTCAGGGCATTATGTACAGACAAGGATATGGAAGGATGTGTAGCCCATGTATCTGATGCTGTCTGGACCAAAAGAGTATGACATGTTGCCACCTTAGCATTTGATTGATTGATGACAGCAAGCATATGGCCTCCCTTGATAAAAAAAAAAAGCATTAAATTATTAGCCAATCAGCGTTGAGCTGAGCTCAAGTGTCGGTTGTTCTGGCTCAGCAAAACGCCCCTCAAGGGAGCCAGTTTGGATTTGGCTTCACACCAATCAAAATAACATCCAAAGCAAAACGTAATTGTCAGAAAAACGTGTCTGTTTCTGGTCTGCTTGCGTTGATGTCCTGCAGTATCTAGTTTGCTAAATCGGCCATTTCCTAAGCCATGGATGGAGATTTGGACTTGTAGTTTTGACTTAATTCTCTGAACAGGCCAATGATTATGACTGTGATTCTGATCTTACCATAAATTCATATATTGTGTCACTGGCCTGAGACGATTGAAGTTCAATATGTAGCCTTGATGTAGCCTAGTAGGCTCACGTTAACTAGCTAGCCAACTTAGCTGGTTCATTGTTGCCCATGTGAGGAAGTTAGGCTAGCAAGCATCTTAGCTAGGTAGCCTTATGACAAAAACTAAAAGCATACTGTATGACACAGCCATAGACCGTTTTGCCAACATGAAAGAGAGGATGGCATTGGCGTTCAACTAGTCTACAATCAGTACTATGCACAGCCACATGATATTTAGGAACATTGATTAGATTAAATTGTTTTTGGCATCTTTAAATGTTTTCAATGAGCATATATAGCCTAATTGATTTGATGATGTTTACATGTAAGTTGAAATGGTGCTGGAATAGCTGAGGCAGTGCTCTTGTTGTCTTTGTGCCGATGGATAAATGCCCAAGCTTGTGTTTGTGCATGGACATAGCCAATGTGTCCATCAATTCCATCTAAAGTCAGTGGCCTGTATTCACGGTTGCCAAAAGCCAGGCTTCGCCAAATATTTGACCCCCCCCCCCCCAAAAAAAAAAATAGATATAAAATAATTTATCTTCTGTGTTTTCATAATTTTACTTCAATTCGTAAGTGCCTGAATCTCACCGGAGAAATCAGAGCGAGGGAAACAGCACCCCTCTGTGGTTCTAAATCAGTAGTAGTTTAGTAAACTGTCGAAAACATTAATTTGCTTGACCATGCTGTAGGTCACGTAACTTTATTTTTTTATTTTACTAGGCAAGTCAGTTAAGAACAAATTATTATTAACAACGACGGCCTACCCCGGCCAAACCCGGACGACTTGTTACATGCAATATTTTCTTTGTGGACATCACTGGACAGACGTTGCTCTCCGGTTTTGTGATGAAACAAACGTATGTGTAGTTGATTTTATTCTGCCACTGTGTGACTGCCTTTGTTATCTCGGCCGTATTGTATATCACGGTGGCGTATGAACTAATGGGTTATAGAGCAAAAACGCAATTATCACAACATAGGTTGTAATATGGCTTTTTTTAAATTGGCTTGGCTTCCACCGTGATTTTACCCACGCACTGCTACTGCCTAAAGTTACATTTTACCTTAGCATGGCAATCGTTAAATCATATTGGGTGAATGAGTAGGTCTGTTATCCAGACAAGGTGTAATTTACTTGTAAAGGGTGACAGGAAATTAAGAATTGATAGGCATGTGGTAGTAAACTGATGGCATGAGTGCTGCATTGCTGGTGACAATTGTTTCTATATCAGGCGACAAAGAGGTGATAACTTGTTAATCCCTTATAATAAAGACAGGAATTCTCACCAACTGCATACAAGTTAGTTGTATACCAGGTGTGAAAGATTCATAGATAAACTGTCAATTGGCAGTGCAGCATTAAGGCATCTCGTGTGTGATATCCTGAACACAACTATGGTGATGGGGTATGGAGACGGCTTGCAAATTCGATCGATAAATAGTAGTACGCGATCTACTCAAAAGGCAGGCTCCATACCATGCATGAGTGCATGTTCATTTACTCCCAGGCACGGGCAGGCGACGGTGGCGCGCAAACCGCTGAGTACTGACAGAAATACTTGAAAGCATATAAACACACTTAAATTAATTATTGCCAGCAAACAGTCGATAATATTTAAATATTTCAGCGTGAACAAAGACATTATGACAGTATTGTAACGTTAGCTACCGTTTCTCGTTGCTTTCGATAAGGTAGAAAGGAGGACAGTCCGGGCAATAATTACTGTCGATTGTACAATTATTTAGTTACTAGGCTTAACTTAAAAAATTTCTAATGTTATACGGGCTTGAGGGCATACCTATTTCAACTGGAATCATTTTAAACGTATCATGAAGCTGAATAAATAGTGTGTTTGATGATGAAACGATAGGCTAGATAACAACAGACATCGTAAACACACGACACCGAAGGAAGGTCTTGGTTAAATCCCCCCCACACACACACACACACACACACACACAATGCCGTCCTGCCCTCGTCTCGAGCAGCGGGCTTCAGATATAAAACCAGCAGCCGAGATAAACAAAAACAAGATCCCTCGTTTTGTCTTACATAACATGTGCTTATCAGGCTGTAGAAGTCACGGACAGAACCTTATCTCCGTTGTATTAATATGCTACACACGTTGGGCCTGATATGCTCGTTTGTTTTTCTCTGTCGTCGAGGCCTAGCTACGACCACGGTTCCTAGTTGCGCAATGAATAGGCGTACACACTCCCCCGATACGGGCTTCTCATATCATCCTCTTACCGGGTTCGAGCACTTCCATGGCCGAGGGCTCTCTCTCCGTCTCTGTCCCGGCCTGGCGGCTCCGTACCGACACTGAAATTGGGGGCGGTATCGCGAAGCTGATGGGGGCTAATTTAAGAAAGGGAATATAATGCGTAGATGTCCAGAGGTGTTGTGGATGCGTTGTCTTCTGAGTGATTTAACGCATATCCTGTGGATTTGGAAATGCGCATGCGCGAGGAGGTGCTATAAATTAATTATGCGCTTGCGCAGAGTGAATGACAGCAGTAGCAAAAGAGCACCACCCATGTGCGCTTATGGTTAGTACACTACTCATACCTTTTACTGTAAATGTGACTCGTTCATACAATAGGCTACTACATCATAGTACACGTACTTACCTAGTAGCTGTATTTTACTTGTATTACATTTACATTACATTTTAGTCATTTAGCAGACGCTCTTATCCAGAGCGACTTACAGCTAGTGAGTGCATACATTATGTCATTAGACTATAAATGATAATGTCATCCCCTATCTCCTATCTCCAGATAATAGCTACATTTCCCCAAACTATTGTTTACCTTACTCAGTTAAACAATAATTGTTATTTTGATTCCTCTTACTCTTGCCAACTCAGCTGACAATATTTCCTCGACATTGCATTGAAAACAAAATGTGAATTGTCACAATTAACCACGTTTCATTTTCACCGTTTTTATGCGAGTAAAGTTATACCTTATTTTAAAAAATCATGACAGCTGTGATGGAAACAGAACGTTTCGGTTCAATTTTATAAATGTCCACAGATCATTTGTTCGTTCGACATTGTGGGATCTTTTTGTGTCGGTAAAATTAATTATGCGCGAAAAAACGGTGAAATGTGCAGATATTTATATAATAACCATCATATCGAAGTAAATTTGGAGTCACGCGATAATATATATATATATATATATATATATATATTTTGTCATTTAGCAGACGCTCTTATCCAGTGCGACTTACAGTTAGTGAGTGCATACATTTTCATACTGGTGTGTGGTCCTCCCACTACGACTCGGGAAACCATGCAGTTTATTAGGCTACAGATTAACTAAATTATTATTAATTTAAGAAGGTGGTGAAAGTGAACATTGATGAGGTTGATGCTGCTTTCCAATAAATATCTAGGGCCTTATTCTGGTGACATGATGTTCGACGCTTGCCTGCCGTTTGACAAATAATAATTAACTATGATTTTTTTCAAAAATGTATTTAACCTTTATTTAACTAGGCAAGTCAGTTAAGAACAAATTCTAATTTACAATGACGGCCTACACCGGCCAAACCCGGAAGACGCTGGGTAGCCCTCCCAATCACCGACAGATTGTGATACAGCTTTGAATTGAAATAGGGTCTGTAATGACGCCTCTAGCACTGATATGCAGTGCTTTAGACCACTGCACCACTCTGGAGCAATAATAATCTCATCATGACCAGAATAGGCACATTTACTAATTAACACAATAGTGTTTGTGACAAATCTATCGGTAGAGTTGAAAATGCGATGGAAACATATTGAACTTTAGATGTTTATATAGTACATGAAAACTTAAGCGAAAAAGTACATTTTCAGGCACTGATTTTTATCTGCAATAAGAAAATGTGGTGGAAACACACCACTGGTGGGAAAATTCGCATATTTTCTTTATGCGGATTCTAGAATATTCGCATGAAAATCTTTCGCCAATTGGATGGAAACCTAGCTATCGTCCGTGTTAGAAAAGAAAACACTTCATAAACTGTCTTGCCCTGTTTTTGTAGTGGAGTGGGTGGACATATCTGGTCAGCTGTCTCACATAGATTTACCAATCAAATGCTTTCCCTCTGTCATTGCCATACCCACCATCCAACAATTGGGTGATGGTGGACATCAATTTTGAGTATCATCCAATAGAATAGCACAACGACAATGACTGACAGATGTAAGGATATACTATCGTTGTCAGCGCGCGAAAGATAAAAAATGATTAATTCAGAACTAGAACAAGCGGGAGGGAGAGAAAGGTAGCTAGCTAAATGCACATCAATAACACAATTTAATAACATTAGCCATACAACATTTTACACCGATATTCGTGCCTTATGGTTGGAAATAATTGAGCACGGTACTGAAGTCTTGGTTTCCCGGTTTTAATGAAGGTACACATAAAAGGCGGATAAAGTCAAGATGAGTCTGGTGGTCCATCAACAACAGGTAAGAATTTATATTTTCAAATTGACAAGTACCTAAAGTTAGTTAACTATATTAACTAGCAAACTACATACCAATACATTGTTTAGTTAGTTTAACGTTTCGCTAACGTCCGCCATAACCCCATGCCATGCTAGTTAGTTCGCTAACAAGCTAGCTCGCTAACTACCTGGCTTGTTGCTGATTGAGTTGGATTAACTAGCTACTGTTAACGTTAGCTGTTAACTGGCTCATCTTCCGGCTTTGGTTAGTTCAATTTGTCTAAGTTTGAAGGATTTGTTTGTTAGACATTTGCATAGGGTAACACTATCACTGAATGTGAGCAATGAACATGCCGGTGTTAAATGTAAACTCTTCTAGACAGTTTCCTAGGCTATGTGTAACATTAGCCACTGTTGAATGTCCGGCTGGCAAACTGCCGTAACCGTTTGCTCTTTGTGGCAGCTGAGAGAGGAGGCGCCACAACAGCCATTTGGCGACCCAACATTAAACAGAAACAGGCATGACATTTATGCAAGTTGATTCACCTACATTTGTAATCATGTTTTTTTTACTTTCATGGCTTTTTTACTTTGTAGGAAAAAGACTGGCATGGTTCCTTCTAACAACATCGACATGAGGTGAATTTGTCATTGTTTTTCCCCCCCTATTCAGGCAGTGGAGCTCCCTTCCGAGGTCCCAGTAGCCGAGAGTGATTCAGACAGTGGAATGGGCTCACCAGTGGAGGAGATGCAGATGGCTTCTGAGATGATTACCAATACTGTCGACCTGCAAGGTACAGTGTCACAACAAAGGTGATCGGTACCTAAACTGACAGCCTGACCAGAGTCCCCTGTTAATGTAAATAGACAGCTCTGGGACATTTGCTCTGTGATGAGAAACAATGAATCGTCTAGTCTTTGACTTTAGATTATTCAACCATCAATGCAAACTACAGTACTTGACAATTCAACCACCAATGCAAACTAACCTACCGGTACTTAATTTAATAGGAAATAGTTTGCATTGTGATGCAAACAGAATACCACCTTTCCCGCATTAGTCATTAAGATTGCTTGTAATATTTTTCCCAGATTCGGATGATGACATCACAGTAAACCGGCGGTCCCGTTGTCGGAAGGCCTTGAGAGACAGTGACTGCGAGGAGGAGGTGCATGAGATGGCAGAAGCTCTGGTCCTATCAGCATCCAGCGGAGATGAGATGGAGACTGCTGAGGAAGAGGTCAAAAAGGCTAAATTAAAGAGCAAGAAGATATCACGAATAGCCCCTATCGACAGTGACGAGAGCGCGCCGGAGGAGGAAGAGCTGGTAAAAAAGGATGTGAAACAGAAGAAGGAAGGGAAGAAGAGGGAGAAGAGCCAGCGACACCAAGAGAAGAAAGAGAAGCGCAGCAAGGCTGTGGAGCGACTGAAGAAGAAAGAGAGACCTGAGGTGAGCGAGGTTGAGCGACAGAAAAATAAGTGACCGTGTAAAATTAGTTTTGAGACAAATTAGACTTGTTTTCTCCATCACTCTCTGTTTTGTAGGAGACCCCTTTGCCCCATACTCTGAATGACAGCGGCTGTCTCCTTGGTGACAATGACCTGTATGATGCTGGTCTGGATGATGATGATGAAGAGGAAGAGTCTCTGGACGCCATCAGAGCAGCAGTAAAGCAGAAAGCCAAGAAGCACAAAGTAAGAGCAACATTTTAAAAGTCGTATCTGGAGGTGTGAGGTCACTAAAAAGCAAACATATGCCCAAAAGAAATCCCCTAGGATAACTTTTTGAATGTGAAGTGGTTTGAGGAGTTTATGGCTAATCTTACTTAGCTTTGTCTCTGAATATTAAGTCGTAGTGGTTTGTGTGCTATGCAGGTAGACAATGCACTGTATTCTGTGTGTCAGAACTATGCTCTGTATCTTTCCCTCAGGAGCCTTTATTTGATGATGATGATGAGGAGGGAGATGAAGTGACTGGACCGAAACAGCGTCCCCAGGAAAGGAAGGCAGCTCGAGCCAGCAAGGAGGCCATGAAGCAGCTGCACAGTGAGACCCAGAGGCTGGTCCGAGGTCAGTTTTTATGTTCATTTTACAATGGTGTGTCGATGTAGTGTATTGCCAATGCTCCACTATGTTTTGTCTCTACATGACTTGCTACAGACTTGTGTCCTTTGTGGCTTCTATTTTCCAACCCAGTGTCTCTTGTAACATGTTCTTAATTCCTTTGCAGAATCCACATGCGGGCTGCCCTATCACATGCCTGAGCCTAAGAGCATCGACCAGTTCTTCAAGAGGAGAGCCCGACCTGAAGGTTCTGCTATGGCACTACTGAAGTAAGTAGAGATTTTTCTACCTGGATTTCTATTTACTTATACTGGTTTTGTCTCTGCAATTACTCTACTATGCTCATCTGGTTTTTTCAGACGCATTTAAAGCGGCAATCTGCGATTGCTACATCCATTCTTGGACTTTTAAATTAATGATATATATATATATATACACACACACACTACCGTTCAAAAGTTTGGGGTCACATAGAAATGTCCATATTTTTTTGTCCATTAAAATAACATAAAATTGAAATACAGTGTAGACATTGTTAATGTTGTAGATGGCTATTGTAGCAGGAAACGGCTGATTTAAAAAAAATAAATAAATAAATAAATAAATAATGGAATATCTACATAGGCGTGCAAAGGAACATTATCAGCAATCATCAGTCCTGTGTTCCAATGGCACGTTGTGTTTGCTAATCCAAGTTTATCATTTTAAAAGGCTAGTTGATCATTATAAAACCCCTTTGCAATCATGTTAGCACAGCTGAAAACTGTTGTGCTGATTTAAAGAAGCAATAAACCTGGCCTTCTTGAGACTAGTTGAGTATCTGGAGCATCAGCAATTGTGGGTTCGATTACAGGATCAAAATGGCCAGAAACAAATAACTTTCTTCTGAAACTCGTCAGTCTATTCTTGTTCTGAGAAATGAAGGCTATTCCATGTGAGAAATTGCCAAGAAACTGAAGATCTCGTACAACACTGTGGTCCTCTGTAGCTCAGCTGGTAGAGCACGGCGCTTGTAACGCCAAGGTAGTGGGTTCGAACCCCGGGACCACCCATACACAAAAATTTATGCACGCATGACTGTAAGTCGCTTTGGATAAAAGCGTCTGCTAAATGGCATTATTTATTATTATTATTATTACTGTGTACTACTCCCTTCACAGAACAGCGTAAACTGTCTCTAACCAGAATAGGAAGAGGAGTGGGAGGCCCCGGCACACAACTGAGCAAGAGGACAAATACATTAGTGTCTAGTTTGAGAAACAGACTCCTCACAGGTCCTCAACTGGCAGCTTCATTAAATAGTACCCGCAAAACACCAGTCTCAACGTCAACCGTGAAGAGGCGACTCCGGGATGCTGACCTTCTAGGCAGAGTTGCAAAGAAAAAGCCATATCTCAGACTGGCCAATAAAAATAAAGATTAAGATGGGCAGAGATCTTTCTGGGTCTTCCTTTCTTGTGGTGGTCCTCATGAGAGCCAGTTTTATCATGGCGCTTGATGTTTTTTGCGACTGCACTTGAAGAAAAGTTCAAAGTTCTTGAAATTTTCCGGATTGACTGACCTTCATATCTTAAAGTAATGATGGACTGTTGTTTCTCTTTGCTTATTTGAGCTGTCCTTGCCATAATATGGTGTTGGTCTTTTACCAAATAGGGCGATCTTCTGTATACCACCCCTACCTTGTCACAACACAACTGATTGGCTCAAACGCATTAAGAAGGAAAGAAATTCCACAAATGAACTTTTAACGAGGCACACCTGTTAATTGAAATCAAATCAAATTTTATTGGCCACATGCGCCGTATACAACAGGTGCAGACATTAGTGAAATGTTTACTTACAACCCTTAACCAACAGTGCATTTATTTTAAATAAAAAAGTAAAATAAAACAACAAAGTGTTGAGGGAAAAAAAGACCAGAAGTAAAATAACAGTAGGGAGGCTATATACACTGCTCAAAAAAATAAAGGGAACACTAAAATAACACATCCTAGATCTGAATGAATGAAATAATCTTATTAAATAATTTTTTCTTTACATAGTTGAATGTGCAGACAACAAAATCACACAAAAATTATCAATGGAAATCAAATTGATCAACCCATGGAGGTCTGGATTTGGAGTCACCCTCAAAATTAAAGTGGAAAACCACACTACAGGCTGATCCAATTTTGATGTAATGTGCTTAAAACAAGTCAGAGGCTCAGTAGTGTGTGTGTGTGTGGCCTCCACGTGCCTGTATGACCTCCCTACAACACCTGGGCATGCTCCTGATGAGGTGGCGGATGGTCTCCTGAGGGATCTCCTCCCAGACCTGGACTAAATTATCCGCCAACTCCTGGACAGTCTGTGGTGCAACGTGGCGTTGGTGGATGGAGCGAGACATGATGTGCTCAATTGGATTCAGGTCTGGGGAACGGGCGGGTCAGTCCATAGCATCAATGCCTTCCTCTTGCAGGAACTGCTGACACACTCCAGCCACATGAGGTCTAGCATTGTCTTGCATTAGGAGGAACCCAGGGCCAACCGCACCACCATATGGTCTCACAAGGGGTCTGAGGATCTCATCTCGGTACCTAATGGCAGTCAGGCTACCTCTGGTGAGCACATGGAGGGCTGTGCGGCCCCCCAAAGAAATGCCACCCCACACCATGACTGACCCACCGCCAAACCGGTCATGCTGGAGGATGTTGCAGGCAGCAGAACGTTCTCCACGGCGTCTCCAGACTCTGTCACGTCTGTCACATGTGCTCAGTGTGAACCTGCTTTCATCTGTGAAGAGCACAGGGCGCCAGTGGCGAATTTGCCAATCTTGGTGTTCTCTGGCAAATGCCAAACGTCCTGCACGGTGTTGGGCTGTAAGCACAACCCCCACCTGTGGACGTCGGGACCTCATACCACCCTCATGGAGTCTGTTTCTGACCGTTTGAGCAGACACATGCACATTTGTGGCCTGCTGGAGGTCATTTTGCAGGCACTACCTGAGCCACTTGTGTGGGTTGTAGACTCTGTCTCATGCTACCACTAGAGTGAAAGCACCGGCAGCATTCAAAAGTGACCAAAACATCAGCCCGGAAGTGGCTGGTCTGTGGTCACCACCTGCAAAACCAGACCTTTATTGGGGGTGTATTGCTAAATGCCTATAATTTCCACCTGTTGTCTATTCCATTTGCACAACAGCATGTGAAATGTATTGTCAATCAGTGTTGCTTCCTAAGTGGACAGTTTGATTTCACAGAAGTGTGATTGACTTGGAGTTACATTGTGTTGTTTAAGTGTTCCCTTAATTTTTTTGAGTAGTGTGTGTATATATATATACACACACACACACACACACACACACACACACACACACACAGGGGGGTACTGGTGCAAAGTCAATGTGCGGGGGCACCGGCTAGTTGAGGTAGTTGAAGTAATATGTACATGTGGGTAGAGTTAAAGTGACTATGCATAAATAATTAACAGAGTAGCAGCAGCGTAAAAAGATGGGGTGGGGGGGCAGTGCAAATAGTCCGGGTAGCCATGATTAGCTGTTCAGGAGTCTTATGGCTTAGGGGTAGAAGCTGTTGAGAAGTCTTTTGGACCTAGACTTGGCACTCCGGTACCGCTTGCCGTGCGGTAGCAGAGAGAACAGTCTATGACTAGGGTGGCTGGAGTCTTTGATAATTTTGAGGGCCTTCCTCTGACACCGCCTGGTATAGAGGTCCTGGATGGCAGGAAGCTTGGCCCCAGTGATGTACTGGGCCGTACGCACTACCCTCTGTAGTGCCTTGCCTTCGGAGGCCAAGCAGTTGCCATACCAGGCGGTGATGAAACCAGTCGGGATGCTCTCGATGGTGCAGCTGTAGAATTTTTAGAGGATCTGAGGACCCATGTCAAATCTTTTCAGTCTCCTGAGGGGGAATAGGCTTTGTCGTGCCCTCTTCACGACTGTCTTGGTGTGTTTGGACCATGATAGTTCGTTGGTGATGTGGACTCCAAGGTACTTGACGCTCTCAACCTGTTCCACTACAGCCCCGTCGATGAGAATGGGGGCGTGCTCAGTCCTCTTTTTTTTTTTCCTGTAGTCCACAATCATCTCCTTTGTCTTGGTCACGTTGAGGGAGAGGTTGTTATCCTGGCACCACACGGCCAGGTCTCTGACCTCCTCCCTATAGGCTGTCTCATCGTTGTCGGTGATCAGGCCTACCACTGTTGTGTTGTCGGCAAATTTAATGATGGTGTTGGAGTTGTGCCTGGCCATGCAGTCATTGGTGAACAGGGAGTACAGGAGGGGACTGAGCACGCACCCCTGAGGGGCCCCCGTGTTGAGGATCATTGTGGCAGATGTGTTGTTACCTACCCTTACCACCTGGGGGTGGCCCGTCAAGAAGTCCAGGATCCAGTTGCAGAGGGAGGTGTTTAGTCCCAGGATCCTTAGCTTAGTGATAAGCTTTGAGGGCACTATGGTGTTGAATGCTGAGCTGTAGTCAATTAAATGCATTCTCACGTAGGTGTTCCTCTTGTCCAGGTGGGAAAGGGTAGTGTGGAGTGCAATAGAGATTGCATCATCTGTGGATCTGTTGGGGCGGTATGCAAATTGGAGTGGCTCTAGGGTTTCTGGGATAATGGTGTTGATGTGAGCCATGACCAGCCTTTCAAAGCACTTCATGGCTACAGACGTCAGTGCTACGGGTCGGTAGTCATTTAGGCAGGTTATCTTAGTGTCCTTGGGCACGGGGACTATGGTGGTCTGCTTGAAACATGTTGGTATTACAGACTCAGTCAGGGTCATGTTGAAAATGTCGGTGAAGACACTTGCCAGTTGGTCAGCACATGCTCGGAGTACACGTCCTGGTAATCGGTCTGGCCCTGCGGCCTTGTGAATGTTGACCTGCTTAAAAGTCTTACTCACATCGGCTACGGAGAGCGTGATCACATAGTCATCCGGAACAGCTGGTGCTCTCATGCATGCTTCAGTGTTGCTTGCCTCGAAGCGAGCATAGAAGTGGTTTAGCTCGTCTGGAAGCCTTGTGTCACTGGGCAGCTCGCGGCTGTGCTTCCCTTTGTAATCTGTAATAGTTTTCAAGCCCTGCCACATCCGACGAGCGTCAGAGCCGGTGTAGTATGATTCAATCTTAGTCCTGTATTGACTCTTTGCCTGTTTGATGGGTCGTCGGAGGGCATAGCGGGATTTCTTATAAGCATCCGGGTTTGAGTCCCGCTCCTTGAAAGCGGCAGCTCTACCCTTTAGCTCAGTGCGGATGTTTCCTGTAATCCATGGCTTCTGGTTGGGGTATGTACGTACGGTCACTGTGGGGACGATGTCATCTATGCACTTATTGATGAAGCCATTGACTGATGTGGTGTACTCCTCAATGCTATTTGAAAAATCCCGGAACATGTTCCAATCTGTGCTAGCAAAACAGTCCTGTATCTTAGCATCTGCATCATCTGACCACTTTTTTTATTAACCGAGTCACTGGTGCTTCCTGCTTTAGTTTTTGCTTATAAGCAGGAATCAGGAGGATAGAGTTATGGTCAGATTTGCCAAATGGAGGGCGAGGGAGTTTTTTTTCCTCTGGTTGAACATTTAACATGCTGGTAGAAATTAGGTAGAACGGATTTAAGTTTCCCTGCATTAAAGTCCCCGGCCACTAGGAGCGCTGCCTCTGGATGAGCGTTTTCCTGTTGACTTATGGCCTTATACAGCTCATTCAGTGCAATCTTAATGCCAGCATTGGTTTGTGGTGGTAAATAGACAGCTATGAAAAATATCGATGAAAACTCTCTTGGTAAATAGTGTGGTCTACAGCTTATCATACGATACTCTACCTCAGGCGAGCAAAACCTTGAGACTTCCTTAGTATTTGATTTTGTGCACCAGCTGTTGTTTACAAATATACACAGACCGCCACCCCTTGTCTTACCGGAGTCAGCCGTTCTATCCTGCCGATGCATTCCAGGTGACTACCTCATGAAGCTGGTTGAGAGAATGCCAAGAGTGTGCAAAGCTGTCATCAAGGCAAAGGGTGGCTATTTGAAGAATCTCAAATATAAAATATATTTTGATTTGTTTAACACTTTTTTGGTTACTACATGATTCCATATGTGTTATTTCATAGTTTTGATGTCTTCACTATTATTCTACAATGTAGTAGGTGTGTCAACTTTTGACTGGTACTGTATATACCCATTGATTCTTTAAGAATAGAACATATAAATGCCTCATGAGCATAGTTCAACTGTCATACCCTATCAGAACCCCAAATAGTGTAACTCCTTTGTTTGTAAACAATTTAATTGTAAACAAACTGTATAGCCTCAAAACATGGTTAAAATTATAATGTTGATATAGGTGGTTGTAAGGGGGGATATTGATACAGTTATATATTGAAATATTATTTCGGTTGATATTGTATCGATACTTTGACTGCAAGTGTCGATTTGTAAAGATATTTATTTTTTGTTTTATTTTGCTAGGTTGCACCAAAATGCCTGTATTTTTCATCCAATAGCTTGTTCTTGATCTTCTTTTTAAATAGTTAGCCAACATGTTTTCAGCACTTTTATTTCCATGACTGAAACTCATTTTCTCATGCGCTCTCTTGTCTCTCTGCAGCAGACATGTAGTGAGCAATATGTTTGGATCATCGAATCGCAATAATATCGCAGTATCATATCTCAATACATATAGAATCGCAATACATATCTTATCGGCACCTAAGTATTGTGATAATATCCTATCGTGAGGTCCCTGGCAATTCCCAGTCCTAATAGTCCTTGCATCCATAGCTCTGTATTTGAATTTGAGTTGTTGCATTTCTCCAGCCACATCCCTGAACTTTTAACCAAAACAGTGGTGTTATTGTTTGAATAGCAGATTGCTCCTTTAAGGATATAAAACTGTTTTTCCACCTGTTCAAAGGTCTGCCAAGTATCAGGACTTGATAAAGGAGGCAACCCCAGCACCACCTCAACCCGAGGAGCCCCAACAGTCCCCAGCCTCCCTGGACCCAACCTCCACCCAGACCCAGGCTCTCCCCCAGCCAACGGCCACCTCCACACACCAGAAGAACCACAGCAGGGCAGGTGAGACCTCTCCAACCCAGGAGCCCGACGACGATGAATCCCCACTACCTGAACTGGCCGCCATTATGCAGGGGGCCAATATTTCAGGGTTGGATGGTGCTGAAATTCCACCACCAGAGTCTATGGAGGCTGAACCTCTAGAGCAGAACCAGGCAGAGGCCTCGGACTCCCAAGCCCAGGAGATGGAGGTGAAAGCAGGGGATGGGTATGTCGCTCAGCCCCTACCTGCTCCAGCTAGTGTGGAGCCCGTAGCACCACCCGTCACCAAACCCAAGAAGGACAGGCTGGCCAGACTGAGGGAGTTGGGGGTGGAGCCCCCACCTGTTTCTAAACTGTGTGCTGACGATGGGTCCTTCGATCTGGAGCCCCCTCAGGTTAACCCAGGTGAGAGCACAACAAAATGTATTCAGCTCTGTAATGTCAGAGCTCTCTAGCACAATATTTCCCAAATGGTGGGTCGGGGTTTAAAACATTGTTTAGATGCATGCTTTTGTCAATTTTATGTGGTGCACAAAATTATTTTGGTGGGACACAACTCAAGCCACCGCTCTAGCACACTGTATAGTGGCAAAATGGGTGAGCTTGAATGAAATGGGTTGAAGTAACCCAGTCAAGTTGGTTGTAATGTATCATCTGTAGTTAACCCGTTTGTTTCCCCCTTAGGCGTGGAGGCGCTGAAGGAGCGGTATCTACGTCACGTCCAGCCCGTGGCCCGGCCAAGAGGGGAACGCACCGTGCAGCTCAGCGTCATCCGGAAAGACAGCGGCGAGGAGCTCCACCAAGACTTTGTCACCACCACCATCAAAGAGGGGGAGGAGGAGGCTGCACACACCGCTCCTGGTATGGACATAGTACAGTACCGTACATCACACCAGGCCTGGTACAAACACCATCTCTCACACACTCACGTTCTCTCTAAACCTCCACACACTCTAAAGAGGTAACTGCACTGCGTCCTGTATGATACATAGCAAGCCAGGTTCCTGAAATCTACCACGACACATATTTCCAAACGTCTTCATTTCTCTGTCTACTGGCTACATTAATATTTCCTAACCAGTCCTGTGTTCCCTCTGTCCTCAGGTGAGAAGCTGACCAACCTGAAGTCCCGTCTGCAGCAGGCCATGGCCGTAAAGAGACGGGAGGATAGAGAACGGAAGGCCGCCCTCTATCGCCTAGACAACGAGGACTGTGGCGAGGAAGAGGAGGAAGAGGAAATGACGGATTCCGAGGGGGAAGAGGTAAGAGTGGATCGTCTGCTTTGATAGTCTACCCCCATCCACCGCACCTGCGTCTTTTTGATTATTTGATTGTGTGTCAGTCAGTGAGTTTTCCGTATACTTTTCATGGTGGTGCTCGAAGAAGAACCAAAATATTAAAGACCAAACCTTTAAGTGATAAATTAGACTAGGGGTAATGGACCAGGAGAGGGAATGTGTTGTCCAAGTAATGTTAAGGGAAACATGAAGTAGGTGTGGTTCAGAGTTTGTCAAAATCTGTTTGTCACTCCACAGGGCATAGATGAGCTACTGGGGGGTGGTGATGGTGAGGAAGATGATGAAGATGAGGGCAGCGTGGCCCAGAGCAGTGTGAGGAGCCCCTCCCCGTTAAGGTTAAAAGGTCCCTCTCCCCCACCAGACCTGCTCAACACAGATGGAACACTCATGCTGTTTGCCAACAGCTCCTGCTCGCGCACCGGGTATGCGTGTGTGTGGTGCTGATATTTACATAGGCTGACAGTACTTGGCCTTTAGATTGCAGGCCTGTGGAAGACAAAGGCAAAGTATCTAGTGACATTACTTACTTTTAATGTATGACTGTTATTTATCGAATCACCTAACTATGTTTAATTGTCACTCTATTTAAATTAATCATGTAACAGTTAACTCATTGGGAATTTGGGGCACCGCGGAAGAAGTTGTTTAACGAGTTACCATCTCCCGAATTAAACTCTTAGAAGATATGTTATATATCGATAACAGTCACTTATCAAATAATTACCGCATATCAGTATCATTCTGAACGTCGCATAATCCTTGAACCTGCAAGAACCCTAACCTTATTGATGAATCTGCAATACACAAATTGGCTTAATTATTTATTTACTAACTAAATGATAACACAATACAAACACACAGGTTATTGATTACTAACGTAATACAATGAAAACAGGTCCCTAGTGGACTGGAGTAACAATCGCATGACTGCTTGGGTAGAAGGAGGGTCAGAGTGGAAGGGAGAGACAGAGATTCAAACTATCGTGGTTACTTTGGAGACTATGCGCACAGTAATCATAATACCTATGCACCCTAAAAACGCTAATTCGAATTAGAAATGCAACATGTATTTACGTGTAGCTGTCCTCGAAAGTTGAGTTGATGATGTAGGACTCTGGTATCTCTGGTGGGCAAACCAATGTCCTTGGTATAGTTTCTGATTGTAGTGCTGGTTAGAATGGATACTTCAGATATACCAGCGGTTGTCTGAAAGGGATTGTCCTTCCCCCTTCGTGTCTTTAGTGAAAGTTCTGTAGACGACTATACATGCCAGCTGCGGACTGAAATGATAAGGTCTAGTGCATTGTCTTCTTCTTCACCTCATGTAGAGTTTCTTAATTTCAAACGTGTGGACTAACATCTCACGTTTTCTGGTCAATCTGGTCTTGTAGAAATTCAACCATTTGTAACGTTTGGCTCATGCTTCATGTCTGCTGGTCTTCCTTTGGTAATGGAGTTGTAGTTTTAAACCATTTTGTAACGTTTAGCTCACGCTTCACGCTTATTGGTCTGTAGAGTTTCAACCATTTGCAACGTTTAGCTCACGCTTCACGTCTGCTGGTCTAAAGGTTGATTTTGTTTTTCAAGGCTTTTTATGCACTCGGGGTAAAAGGTGTGTTCCATCATGTTTACACGATCTCTGTCACTCGGGGCGTGGCTAGTCACTGTGCATAGTTTATATGAAAAACGATCTCATTAGAAGACTAAAATCACATTCCAATCTTCACTAAAAATCATATATTTTATACAACATTTAATGTAAACTTAATAGATAGAATATGTACACTTTCCGAGTTAGTTATTACTTGATACCATCCTTAACGACATCACAAAATAATAAACAATATGACATGATTATTCTTTAGATCCCCACTGACCATTTCCCACATTCTTTTAAGTAGGAATATTGTTTCATTATCCACTTTTGGATATTGGGGTCTTGGCGGGAGGACTTCCTTTGTCTCACAGGGAAATTCTTTCTTCCCATACTAGAGACCAAAAGGAGTCTACTGACCGGCTGTTAAGTCATAAAACTGGCCCCCAGGAAGGGGGTGTTCAGAACTTTGCCTAGCAGGAATGTTTGATCCTCAACCCATGAGCGCAAGTCATGACCCTTGCGAGGTACTGCTCCGTGTCAGCGGTCATGGGCAGCCTTGTGTGGAGAACAGGGTGCTATCTGTATCCATAAACGTCCAGATATCTGTCCTTTTGAAATGTTTCAATCATTCTCCACTGTAATGTGATTAGTGGATTCAAATAATGTATTTAAAATGTGTGTAAGCCAGTGTTAATTTCGTCCTCAAAAATGTGACTAATTTGTCAAACAACTCCATTAGCAGCACAGATGCGCAGTTCTGTTCAGCATTTGGAAGGACATGCCACACCTGGCACACACAGCCTACATCAGCTGGTTAGCTGCAGGGAAGCAAGCGATGAGCATGGGCAGACCGTCTCCAGCTCCACCTCCGATTCTACACATTTTGCAGACGACTTTCTTGCTAACCAGTCACCACCAGCCTTCTAGTTTGCTACCCTTTGCCTGGTTAAGAAACACAACCTGCCACCCGAGTGGCACAGTGGTCTAAGGCACTGCATCGCAGTGCTTGAAGCGTCACTACAGACCTAGGTTCGATCCCAGGCTGTGTCACAACCGGCCGTGACCGGGAGACCCATGAGGCGGCGTACAATTGGCCCAGCGTTGTCCGGGTTAGCGGAGGGTTAGGCCGGCCGCGATGTCCTTGTCCCATCGCGCTCTAGCGACTCCTTGTGGTGGGCCAGGCGCCTGCATGCTGACTTAGGTCGGCAGTTGTACGGTGTTTCCTCCGATGCGTTGGTGCGGCTGGCTTCCGGGTTAAGTGAGTAGTGTGTCAAGAAGCAGTGCGGCTTAGCAGGGTCGTGTTTTGGAGGAAGCATGGCTCTCGACCTTCACCTCTCCCTAGTCTGTACGGGAGTTGCAGCGATGGGACAAGACTAACTACCAATTGGATATCACGAAAAAGGTGCAAAAGTACAAAAATAAAGTAAAAATAAACTGCTTTATGAAATTAAAAACAATTGCAGCATTGAGTTTAATAGTAAAACAACATTCTAGCTATGCTTTTCTCTCCATGGAGTATTGGGGTTCGTACTGTCATGAAAATCCTGGAAAAGTCATGGAATTCTAAAATGTTATTTTCCAGGCCTGGAAAAGTTTTGGAGAAAGATCAAATCTGAAAAGTCATGGAAATTAATTTCTGTAAATGTAATTTATTTAGGCACAGTTTTTAAATATTTTATCAGTCAAATAAAAACCAACACATCAACCCTGATCGGAATGCCACTTTAGCACACAGGTGTTTAACTCCACTGAGGGCCGAGTGAGTATCTGCAGGTTTTCGCTCCTCCCTTGTACTTTAATTGATGAATTAATGTCACTAATTAGTAAGGAACTCCCCACACCTGGTTGTCTAGTATTTAATTAAAAGGAAAAACCAAATATCTGCAGACACTAGGCCCTCCATGGAATGAGTTTGACACCCGTGCTTTAGCGTTTCTACAGTCGTGGTCAAAAGTTTGGAGAATGACACAAGTATTGGTCTTCACTAAGTTTGCTGCTTCAGTGTTTTTAGATATTTTTGTCAGATGTTACTATGGTATACTGAAGTATAAATACAAGCATTCCGTAAGTGTCAAAGGCTTTTATTGACAATTACATTTAGTTTATGCAAAGAGTCAATATTTGCAGTGTTGATCCTTCTTTTTCAAAACCTCTGCAATCCGCCCTGGCATGCTGTCAATCAACTTCTGGGCCACATCCTGACTGATGGCAGCCCATTCTTGCATAATCAATGCTTGGAGTTTGTCCGAATTTGTGGGTTTTTGTTTGTCCACCCGCCTCTTGAGGATTGACCACAAGTTCTCAATGGGATTAAGGTCTGGGGAGTTTCCTGGCCATTGACCCGAAATGTCGATGTTTTGTTCCCCGAGCAACTTAGTTATCACTTTTGCCTTATGGCAAGGCGCTCCATCATGCTGGAAAAGGCATTGTTCGTCACCAAACTGTTCCTGGATGGTTGGGAGGTTGCTCTCGGAGGATGTGTTGCTACCATTCTTTATTCATGGCTGTGTTCTTAGGCAAAATTGTGAGTGAGCCCACTCCCTTGGCTGAGAAGCAACCCCACACATGAATGGTCTCAGGATGCTTTACTGTTGGCATGACACAGGACTGATGGTAGCGCTCACCTTGTCTTCTCCGTACAAGCTTTTTTCCGGATGCCCCAAACAATCAGCAAGGGGATTCATCAGAGAAAATGACTTTACCCCAGTCCTCAGCAGTCCAATCCCTGTACCTTTTGCAGAATATCAGTCTGTCCCTGATGTTTTTCCTGGAGAGAAGTGGCTTCTTTGCTGCCCTTCTTGACACCAGGCCATCCTCAAAGTCTTCGCCTCACTGTGCGTGCAGATGCACTCACACCTGCCTGCTGCCATTTCTGAGCAAGCTCTGCACTGGTGGTGCCCCGATCCCGCAGCTGAATCAACTTTAGGAGACGGTCCTGGCGGTTGCTGGACTTTCTTGGGCGCCCTGACGCCTTCCTCACAACAGTTGAACCTCTCTCCTTGAAGTTCTTGATGATCCGATAAATGGTTGATTTAGGTGCAATCTTACTAGCAGCAATATCCATGTCTGTGAAGCCCTTTTTGTGCAAAGCAATGATGACGGCACGTGTTTCCTTGCAGGTAACCATGGTTATCAGAGGAAGAACAATGATTTCAAGCACCACCCTCCTTTTAAAGCTTCCAGTATGTTATTCTAACTCAATCAGCATGACAGAGTGATCTCCAGCCTTGTCCTCGTCAACACTCTCACCTGTGATAACAAGAGAATCACTGACATGTCAGCTGGTCCTTTTGTGGCAGGGCTGAAATGCAGTGGAAATGTTTTTTGGGGATTAAGTTCATTTTCATGGCAAAGAGGGACTTTGCAATTAATTGCAATTCATCTGATCACTCTTCATAACATTCTGGAGTATATGCAAATTGCCATCATAAAAACTGAGGCAGCAGACTTTGAAAATTAATATGTGTGTAATTCTCAACTTTTGACCACGACTGTATTTGTGCGCATCACCTGCATGTGTGCGAGACGGGTGTGCTCAAGGACAGCGAGACCGTTGGAGGCCTAGCCTATAGAATATGATAGAGAACAAGCTAATAACTTGGTAGCCAATTCAAAACATATATATATATATATATATATATATATATATATATATATATATATATGGTACCCTCTAGTTAATTGTTTTGCTATTATTAGCATGTATTCATGTTTTCGTCATGTCCCCCCAAAAAAGTAAGGCATTTGCGAATAAGGCCATACAAAGTTTATTTACCTTTTTGGACGATTCATATGATTTTAATTTAAACAATTATTTTAGATTAAATTAACAATTTATTGACTAAATTCAATTTATTGACTAAATTCCTCTTGCCACTTCACTATATCTGACTGGGTAAATAACTTTATTTAGAGTTTATGTGAACCCATCGACTCAGACTTGAGCACTGGGACTCAGACTTCAGCCATAGGGACTCGTGACTAGGACTTGGGACTCGATTCGTACTCAAGGTTTTGTTTCACTGGGCGAAACAGTCATTAGCTCCCGTTCTACTTTTGGACACCAATGTGTGGCTGTGGAACGTTGATAACAATGGCAATTTGCGGCACCTTCTGGATATTTGTGCTGCTCTTTCGCTCTCTCCGTGCCAGATTATGATATTCTTATGTTTGTCATATTTCTGCTGTTGGGAGAGAATAGGATGTTATGCAGAAAAATATCTTGGTAGGACAAGGCTATGCATGTTTACGCACATGGAAGTCGTGATTTATGTTTACTATAGGTTAATGAAGCAATAATAGACTAATAACTACACTAAATCATTATTAAAATGACAAATGTGACGAAGACTTATATTTTAGTCAAAATGAATAAGACTAAACTACATGTGAAAAAAAAAAAAGTGGCAATGTAACACTGGTGTAAGGTGTATATGCTCAATAAGATAGTGTATGTTATCTGTCCCAAGTTGTTGACATTTAGTCTCTCTTACAGAGATGGTGTAAAGAGGACAGAGCCTGGTGGTCAAGACAGTTACACAAAGATGGGTGAGTAGAGACCGAACATCTTTCACTTTCAAGTAAATTGTCACAACTATGCTACTTCAGAAAATACTCTCATCGTTGATGGAATCGGGTGTCTTTTTTCCAGTGTACACTACCGTTCCAAAGTTTGGGGACACTTAGAAATGTCCTTGTTTTCGAAAGAAAAGCAATTATTTTTTCCATTTAAAATAACATCAAATTGATCCGAAATACAGTGTAGCCATTGTTAATGTTGTGAATTGCTATTGTAGCTGGAAACGGCAGATTTTTTTATGGAATATCTACATAGGCGTACAGAGGCCCATTATCAGCAACCATCAGTCCTGTGTTCCAATGGCGCGTTGTGTTTGCTAATCCAAGTGTATCATTTTAAAAGGCTAATTGATCATTAGAAAACCCTTTTGTAACACAGCTGAAAACTGTTGTGCTGATTTAAAGAAGCAATAAAACTGGCCTTCTTGAGACTATTTGAGCATCAGCAATTGTGGGTTCGATTACAGAATCAAAATGGCCAGAAACAAATAACTTTCTTCTGAAACTCGTCAGTCTATTCTTGTTCTGAGAAATGAAGGCTATTCCATGTGAGAAATTGCCAAGAAACTGAAGATCTCGTACAACACTGTGTACTACTCCCTTCACAGAACAGCGTAAACTGGCTCTAACCAGAATAGGAAGAGGAGTGGGAGGCCCCGGTGCACAACTGAGCAAGAGGACAAATACATTAGTGTCTAGTTTGAGAAACAGACGCCTCACAGGTCCTCAACTGGCAGCTTCATTAAATAGTACCCGCAAAACACCAGTCTCAACGTCAACCGTGAAGAGGCGACTCCGGGATGCTGACCTTCTAGGCAGAGTTGCAAAGAAAAAGCCATATCTCAGACTGCCCATCTTAATCTTTTATTTTTATTGGCCAGTCTGAGATATGGCTTTTTCTTTGCATCTCTGCCTAGAAGGTCAGCATCCCGGAGTCGCCGCTTCACTGTTGCTCAGTTGTGCACCGGGGCCTCCCACTCCTCTTTCTATTCTGGTTAGAGCCAGTTTGCACTGTTCTGTGAAGGGAGTAGTACACAGCGTTGTATGAGATCTTCAGTTTCTTGGCAATTTCTCGCATGGAATAGCCTTCATTTCTCATAACAATAATAGACTGACGAGTTTCAGAAGAAAGTTATTTGTTTCTGGCCATTTTGAGCCTGTAATCGAACCCACAATTGCTGATGCTCCAGATACTCAACTAGTCTCAAGAAGGCCAGTTTTATTGCTTCTTTAAATCAGCACAACAGTTTTCAGCTGTGCTAACATAATTGCAAAAGGTTTTTCTAATGATCAATTAGCCTTTTAAAATGATAAACTTGGATTAGCAAACAACGTGCCATTGGAACACAGGACTGATGGTTGCTGATAATGGGCCTCTGTTCGCCTATGTAGATATTCCATAAAAAATCAGCCGTTTCCAGCTACAATAGCCATTTACAACATTAACAATGTCTACACTGTATTTCTGATCAATTTGTTATTTTAATGGGCAAAAAAATTGCTCTTCTTTCGAAAACAATGACATTTCTAAGTGAACCCAAACTTTTGAACGGTAGTGTAGGTTAAACCATTTTGATAATGAAAAATTGAAGTTTCACTGGTCAAATTTAATTGACGTTCTGTCTTTTTCGCTACAGAGGAGGAAGATTCTCTGTCCCTGGCCAAGGACAACAGTCACAACAGTAGTTTTGAGCTGCTGGGCTCCATGCTGCCTTCTTACCAGCCTGTCAACCGCAGCACCACAGGAGGCAGGGGCCTGTCAGCCAGCACCTTCCGCTCCCCCTCACCCTGCTTCTTCAGACCCAGCTTCCTGGGATCTGCCTCCAAGGTAAGACACTGACAGTTTAGGAGGGTTGATGTTTTTACATTTACGTCATTTAGCAGACGCTCTTATCCAGAGTGACTTACAAATTGTTGCATTCACCTTATAGCCAGTGGGATAACCACTTTCTATATTTATTTTTTAATAAAAAAAATTGGGGGGGTAGAAGGATTACTTTATCCTATCCCAGGTATTCCTTAAAGAGGTGGGGGTTTCAAGTGTCTCCGGAAGGTGGTGAGTGACTCCGCTGTCCTGGCGTCGTGAGGGAGCTTGTTCCACCATTGGGGTGCCAGAGCAGCGAACAGTTTTGACTGGGTTGAGCGGGAACTGTGCTGCCAGACATGCAGAGATGCGATTCGCCACCTGGTTATCAGAAGGGGGAAAGGAGAAGATTAGTTGTGTGTCGTCTGCGTAGCAATGATAGGAGAGGCCATGTGAGGATATGACAGAGCCAAGTGACTTGGTGTATAGCGAGAATAGGAGAGGGCCTAGAACTGAACCCTGGGGGACACCAGTGGTGAGAGCACGGGGTGCGGAGACAGATTCTCGCCACGCCACTTGGTAGGAGCGACCTGTCAGGTAGGACGCAATCCAAGAGTGAGCCGCGCCGGAGATGCCCAACTCGGAGAGGGTGGAGAGGAGGATCTGATGGTTCACAGTATCAAAGGCAGCAGACAGGTCTAGAAGGACAAGAGCAGAGGAGAGAGAGTTAGCTTTAGCAGTGCGGAGAGCCTCCGTGACACAGAGAAGAGCAGTCTCAGTTGAATGACTGTCTTGAAACCTGACTGGTTTGGATCAAGAAGGTCATTCTGAGAGAGATAGCAAGAGAGTTGGCTAAAGACGGCACGCTCAAGAGTTTTGGAGAGAAAAGAAAGAAGGGATACTGGTCTGTAGTTGTTGACATCAGAGGGATCGAGTGTTGGTTTTTTGAGAAGGGGTGCAACTCTTGCTCTCTTGAAGACGGAAGGGACATAGCCAGAGGTCAAGGATGAGTTGATGAGCGAGGTGAGGTAAGGGAGAAGGTCACCGGAGATGTTCTGGAAAAGAGAGGAGGGGATAGGGTCAAGCGGGCAGGTTGTTGGGCGGCCGGCCGTCACAAGTCGCAAGTATTCATCTGGAGAGAGAGGGGAGAAAGAAGTCAAAGCATAGGGTAGGGCAGTGTGAGCAGGACCAGCAGTGTCATTTGACTTAACAAACGAGGATCGGATGTCGTCAACCTTTTCAAAATGGTTGACGAAGTCATCCACAGAGAGGGAAGAGGGAGGGGGAGGAGGATTCAGCAGGGAGGAGAAGGTGGCAAAGAGCTTCCTAGGGTTAGAGGCAGATGCTTGGAATTTAGTGGTAGAAAGTGGCTTTTGCAGCAGAAACAGATGAAGAAAATGTAGAGAGGAGGGAGTGAAAAGATGCCAGGTCCGCAGGGAGTCTAGTCTTCCTCCATTTCCGCTCGGCTGCCCGGAGCACTGTTCTGTGAGCTCGCAATGAGTCGTCAAGCCACGGAGCAGGAGGGGAGGACCGAGCCGGCCGGGAGGATAGGGGACATAGAGAGTCAAAGGATGCAGAAAGGGAGGAGAGGAGGGTTGTATGACAAGGGCCCGTGTTTTCCGTACCACTGTATGACAGTATAAAAGTGTCAGGAGAGAGCCAGTCATAACCACACAGACACCAGTATATATGTCTCCCAGTAATGCATACGTTACGTGACAATTCAAGCAGGGGCAACGGAACAGTTTTGACAGGGGGTGTGGGACCACCTATGAAGAAAAAAATGTATGCACTCACTAACTGGATAAGAGCGTCTGCTTAAATGACTAAAATGTAAAAAAAAAAAAAATAAATAAAATGATGTTTTATGAGCATAATAGTAAAGATGTGTAATTTCACTGTAAAAATGTATTACCTTTTTAATGTAGCATGAACACAACCAGGCATGATGATGATAAACCATGTTTACATCCACAGGTTTTTATGAGAATAAAGTCATACTGTATACTGAGTTCGTACGGTTATGAAAATCCTGGAAAAGTCATGCTTTTAAAATGGTGTTTTCCAGCCTGGAAAAGTTTTGAAAAATTATAAAATCTGAAAAGTTTTGGAGAAATCATGGAAATTAATGTAATTTCTGTTAATGTAATTTAGGCACAGTTTAAATATTTTATAATTCAAATAAAAATCTACATATCAGCCAGGATCAGCATGACACTTAAGCGTGTCTGTCTGTGCGCATCACCTGCATGTGTGCGAGATGATTGGGCCGTTGGTAAAGGAGGTATACAGTCGGACATTGCAGCAGCAGGTAGGCCTAGCCTATAAATATGATAGAGAACAGACTAATAACTAGGTAGCCAATTAAAAAAACATATTGTACCCTCTAGTTAACTGCTTAGTTATTATTCGCATGTATTAATGTTTTCGTCCGCAAAAATCTTCCACTGACACTTGTGATTAAGGCCATACAAAGTTGACTTGCTTTTTTTTTTCTTTTACAATTTTCTTTTTTCATATGATTAATTTAAACAATTATTTTTAACTAAACAAACGATTCACTTCACCATTGTATTAGTTGGGATTTGGTTCAATCGCAATGAATCGAATCATGTGAATCAAAATAATAATTTGTGAATCACAAACAGTTCTTTTAGGAAAACATATCTGATGAAGCCTTTTGGATTATGTGGCTTCAACTACTTTGCAACTCAATAGATGCTAGTCAGCCTGCAAAGTAAACACTTCTAAGGTAGCTAAGATAAATATGGCTAAACTCGGAAAAGGTACATTTCCTGAAGAAAACGTGTGGGCTTGCTTCAGCTGAATAAAAATATTTGTATCCTACCAGAGCCATTTGATCTTTGATATATTGAATGAGCAAATTATTTCAAAAAGCACTAAATGTATTTGGTTGCAATGTTATACATCAAGGGTGGTCAACCATCATCCAGGATAGCTAATGGGTGTGCAGGCTTTTATTCCAGTCCCTCTAACAAACCACATTAGAAATTAGCTGCTCAACTGGACCTTGATCAAAAGCATGCACACCCAGTAGCTCTCCAGACTGAGGGTTGACCACATCTGTTTTAAGTATTCTACTTTGGGTGTGCATGCACAATGAGCCTTTGCACAATGACAGGAGATGGTACATGGGATCAGAAAGCAGCATCCCAGTGTCAATACCACATTACGCATACTTTATGTACGTATAAAAAAAGTAAGCGCCAATTGTTGGTCATGCCGCCAACTGTTGGTCATGGAAATTTGGTTAAAAGTCATGGAAAGGTAATTAAATTCCATCTGTCAAAATGTGAATGAATCCTGCGTTAAAAAAATATAAAAAAATCACAACAGCTGTGATGGAAACGGGAAGTTTCGGTACACATAAATGCCGACAGATCATTTGTTCGTTTGACATGTTGGGATCTTTTTGTGTCGGTAAAATTAATTATGCGAGAAATGGCGGTGGAAACGCCTTTGTGCAAATATTGTAATAATAACCATCATATCGAAGTAAACTTGGGAGTCACACGATGATATGGTGTGTGTGTGTGTGTGTGGTCCTCCCAAAACAACTCAGGAAACCATGTAGTTTATTAAGCTACAGATGAAATGTTATGAACTTGGCAGGGTGGGGAAAGTGCACTATGATGAGCTTGATGCTGCATTCCAATAAATATTGAGGGTCTTGTTCTGATGAAATGATGATCGATGCTTGACTGCCGTTTTTGACAAATCCAAATCATTATCCTTAATAGGCTAATCTCATAATGTAGACTACCTTACCCGCACTGTATCTGCGAGTTGTTGGCTAGAGCGCACGTGCCAAGACCAGAGTAGGCACATTTAGCTATTTAACGCAAGTGTTTGTCACAATTATCAGTCGAGTTGAAAATGCGGTGGAAACACATTGAACTTTAGATTTTTAATCGGTACATGAAAACTTAAAGCTGCAATATGTAACTTTTTTGGGGATCCAACCAAATTCACATAGAAATGAGTTATAGATCTGTCATTCTCATTGAAAGCAAGTCTAAGCAGTAGATCTGTTCTATGTTTCCCATGCTCAAGTTTTTGTATTTTTCAGTTTTGTACACCAGCTGAAAATACAATATACAATAATTCTATACACTTGTTTTGTCACAAACTGAAGTTAAGCAAACTATTAGAATTTTAGCAACCAGGAAATGGTGGGGCAATTTCTGCATATAGCACCTTTTTAAGCGAAAAAATATATTTTGTGTGCACTACATCATGCACAGATTTTTATCTGCAACAAGTCAGTTTCGTGGAAACACCACTGGTGGGAAAAGGCACATATTTTCTTTATACAAGTTGTCGAATATTTGCATGAAAATCTGTCGCCAATTGGATGGAAACCTAGCTACTGCCAAACAAATCACTTCAAAAAATAGGCTACCTGTGCACGTTCGATCCACTCTACAATGATTCCAGCATCTAAAACAGTGCACGCACCGCCATTTGATGAATGGCAAGCGACGTCTATTAAAACACCAAGTGTTATGTAGGGCTGGGCGGTATACCGTATTTTACGATATACCGGTATTGACGCATGGACCAGTTTGGGTTTTTACTTTACCTTCTATTACGGAATTTGGTTGGTTTGGTTTGTTAAATGTGATACGCCGTGTGTAATGCCAATTTTTATAGTTCGCTACTCCATGCCGCTTTCCACACAGACCTAGCCCCGCACCCTGTCAATCAAGGAGCGCATTTGTTGTTCTTCGACCACGAGACACTTGCGTTCAGTCTGCATGGTCAATGCAGCACATGCAACAATGTTGATGATGACAATGCTGTTTTCACTTTGCTGCTTAATATAAATCCACTAGTGTTCTATAATTACATTATTAGTTTGTTTCTTACATCTGCAAATGCTAGTTTTGTTTTTTCTTAGCAAGTTGGGCCTAAAACATGATAGCTGCTAATCGTTAGTTAGCTGGCTGAGTCAGAGCAAACGTAATTAGCTATACAGCCTGATAATACCAGTGATGGTGTAGACCTAAATCAGCATGTTTGTGCAACAGTATGTTCTTGATCAAAGAAGAATACGCGGAGCTACATAAAGTAGCTAAGAGAACATTCACTGTAGCCAAAGATTATAGGGTCCCCTATAAAAACACTTACCAACACTTTGGTTCCTACCCTATCACAGTAACTCCTCCCTGGCATTTTCATTCGTTGTCATGTTAAACAACACTGTATTCAAAGTGCCCACTATTATATTCTAACTATAGAATTAGAACAATCATTCTATTTCCATGATTCCAACAGTTCACCCAAGTGTTTTGCTCTAAATTGCAAGTCCAATCGCAGTTGCAACATTTGGTTAAAAGTAAGGCCTAGATTGTTTGCACATATCGTGCAGCCCTACGTGGCAGTGTGGAAAAGATCTCAAATGACTGCAGAAATGGATGAAAATGCTGAAAAAGTGTTTTTCGTTGAATTGAACAGTATAAAACAATCAGAATGGAGAAAGACTCATTGAAATCACGTGGCATGTATTTGGCACCCTAGGGTCAAGCAAATTTATAACTTTCTATTATTCAAAAAACATAAAATATCGTCCTATTAAAAAATAAAAACTGTTTTATGATATTTTGGCCATATCGCCCAGCCCTAATGTAATGACATTCGGCGATTGTCATTAGGCACACTTGTAGCCTGAATTGGTTGACGCATCACTGCTGTCCGCGTGCGTCACGGTCCCGGCCAGTCATCTCAGGCTGCTTTCACCCTTATTTTAGATATTTTTCTGCATATAATTTCTGACATTTGGTAGGCTATTTGTTAGCCAACTTGTCTATAATTAGATGGGCCTGCAGCTTCTCTTTCATTACTTGTTGCCCCTAGAAGACAAAAAAAGCGGTGCTCACCAGAACAATGTAATAAATCGATACAATGAATGCATCAATAATATTCATAAGCCTAATCTAGTTGACATTGATAAAGTTTTCCCTTCCATTTCTGCTCGCAGAGCGAGGACGTGTAGGGACCGGGGCGAAAATGCAAAAGATTTTCCCTGCAATATGTCCAAATTACATCATTAGTTTCACCGGTTTCAAGGAAGTGAAAACGATCCATCATGAATCTGACAAAATTTCAGTTCGTCTTGGATGCATATTTTATGTGTTTGAAATAGCCTACTGTCTGCTTTTAAATAGCTGACAAAGACTGCACCGTCCCTAATCATGCATTCGCATTCTGTCAAGATGCTGAAATAAATAAATCCTATTTCTCCACTCCTATTCCCAGAGACAAAATTTTACATTTGGTGTATTATTTTACTGCAAGAAAGACTATTATATTAAGCTACATGTGAGCGTTATAGGCCTACAGTCAGTGTCCATATTTCAGCTACTACATTAGGCTAAAACTTCTGTCCAAATATATTTTAGTTTCAGAGGAGCGGCAGCAGAGGGTGCTACCACACCCCTACTTCCGCCATCTCTGAATTGAAGTTGAAAGAGGATGAAAGGCGTTTTCTAATAAATGCTGAGACTGACTCCTTTGCTGAGACTCATCCCCAGCATCTCATCCCTCTCTCTCCATCCCACAGAGCTCAGGGAAACTCTCCGAGCCCTCCCTCTCGTTGCCCGTGGAGGACTCCCAGGACCTGTACACTCCCCACTCACCCGGCGAGTCTTCTGGCCCCCTGGGGGCCCCGTCGCAGGGACGCTTCTCCGTGGAGGACGACTCCCAGCTCCTGGACGCCGACGGCTTCCTCAACGTGGGGCCCCGTACCGGCCCCCCACACTCCCACAAGAGACAGCTCATACTGGACAGCCTGGATGAGAACGCTATGGACGCTAACATGGGGGAGCTGTTAGGAATGTGCTCTGGGGGGTTCGGGACGGCCAGAGAAGGCGGCGTGGGGGGGCTTGGGGCCTCGCAGGAGCATGAATTGTTAGGGCTGTGTTCGGGAGTGTTCTCTACCACACAGAAGGGGGGAGCGGAGGAGAGGAAGCGAGAGGGAGGAGGGCTAGGGGCAACGCAAGAGGATGAGCTGCTGGGGCTGTGTTCGGGAGTGTTCCCTACCGCACGGGCAGAAAGGGAGAAGGAGGGAGCGGAAGGGAGGAAGAGGGAGGAGGAGAAGATGGAGTTAGAAATGGACAGAGATGATGACATGGATCAGCTGCTTGGCCTCTGCTCTGGGAAGTTTACTACTCAAGGTAAGCGCCTGTGTGTGTGTGTCTGGGTGATTGGGTATATAGGGGTGTAGTACACAGGAATAATGTTTTGGTTCCATTTCTCAATCTCTTTCCATATAGGTGTCTCCCCATTGCGATCCAACTCGAGCCCCGCCCCACACTCTTCAACTGCTGAAGACAGGTAAAAAGCGCAAGCCTAACATCTGATAACTAATTTCCCCTCTGGGTATCAATCAAGTTAATTCAATTCAGTAACTGAGTACTGTCTTACACTTCTTCTACTAACCACTATGATATACCCAGGCTGTACATACAAAGAAATCCAAATGTTGATCCCTGTAAAGGCTAAATGCAATTATGTGATGTTTCAGTAGTAAGAAGCTGGTGGAGGAAGAGGAGGAGGAAGAAGAGGATTGCGAGTTTCTACTTCTGTCAGACGTGGAGAGCCAGAGTGAGCAGGTAAGGCACTTAAGCATGTGCTTGCGTCAACGACGTATAGCCCAAACAGGTGAACTAACTCTTTCTTCCTATACTTCCAGGAGGACAATGATGAGGATGGAGAGAACGAGGTAGAGGAGGAGAGGGAGGCTGTGTTTGCACCCCGTCAAGGAAAGAAGAAAATGTAAGTAGAGCCAAAACTGTTCCTGAATCACGATCTGACAAACACACATCTGTTGGGTGTCTTTGATGATAGAGCCTATTAAAGGAAGTGCACTCAGCCCAGAGAAGGCATTAAAACCCTGCACAAGTCATTTAGCACTGTTTGCTTTGGCAATGAGGGTATGGCATTGATGCTCTATACAGAGAAGGCGTTAAAACCCACGCTGCATACAACATCCATTTAGCCCCTACGTTCACCTATACCTTAGTCCAGTGGTATTCAAAGTCTGGGTCGGGGAACTGCAGTGTGGTCAACCCATTAAAAAATGTGTTTAAAAAAATTTTATTGGTTAAATGTATTGGTTTCTTTTGATAACCAATGTATTTTCATCTCTTATTTGTTGATGTAAAAATTGAAATTCACCTATTTTTAATGTCATTAGATTCGGTGTTGTGTCGCAAGAAATTCTGTCAAAAAATGGGGTCCCCAGAAATACTGCCGGAAAAAATGGGTTCCCCGCTGAAAAGGTTTGAGTATCACTGCCTTAGTCTGTCAATATAGCTTTTAGGTCTTAGGGTAAGTGTCCATACCTTATAAGGGATGCAAACTCGTCACTTTTTTCAGCTATATTCACCATTTTGATTTCAAAATAGGGCATCCACGTGAGTCGTGTAAAAAAAGTTAGGGGTGGGGAGGTATGTTTCTAATATCGAAATTATTGACTGAGCACAGAATGCATCCCTACACGTCCTACAATGAGAATATCCGAGTTCAGAGCGTGATGTCATATCAGAATGAGTGCTTCATCCAATATCACGTGAGAGCTGTGATCAGCCAGCCACATTCCTCTAACCAGCCATTAGCATTAGGCATACATTAGCCTACCCTCCGTCCACTCTTTCTGCGCATCTCCATCAATTTAAAATGTCATTTCCGGAAGGATAGTTCAAGCCCACTTTGTATTCATATCTGGTTGTGTTTTCCCCGCTCTCTAGGCGCATGGCAGAGTTTGTGGACTCTGAGGCTGAGCTCTCGGGTAGTGACGTGGGCAGTGAGGATGAGGATGACGGTGAGAATGAATATGAGGAAGAGGAGCTGCTGGACGAGCTGCCGTCTGATGAAGAACTGCAAGACCAGGTCAACAAGATCCACATGTAAGTGCTGAAACAAACATTCTAAATACCTCAACAAAACAATCAAAGAAGAACTTCTATAGTCACTATTACTCCTATTGCGTTAAGAGAACCTTAACAATGAACAATGTGCATTACCTTTATAGGTCATGTGTGGTAGTAGAGGGGTTTCAGGTTTTTTTATTGGAAAAAGCAATCCAATCATAGGATGTGTGAATATTTTTACCCTAAAGCTTGCTTGAACCCGCTCGTCTACAGGAAACAGGTCCTTGACGACGACAAGCGGCGACTGCGGCTGTACCAGGAGCGTTACCTCGCCGACGGGGACCTGCACTCAGACGGCCCGGGCAGAGCTCGCCGCTTCCGCTGGAAGAACATCGGTGAGTGTGTGTGTGCGAGAAGGTGTTCTTCTAAGACTGATATAATACTTTTCTATTCCACAAGCTTTAATCAAGTCGTGTTATAACCCAGTGCTGACTTTGTCAACAAAGTCAGTTGGAGGCAGTTTATCATAGCGCACTACGCTTTATTACGATCAATAGGTTCAGTACACATAACCGCATTCTGTGTCAGAAAGTACGCTGTATCTTTTTGAAGTCTTGTATATCGATGCATTTCTCTCTTTATTTTAATTTTTTTAAACGCCTCCTGCATAAACTTCCTTACTTCATTGTTAACTTATAGACGTACGAGATACCAGACCCGGTCTCGGGGATGGCTAACTCTTGAGATCCCTTCGATATCCACTGAGTTGGGTAGATCTGCTTATAGTTTTGTTTTTTTACCTTACGTGTGGAAGGATATGATCTCAATGCACTTTAAAATTGGACAAATTGGTGCCTCTAGGGCATTTCAGACTGCTGTTAGGGGATATTATTACTGAAAGATTAGTATTTTTATGATTTGTGTTTTGCTTTTCATTTGTATTATTAAGTATATTTTAATGTGTATTTTGATATTGTGCTAAACAGGGCTCATCTGGAAAAGAGACCTTGGTAACAACATTGACTCTGTCAAAATAAAAGTGAAATGTTTTTTAAATAGTGTGGTGCTTTTCTTCCATAGACGATGCCTTTGACATGGATGGCGTGGAGGGGGAGGAGGAGGAGGAGGAGGAGGAGGAAGAGCTAGACCAGGCAGAGCTGCAGAGGAGGAAAGAGAGGCTGGAAAGGGAGCAGTGGCTACGAGAACAGGTATGTATAGCATCTGGGAGTGTCTCATTCTGTCAGGGTAAACTGGGGTGTATTCACTAGGAACCAAACGGGGAGGGACCTAGCTGAATTTGTCCATTAGAAACTCTCGTATTCGTTGCAAAAAATGTTCTGTTTGCTACAGTTTGTACTAATGATTACACCCCTGGTCTGTCTTCTATGTAGTGTGTGTTTATGTGTGGTGTATCATATGTGTGTCCAACTCCCCTCTGTCCTTCTAGTCTGACGCTAAGGCCAAGAAAGGGGAGGACTTTGACGTGGACGAGGAAGAGGAGGACAAGATTGGAGAGGAAGACAGCCAGTTCATGAAGCTGGCCAAGAAACTGACTGTCAAGAAACTAAGGAAGAAAGGTGAGCTGAAATGGAATGAGACACAAGAACTTAGGGTTGTCACGATACCAGAATCGTGATACTACGATACCAGAGTTTCCATATCAAAAAGGAAAACGCAAAGCAGACTGAACTCTTTGGTCCTTTTAAAAACCTACTGTATAGAAAATATTGAGTGCTGTAGTTTGGAAGAGAAACATGAGATTCTGGGCGACATCAGTCTGCTTGTTTCCAACATTGGGACTGTTTTCCTCCGCAAGTTCAGTCCGCCTAATGTTTTGTTTCCTTGCCACGATACTTCTGAGTATCGCGATACTGGTATCGTGACAACCCTACAAGAAATATGGGAGATATAAGAAAGATAACTGCAAATGTCTCCTTTTGAGTTACTCCTCTTTTTAACCCTCTTTCGCAATCCCTCCATCTCTTGTATTCCAGAGCTGCCTCATGCACCCCAGGCGGAGAAGAAAGCCCCAACTCATAACCCCTTCCAGAGACCCTCTCATCCCACCATGGTCAGTACCTTCCTCATACTAGTCCAGACTCGATCTAGTCCAGTCTGGACTAGTAATCACCCTCTAGTGTGACACTTATGATTTTCACTGTTGTGTAATCTGCTCCCTCTAAGAATCTATACTAAATGACTAGATGACTCTGACCGTTTGAACTCTATTCAACCTTTGACCCCTACCTCAGGTGAAGAGGGGCTCATTGCTCAGCCAGCCCCGCTCCATGCTGCAGAAGCTGGCCTGCATCTCCGAGGGGAACCCTCTAGCCCCCCGCAACACCCGAGGGTTTGTCTTCCAAAGCCTGTCGCCAGAGAAAGAGGCCTCTGCTGCAGAGGCCCCCAAAAAACAGGTAAGTCCGACCATAGAGAGATAATGGCGTTTATACAGTACATTCGGAAAGTATTCAGACCCCTTCCCCTTTTCTACATTTTGTTACGTTACAGCCTTATTCTAAAATGTATTAAATTAAATCTACACACAATACAATGACAAAGCGAAAACTGGTTTTTAGAAATGTTAGCAAATGTATTAAAAATAAAAAACACACCTTATTTATTTAAGTATTCAGATCCTTTGCTAAGAGACTCGAAATTGAGCTCAGGTGCATCCTGTTTCCATTGATCATCCTTGAGCTGTTTCTACAACTTGATTGGAGTCCACCTGTGGTAAATTTGATTAATTGGACATGAGGAAACCTGGCACCATCCCTACGGTGAAGCGTAGTGGTGGCAGCATCATGCTGTGGGGATGTATTTCAGCGGCAAGGACTGGGAGACTAGTCAGGATCGAGTGAAAGATGAATGGAGCAAAGTACAGAGAGATCCTTGAACCTGCTCCTGAGTGCTCAGGACCTCAGACTGGGGTGACGGTTCACCTTCCAACAGGACAACAACCCTAATAAGCACACAGCCAAGACAACACAGGAATGGCTTCGGGACAAGTCTCTGAATGTCCTTGAGTGGCCCAGCCAGAGCCCGGACTTGAACCCGATCAAACATCTCTGGAGAGACCTGAAAATAGCTGTGAAGCAACGCTCCCCATCCAACTTGACAGAGCTTGAGAGGATCTGCAGAGAAGAATGGGAGAAACTCCCCAAATACAGTGTGTGCCAAGCTTGTAGCGTTATACCCAAGAAGACTCGAGGCTGTAATCGCTGCCAAAGGTGCTACAACAAAGTACAGAGTAAAGGATCTGAATACTTATGTAAATGTCATATTTGGTATTGTGTGTAGATTGATGAAGGGGGAAAGAAACATTTCAAAATTTTTAGAATAAGCCTGTAACGTAACAACATTTGGAAAAAGTCAAGGGGTCTGAGTACTTTCTGAATGTGCTGTAATCCTGTGGGCCCAACACACATTGGAGGATGAGGGTGCTTGTTGGTCAGTGTTGTAAACTTATTTTTTATCTTTAGAAAGCCTCACTATAGAATGATAACATCCATTACACATTGTTGTGATAGTCGTGATGTTGGACTCTAGTGTAGTACTGATATTAGACCATAGGGTGGCACCAAAGGCCATAGCTGTCAATGTTTCACTGGTAAAAGCTGTGTTACTGCAGTCTTTCTTTGACTAGAAACATTGCACGCTCTTATCCATCCTTTTTACAATATTTGCATATACTTCAACTCGGCTTTTACCTGAAAATGTGTACAACATTATAGTCCAAACTACATCTGTATGGAATATTTATTTATATATTATTGTGTACAGGAAGTGTCCATGACAGACTGACCAGGTGAATCCAGGTGAAAGCTATGATCCCTTATTGATGTCACTTCAATCAGTGTAGATGAAGTGGAGGAGAAAGGATAAAGAAGGATTTTTAAGCCTTGAGACAATTGAGACATGGATTGTGTATGTGTGCCATTCAGAGGGTGACTGGGCAAGAAAAGGTTTAAGTGCCTTTGAACGGGGTATGGTAGTAGGTGCCAGGCGCACTGGTTTGAGTGTGTCAACAACTGCAACGCTGCTGGGGTTTTCATGCTCAAACATTTTCTGTTTGTATCAAGAGTGGTCCACCATCCAAAGGACATCCAGCCAACTTGACACAGCTGTGGGAAGCATTGGAGTCAACATAGGCCAGCATCCCTGTGGAACGCTTTCAACACCTTGTAGACCATGCCCGACGAATTGAGGCTGTTCTAAGGGCAAAAGGGCGTGCGACTCAATATTACGAAGGTGTTCCTAATGTTTTGTACACTCTGTGTGTATATAATCTCTGAACCGATCAGGGAAGCAGCATGAAACATGAAATTCCAATTTGTCTCAGGACATTGACATTGTCTTTATTAAATTGGCTCTAATTTTTATTCGTCATAATGACATTTAATGATAATTACAATAAAATGTGACCAGATCCTGCTAACCGTGTTAAGACTCTGTTGGGGAGTTCTGTTTTAAATTGCAGCATAATTGATCTTTAAATAGCTGTAATACTGCTCAGAGCCGTACAGTAGATTTACAGACCTCAACAAACACTGATGGGCGTGTAGAATTGTAATGGGACTCCATGCCGGCACCAAAATAATTACATTCCATTAAGAATTCCTTAATCGGAATGTTATCGTAATGGGACATTTGCTGCTAACGTGGTGGAGAGTTTGTTGACAAGCTTCGTATATCTCTGACTGGTTCTGGTCTATGATTTTAACAGGAGTCATTTCTCATATTTAACTCTGACTCACTCTTTATTTTGCAGATGAAGAAGAGGGGACAAATAGAGGTTTTGGCCCCGGCTGCTAAGCGGCCATGTCGGGAAAACGCACCAGCATCCAAAGGACCACAAAGAAGTATCTTCTGTTACCTGGAGAACTGAGGTGCCTGACATTATGCCTGTTGTGCCAATTACACTCACAACATCCAGAATGTGTACTACCACAACATTCACACTTTCTCCCAGGGCCACATTGGCTCTTTTTGGACAACACCTGACTACTTAATTTGTGTCCTGAAAAATGTTTTTATAATGTAAATAGAATGGGTTAATGTTTTAATTTTTTGGGGTGATTAAATGTATTTGTTTTAAGTTTGTAAATTAAATCATATTTTAACACATGCTCTATCTGTTGTATTTTGTTGATGGTTTTGCTTCTACTCAGATAGGCAGGTTTCTTGTAGGTGAATAGAGGTTCAGGGCCTTCAGAAAGTATTCATACCCCTTAACTTATTCCACATTTTGTTGTTAGTCTGAATTCAAAATGGATGAAATTGATTTTTTTTTTCTCACCCATCTACACACAATACCCCATAATGACAAAGTGAAAACATGTTTTTAGAAGTGTTTGATAATTTATTGAAAATGAAATACAGAAATCTAATTTACGTACGTTTTCACACCCCTGAGTCAATACATGTTAGAATCACTTCGGCAGCAATTATACTGTAACTGTGTCTTTCTGGGTAAGTCCCAGAGCTTTGCACACCTGGATTGTACAATATTTGGCCTATTTTATTTTTTTATGTCAAACTCTGTCAAATTTGTTGTTGATCGTTGCTAGACAACCATTTGCAGGTCTTGCTCTAGATTTTAAGTAGATTTAAGTCAAAACTGTAGATCGGCCAATCGGGAACATTCACTGTCTTCTTGGTATGCAATTACAGTGTAGATTTGGCCTTGTGTTTTATGTTATTGTCCTGCTGAAAGGTGAATTAATCTCCCAGTGTCTGGTGGAAAGCAGACTGAACCAGGTTTTCCTCTAGGATTTTGCCTACATTCCGTTTCTTTTTTAGCCTGAAAAACACCCCAGTCCTTAACGATTACAAGCATACCCATAACATGATGCAGCCACCACTATGCTTGAAAATATGGAGAGTGGTACTTTGGGGCAAATCCAAAACACTTTGTTTTCAGGACAAAATGTTAATTGCTTTGCCACATTTTTGCAGTATTACTTTAGTGCATTGTTGCAAACAGGATGCATGTTTTGGAATATTTTTTTATTCTGTACAGTTTTCCTTTTCACTCTGTCAATTAGGTTAGTATTGTGTTGTAACTACAATGTTGTTGATCCATCCTCAGTTCTCTCCTATCACAGCCATTAAACTCTGTTACTGTTTTAGTCACCATTTGCCTCATGGTGAAATCCTTAAGGTTTCCTTCCTCTCGGCAACTGAGTTAGGAAGGACGCTTGTATCTTTGTATTGATACACCATCCAAAGTGTAGTTAATAACTGCACCATGCTCGAAAGGGATATTCAGCGTCCTTCCTAACTCAGATTTGTCTGAGTTACAGTTCATAAAAGGAAATCAGTCAATTTAAATAAATTAATCAGGCCCTGATCTATGGATTTTACATGACAGGGAATACAGATATGCATATATTGGTCACAGATATCTTTATTTTATTTTTTTTAAGTAGGAGTGTGGATCAGAAAACCAGTATCTGGTATGACTGGCTGCATCACTGCTTGGTATGGCAATAGCACTGCCCTCGATCGCAGAGGGTTGTGCTGACAGCCCAGTACATCACTGGGGCCGAGCTCCCTGCCATCCAGGACCTCTATATCAGGCGGTGTGAAAAGAAGGCCCGGAAAATCGACTCCAACCACCCAAGCCATAGACTATTTTCTCTGCTGCCACATGGCAAGAGGTACCGGTGCATCAAGTCTGACACCAACAGATACTTGAACAGCTTCTATCCCCAAGCAATACGACTGATAAATAGCTACACAGACTGAGTTTACCTTGTATCTTTATTTACCTTTTATTTCAGTATTTGCACTGTCTATGCACACTCACAGGGCCCTTCACACACAGTCACTCCATTTTCTCACTCAAACAAAATATGCACATACATTAATACTGACTCTACACACCCACTCACATGCAAGCTGCTGCTACTCTGTTTGTCTTATATCCTTTTGCTTAGTCACCTTACCCCTACACATATCTACCTCCATCACTCCAGTATCCCTGCACATGTAAATATGGTATTGGAACTTACTTTTTAAATATTTCCTGTATATACAGTTGAAGTCAGAAGTTTACATACACTTAGGTTGGAGTCATTAAAACTAGTTTTTCAACCACTCCACACATTTCTTGTTAACAAACTATAGTTTTGGCAAGTCAGTTAGGACATCTTTGTGCATGACACAAGTAATTTTTCCAACAATTGTTTACAGACAGATTATTTCACTTATAATTCACTGTATCACAATTCCAGTGGGTCAGAAGTTTACATACTCTAAATTGACTGTGCCTTTAAACAGCTTGGAAAATTCCAGGAAATGATGTCATGGCTTTAGAAGTTTCTGATAGGCTAATTGACATAATTTGAGTCAATTGGAGGTGTACCTGTGGATGCATTTCAAGGCCTACCTTAAACCTCAGTGCCTCTTTGCTTGACATCATGGGAAAATCAAAAGAAATCAGCTAAGACCTCAGAAAAAATGTTTGTAGACCTCCAAAAGTCTGGTTCATCCTTGGGAGCAATTTCCAAATGCCTGAAGGTACCACGTTCATCTGTACAAACAATAGTATGCAAGTATTATCACCATAGGATCACGCAGCCGTCATATCGCTCAGGAAGGAGACGTGTTCTATCTCCTATAGATGAACGTACTTTGGTGCGAAAAGTGCAAATAAATCCCAGAACAACAGCAAAGGACTTTGTGAAGATGCTGGAGGAAACGGGTACAAAAGTATCTATATCCACAGTAAAATGAGTCCTATAATCGACATAACCTGAAAGGCCGCTCAGCAAGGAAGAAGCCACAGCTCCAAAACCGCCATAAAAAAGCCAGACTACGGTTTGCAACTGCACGTGAGGACAAAGATCGTACTATTTGGATAAATGTCCTCTGGTCTGATGAAACAGAAATATAACTGTTTGGCCATAATAACCATCGTTATGTTTGGAGGAAAAAGGGGGACTCTTGCAAGCCGAAGAACACCATCCCAACCGTGAAGCATGGGGGTGGCAGCATCATGCTGTGGGGGTGCTTTGCTGCAGGAGGGACTGGTGCACTTCACAAAATAGATGGCATCATGAGGAAGGAAAATTATGTGGATATATTGAAGCAACATCTCAAGACATCAGTCAGGAAGTTAAAGCTTGGTCGCATATGGGTCTTCCAAATGTACAATGACCCCAAGCATACTTCCAAAGTTGTGGCAAAATAGCTTAAGGACAACAAAGTCAAGATATTGGAGGGGCCATCACAAAGCCCTGACCTCAATCCTATAGAACATTTGTGGGAAGAACTGAAAAAGCGTGTGCGAGCAAGGAGGCCTACAAACCTGCCTCAGTTACACCAGCTCTGTCAGGAGGAATGGGCCAAAATTCACCCAACTTATTGTGGGAAGCTTGTGGAAGGCTACCCGAAACGTTTGACCAAAGTTAAACAATTTAAAGGAAATGCTACCAAATACTAATTGAGAGTATGTAAACTTCTGACCCACTGGGAATGTGATGAAAGAAATAACATCTGAAATAAATCATTCTCTCTACTATTATTCCGACATTTCACATTCTTAAAATAAAGTGGTGATACTAACTGACCCCTTACAGTGAATTTTTATTAGGATTAAATGTCAGGAATTGTGAAAAACTGAGTTTAAATGTATTTGGCTAAGGTATATGTAAACTTCCGACTTCAACAGTAGTATGCTAACTTTATTGTTTATTTCTTATTCTTATTCTTATTTCTCGAATGCTTTTTTCTAGTAATACATTGTTATTGATTATTGCATTCTTGGGTTTTGAGTTTTCAAGAAAGGCATTTCACTGTACTTGGGCATGTGACATTGAAACTTCATCACCATTTCCCTCATACAGCGCGACACATCTCCTTCGCATAGAGTTTATCAATCAGGCTGTTGATTGTGGTATGTGGAATGTTGTCCCACTCTTCAATGGCTGTGCGAAGTTCCTGGATATTGGCGGGAACTGGAACACGCTGTAGTACACGTCGATCCAGAGCATCCCAAACATGCTCAATGGGTGACGTCTGGTGAGTATGCAGGCCATGGAAGAACTGGGACATCTTCAGCTTCCAGAAATTGTTTACAGATCCTTGCGACGTGGGGCTGTGCATTATCATGCTGAAACATGAGGTGATGGCGGCAGATTAATGGCACGACAGTGAGGGTAGTAATCCGTCGATAATCCAAAACGGGATCGTCATCCGGTATACCGTTTTCGACGTTTATCTAGAGAAAACCCATGCGCCAGTATTCTAGATAAATATAAAACGGGGGGGGGGGGCGGGTGTAAGATCAAAAAGGAAGGAAGTGGGTCCGCAATTGACTCCAGGTAGTTGAGGCCATTACCAAAAATAAACTACCTTGTGTTGAGACAGTCTGGGACTGTCAATAGTATGCAAGAAGGAAGTAAACCTTTCAAAGTGTGAGATAGTCAGGGATTATCGATAAAACAAACGGGTGAAACTTCGAAGAAGGGATAGTTGTTGACTTGTGAAATAGATAAAATAATTAGACACCTAATAATCTATTAATAGTCATAAAATAATTTGACACCTAATAATCCTTTAAAAGTGATTATTCGAGATTCTAAGTATAAGTTATCTAATTCGAACACATGTACGGGGGTGATCATATGACGTCAACACATTGTATTTCGGCCAAGCTCTTAGGGTCATTACATTTGGGAAATTTAGAAGTAATATAGGATTATGGTAAAATTGACCATAGTGAGATATCAAACGTGCTAGCGTGAACATTCCAAATCTGGGCACTTTTATAGAAGAAAATATTCCTGTAGGTTATACGAATATTGATTGTGTGTTGGGAAATAGCAGTGTGTGAATGTGATATGAGAGTCGTGTGAATATGAGAATGAGGTTATCTGAAGT